TAGCGCTTCTCGGTGAAATAAATCTTGTTTTATTTTTGTATCGTTATATATTTATATACATGTCAATTATAGTAATATCAGGTATTAATCTTTCCTGTAAAATAATAAATAATAATTTGTTTGTGAGAATGTAACATATGGATAAATATTCGTGACATAAAAGTACGTAAGCAATCGTTGATCACACGGTATTTGCTCTCGGAATTTTATTTAAAAAATCACCGTATTTGATAATAATAATTATAACGCTTTATAGTAATTTGGTAACATCTTCTTTCTTTCTTTCTTTCTTCTTTCTTTCTTTCTTTTTTTCTTTCTTTTTTCTTTCTTCTCTCTTTCTTTCTTCCTTACCGCTTTATTGAAGGCGACTTTACTTTCATAAACATATACATGCTCACTGATGAACTTTCTTTGGATTTTAAACATTTATATCAGATCAAAAATGGTCTTCACAAAGTAGTTCGTTTTTTCTATTTTTATAGATCCCCCGGATACTTGTAAATTTCATACATATAAAATGGAACGAAAAAACAAACTGGCAGTTCTTTATAATAGACCAAATTAATTTGACAAGTAATAGGTTATGTACATAGTTTTCACATTCACTTATTCAAATAAGACATAAATTCAGGAAGAATTAGCTAGATTTTAATAAATTTATACAATAAAAGTATTTTTCCCAAAGATGAGCATACATGTAGTATATTTCTAAGCGAAAAAGGACAACTTACAACAACAACAAACAACATCAACATACAGATGATGATGGTGATTATAACAATGATAACAAAAACAACAGCAAAATGGTGAGGTTGATGATGAGTCGTAATAATAACAACATGCATAATTATAACAATTATACTAATAAAACAAAATATATGTAACAGAAGACAGCAATATAAATATTTTGCCTTTATCTATATGACACGGGTCCGTACTTTATTCCTATTTTTATTTTCGGTTTTATTCGTGGTTTGGGTCACATGATGTCTATATAACGATAATAATGTATCATCATCTGTCTTTGACGTCAATCTATACAATATACATGTACATGTATTCACATTTTTTAACAAAGTGATTAGTAATATTTTGATGTCAACAATAGAAATGACGTGAACTTGAGGGGGATATTAAATATATTTTTTATTTATATTTTTGTTTAGAAGATGAAATTAGTTGAGTGTTTGAACCAATATAAAAACGTGAGCATATAACGGTGCACAAAGCAAAATGGTACCACATTAAAATAATTAAAACACAAGTTCGTTAAAAAATATTGAAAAGCTAGTTATTTGCAAAAGCAAACCGTGTTTCACCGACAAAAAGCAAAAAAGTTCACTTTACATACAATGAAAAGTAATTTATATTATTATTTTTTTAATCTTTCAATTTTTATTGTTAGTACCGATCGCACGTGCATGTCGGTCTTCTCGTCTTGACTCGAGTGTTTGAAATCGTCGTGCGTTTCTAGAAAAGAAAATAATCGGCGGAAATTTAACAATAATATTCTCTCGGGGGTTGTTCTACGAAGTCTTCAAATATTGGTTAATAAAGATCAAATATTTAGGAAGCGCCTGACATATAGATGAAGCCTGCAGTTTATTGAGTACATTGCAACTTGCATAGGGGAACTTTGTTTACTTTACACGCATGGGTACACATAATAGATTAAATAAATGCCCATTAAACTGTTTACACCCGTTTTTAAAGTCAATTGTTGCAAATATGTATAATGTTTACTTTGTAAACGATAGTTTTTAGACACATTCTCTTCATTGACCCAGGCGTCATCATATTAGTTTATAATCGGAGGGGAGTGTCATTCACGTATCGAATCTATTGATCATTTTACCTTTAACCCCGCTTGACTTTACCTTATTTATAATTTGTGGGTTTCAAAATTATTTTTTTTTTGCAAAATAAATTATCAGTATTCAGATTACTGCTGTGCAGGCTACCCCAAATATATGCTGTTGACATAAGAGAGACAATCATTAACACTGGCGACAGTCACGTGCCAGTGAAAGTCACGTGCAGATGATTAAAATCTTGAAAGACATCTGTAAAGTTATAACATCGTCACACACTATTTCATTCGGATTTAGCACTGTTTTAAAATGTGTTAAGGGGTCTTACACTCAACCCAGAACACATGAGTTTGTGCCATAATTCTCATCATTTCTGCTTTGGTTCAGAACCCGAACTTGGCCTTATTAGTGTTTGATTCTTGGAAAGTTAAACTGAACGGTCGACTGATATGCGGAAAGAAATAAACAACATACTTGTAAACATCAGCAAAAAATTCAGTCCCTTTGAGTCATACACTTCGCATACACAGACAGTCGACAGTTACAACGTTATATTGATATAACTTTATAATTTAAAAATCAAACTAGCTGCACATTAAATAAACATACATACAGTATACATAACACTGTAGTAAACACGAATTTTAAAATAAAAATCATATCAAAATACGAATTTTGAAATATGTGAAAATTGGTCAACATGACAAATGAATATGACAACAAATCAACCATTAAATCCCTGGAACCGGAAGTTATCACCATTTTCCACCGACCGTTATAGACTGTAGATCCAGGCCAGCCTGCACATCAATGCATTATTTGATTATCGACAGTTCTATAAATAAATGAATAAATAAATAAATAAATGAATAAAAAATAAATAAATAAATAAATAAAAAATAAATGAATGAATGAATGAATGAATGAATGAATGAATGAATGAATGAATGAATGAAATAATAGAAATGAATAAAAATTGGTCCAGCACACCTAAAAATTCAGCAGGAAAATGCTTAAACATTTAGTGACAATTAGTGTTTGTTAGTAAGCATTTATAGACCTTAATTCGTCAAGAACGGCACAGCCGTTTGACCCATTTAATTTGGTAAAATAATGCTTACTATACTGTATAATGAACACTAACCAATTTAGTGTTTGAAATTATTTCTTTATATTATATTATATATTATTTCTTTTATTTCTAAGTGTTTTAAATTATTTTTATTAACAGTCGATTTACTAGACTGATTAACAGTTTGCCGAGTTACCAAAGTAAATGTGTTACGATTCATTTGAATTATTGCAATCCTATTGGATCAACATGAGTTCAAACACTAATATCGCATAAAAAGATTTCTTTTTCATTTTTATTAACATATTAAAGGTAGTGGTGTTGTTTTTTGTTGTTGTTGTTTTTTTGTTCACAGTATATAATATTAAAATAGATCATGAATCATTAAGAGTGAGTCATAATTTGAATTTAAGATGTCTAGAAAAATTGTGATCGATTTCTACAGAAATGCACTATGTAGCAATATTTTTGAAAATGATAATGAAAATAAACATTATTGTTGTTGTAGCTGCTGATGTTTATTTATATGTAATTTGCATACAGACCCTAAATATATCATTGTTAATTTTTAGATATACATGTATAACATTAATTAAAATTCTGTAAAAACACTGACTGACAACAAAAGAAAATTTTCTCCAAAAAGCAAAAAAAAAAAAATGATTTGCTTGTAAGCTAGGTAAATGTTAATAATCTTACATATGTTGTTGCTGGGTTTCTTTCTCTGTCTCTCAAAGAGACTCAGAGACTGAACATTATTGTATATTGTATGTTACTTTAAAGTAATATTCAGATCGAGGCTTGTAGTAAATCAATCCACGTCTATTGAATGAAGTCCCACAGCCTCCGTATCTTTCAGTTTACCCCGGATAATGGCCCATGTCACGAATGCACCACTAACTACTTAAAGCCCGTCGGGAAACAACTTTCGTCTTTAAGAAATTAGCTGTCAATTTCTGCCAATATTTGAGATCAACGGGTCGGTTCTCTAGAGAGTTTCTTCTAACTAGAGTCACGAAATACTTAGTAGTGAAAAGCAGCTTCACCGTCTGCCTCAACATTAAACATTTCTCCCCTAATTTTCAAAAGCATTATCTAGAGGAAAAATGGAGAAAAAAATACCTGTCAGTGATAGACTTTCATAATACATCATACTAATTAAAAATCAAGAAACATGCAGGAGTCAGGACTGAAGTTGCAACAAACTTGCATTTATATACATGTATATATTTCTATTTGTAGACTTAACTTCAACACTTCCGGCATATTATTTGTAGAAGATTTTATTATAAGAATTACTGTACTGTAGTGACAAAATTCATCTATATATACGTGCATGTAATTAAAATCTAATAGAATGTCGAAATTCTGGGACCTAACAATACGCGAGTGATTTCAATTAACGGGTTTGTCGACTTGTGTTTGATCCTTTCCCACATGACTTATTTCATTGGACACAACTTACACTTTAGAGATCTTATGAGATTTTTTACTTCGCATCATCACAGTAAATTGCGACTTTCCAGCTTTATAGGTAGAGAAAGATCCCAGGTACCCCTCCATGCATTATTTCAATCACGAACGGGCACCTGAGTAGAACCATCGATGTTCTGTAAGCTAGCTGGATAGCTTCCTCACATGAAAGAATCCAAAGTCGCAGGCGAGATTCAAACCCTTTCGAAACCCTCATACTGAAAAGGGACGAAAAGTTACCTCCTGTTAAGATATGAGTGCAAAGGCCATATAGATGTACTAAATTCTAGGCATTCCCAATTGATAGATGTTTTAAATAACATTTTTGAAATATTCATATGCACTGAATTTTTGCGTGCGTAACAGAATCTCATAAATTATCGTGACAGTCGTTGCCCTTATTTTCAGGAATATTTTTTTCTAGGAAAATTCACTGCAGTTTCTGCTCATATTGTCCTTCTTTAAACTCTTTAAACGTTTTTGCTTAACCAACAAATAGGTAAATTGTTTGTTATATTCTGAGAGTAAGATACAACCATTATCACATGCCCATACATACACACCATAGTGTGAGATAAAGTGAAGTTCACCAACAAAATAATTTTGAATTTAATATATTTTATATTTTCTATGATTTATTTTAGGTCTGGTTTCAAAACCGACGTGCCAAATGGAAGAAAAGGAAGAAGACAACAAATGTTTTCCGAACACCAGGGGCGCTGATGCCAACAGCGGGGCTTTCACCTTTTGGTGCTATGAACGACCCTTTGTGCTCCTTGTATCCAAGTGACACGAGATGGTCGTCCCAGATGGCGCCGCCTCTCAATGCAAATCACCTCGCCTTTTCGACTTTACCTAGACAAGGTGAGTTCGAGACATGCAGTTTATTTCTTTCAGCATGTTAATATTAGTTATATATTTTTTTCTTTTATCAATTCAGTAGGGAATACGCCTTATTTTTAGTTGTTTTTGGTCTTTTATTTACCAAAAAATATACAATCCCATTTTATACAATCCAATTCCGCTGTATAATTGTTTTGGTGTGTTAATAACCGAGAGTGATGAATCGTTAGTTCTTATTTGTTTCACCCAAACCTTATAAAAAACTTTTATTCATGCGTCTTTCCCCCTTTTTTTTGTTCAAACATTTATCATCATAGCCTTTGTGACTCAAGGCAAAAACCCTCAGAGAGAAACAGTGTAAAACACTAAAGAGATATTAATATAAAACATGTATATATTTGAAATCGCCGATTTAAATTTAAGACACTGCGATCAAAGGAATTATTTTGATTTAGTCTGGAAGTTGCTGCGATTTCCATAACAGGATAATGTTTATTCTGTTTGATGTATATATTTGAGAATTTCGATACAATAATAATAACCCTCTCTAAAAATTCCAATGAGTAGATTAGTATATAGAAAAATAATTATTTCATGTAAAACGGCATAACCAAGTAGTAGAATGCTGAGTGCGTAAATCAACTTCATATTGGTGAAAAAAATCAAAATATTAAATACATGTAATTCATTTTCCCAGCAACATTTGTGTTTGAGCACATTTTCCCCAGCAATAATTGTTTTTAAGTACTTACTGGTAACTTTTTATATAATTAACAAATAGTCAGAAATATGTCCATTTCTAAATGCGGAAGCTTTTAGCAAGGACTGTACCAACTGACAGTCTCAGCAAGGCGGAGCCTTTACCAGACTTTGGAAATCTAGACGGAGTTTTTGGTTATAATTGACTAATGCCTTATTTATAGACATACATGTACATGTATGTTTTTTTCATTTATATCTTACTAGATTCTCGCTGGCTGTTATCACAGTCGATTGGGCTGTGGAACTCCAAAACACCTTAAAATCAAAATAATCCTAATTAATCTCAGCACATACACTTACCATGTGTATCAATATAACTGACTATATATACGCTGTTTTGAAAAACAACAACAGCAACAAAAACAATTAAATTAGTGTCTTTGATACGAAATATGTATATTGTCCGTCGAAATATGCTGGGTTTTTGTTGTGGTTGTTGTTTTCAATACAGCATATATTAAATTTTATTGATTTATATGATAAGTACATGTGATGAGATTTTAAATGCTTGTTAAGGCGTTTAGAGCTTCACACCCCAAATGTCTGTGGTCTGTAGTTAATGTAGATCCTCTATATATCCTGTAATTAACAAGTGTGCGTTTGATTCATTTGTTTGGTCAATAATGATAATAAATATCGTCAAATATCCCCTTTCTATGGTGGCATATTTCTGCCACCAGATAACCTGATAACTAACTAGTTAATTAAGAGCTCAACTAGTTACGTAACTAGTTGACCTGATACCTAACTAGTTAATTAAGAGGTTAACTAGTAACGTAACTAGTTAACCTGATACCTTACTAGTTAATTAAGAGGTTAACTAGTTACGTAACTAGTTAACCTGATACCTAACTAGTTAATTAAGAGGTTAACTAGTTATGTAACTAGTTAACCTGATAACTAACTAGTTAATTAAGAGGTTAACTAGTTACATAACTAGTTAACCTGATACCTAACAAGTTAATTAAGAGGTTAACTAGTTATGTAACTAGTTAACCTGATAACTAACTAGTTAATTAAGAGGTTAACTAGTTACGTAACTAGTTAACCTGATAACTAACTAGTTAGTTATATGGTTATCTGGTGGCAGAAATATGCCACCATACCTTTCATAACAAAAAATAAAATACTATACTGCTGTACAGGTTATTACATTACGTGCAACCATCGGTTACAGCTTCTGTACAAACCAGGGGAAGTAACCGCTGCAAGGAGTTTGAGGAGTAGGGTGTTTTTGCCCGCTTGTATCATTATTGGCAAGACAAAATGAGTCAAATGCCCGTGTAATAAAATTAAATGGATGCTGGACTTTTTTTTTTTTAAACTGCCATTTTGAGGATATACATGTACATTTAGTTGTTAGTTTCAGATACACAAAAATTGCTTGTTTAAAATAGCGCTGCTTGTCTTGCTTTAATTTTACTGATTTTATTTAATGTTCCCGATTAATTTTTATAGTTTGATGTTGTACTTTTGTTTCATTTTCATTTCTCCATTTTCCTCTTTAACATTTCACGATATTATACTAACTTGTTTTGTTGTATTTTCCTGTTTCAGTCAACTTTCATGCTTCTGAATATCCGCATCAGATATTTTCAAGGCAAATATTGTTCCGATAATTGAAACATGAAGTTTGTATTGGCCTTGAATCTTAACTACATAATTTTCCTTGATAATAGTGAAAATGTTGAATAATTTTATCAGGAAATGACCTAAAAATATCAAGAACATAGGCTGTTCAGTTTTCAAACAAATGTTGTTTTTCTGCAACAGTATGATCATGATGGCCGTATATCACATGTATATATCTCACATGAGAATTACTGCTAGACAATGCACTAATTTTGACAATACCGAAGTACGGAGTATTGGTCATATTCAAGGTCACCCATGGTCAAATTTTGAATTCACACTAAAAAGTGAACCATTGAACCAAATTCAAAAACTGTAAGCCAGAAATTACAAATTCTTTATGCTGATCATTACTTAGGTCACCCGATGTCGACTTTTATTGCCACATCTGTCCAGATTTGCAGGATATAGCTTTATACTTCAAAAGTAAGTCACTGGATGGTGTTCAAGGTCAAATACCCATGCAGTTTTTTTTTCACAAACACGTAAGAAATATGTGACCCGATGGATGGGGCCCAATTTCGTCATTTGTAGGGGAACACTAGATAATGCTGTCAAAACTCAAGCCTATAAACAATTAAGTTTTCCACAAGAGGACTTTCTTGGAATTTCACTGAATAAGTCGTCAGTAGATTAATTATTTTTAAACTATCCGATGCATAAAGAAATCAGTCCTTTCATTGATTGAAACCTCGTGGTTGCAATAATTAATTTGATTCAAATTAATTCAGAAATGAAACCGCTATCGTGCAGACCATGTTACCGTGTAGACCTGGCATATCATGCCTAACAGCATCATGTTTTTGCCCTTTGGGCGACATATCTCTGAAAATTTTAAATCATTCAGAGGATCATGTTTTCATTACAACTGAAAGGAGGTTGAGAGAAGCTGACTTATTTTTTTTTCCGTTACCATTTGTATATTTTATCAATTAACCATTATGATCACTGACCATTAACTTGTGTCTGATATTTTTGTATCATTCCCTGATCGATGATCAATGTTTTCACTAATCTCGTAGGAAGTTGTGTGTTTTTTCTAGATTCATAGTAAAGGTTCAAACGTTAACGTCTGTGGTAACCACGACAATATCGCTTTGGTGAGCGCACAGTCAACCATGGCAGGTAGCCACCGTCATCTGTTGGCTGTGAGACTAGAATTTCAAAATCATGAGGGGAAGTGGTATCAACTTAAAATCCTTATTCAGCATTAGTATCACGAGAGCATTAATTAGCTCATTATTTACAGTCAAGTTTAGATATGCTAGTGAGATCTTGTGTTTAACATAAGCGTAAAATAATTTAGGAGCCAATTTAAATCAGGATTGCTTTATTTGATCGTAATTTAAAGTAAAACCACGTTTCCCTCCGATTAAAAATAAAAATAAAACCTTAAGACTTGAAATAGAACCGTCAGCTATCATAAAGTTTTCATTGAATTATTTTTATCAGTGACTATTCTTGAAAGATTTTATTGCAGAACATAACAACAACAACAAATACTTTAAATTTCTCCATATAATTTAATCAGAATCTTTCTTCTTTATTTGCCTTTTTTCAATCTGACACCTTCCAAAACTATTATACTAACCGTCTTGTATTTTTTCCTCTTCTTCAGGGATATCCCAAGCTTTTCCGGGCCAGATGTCCGGCTTTGATCCAATGAATGCTGCCGCTTCTTTAGCCAACAATATTTCAATGAGCAATGGTACGTCAGTGTACAATACAAATTATGGACTTTCATCTCAGACTTCTGCTACCCCTTCGCCGCCTACCTCGATCCCGAATTCACAAATGACGTCATGTGGAATTCCGGATATAGGTGATGCATGGCGCGGGACAAGCATAGCATCTTTACGGCGAAAAGCGCTTGAGCATTCAGTGTCCTTGACTGGGTTTCGCTAGAACAGTTCTTATTCATTGTAAATATCAGATTCATATCGTAAAATTTGCATAGTTAATATTGTTGACAATATTATTTAAAAATAGCGGCAAAAGAACTTTTCCTTCAAAATAGATTATTTAAGAAGAATTTAGTTATTTTAAGCAATCAGTCACGACTGCTTTACCATAAAGAGTTGTGCACCAGTCAGTTGTAACCATGACAACCCATACTCGGGAAATGGCGGGAATATTAGCGGAATTAACAATTCTCTTTCATCCGTCGGGGTCAATGCAATTGTTTTGATTTGGCACTAAAATGGCCAGGGATACGTCTAAATCATACAGCGGGGATTCTGCATTTACCAGGGATTTGAAGATCCAAGTCTAAGTTCCCGCTTATGCTCAGACAGGAGATACCCTGGTTACAAATGGCTAGTACACACAATTGTTTTGCTTTAGAACGGGGACATATTATAATGGGACAAGCAACTAGAGATTGGCGCAACATTATCTTTTCGTTATGTAAGGCGCACACGTGCCGCCTTTTTGTAATGTTGATCGTTGCGAAAGGGTGCCTTTTTGTCGTAGCAAGCGGTGTAATTAAGAGGAATATAAGCCAGTTGGCATAAGAATTTAATAACCCTTTTGTATCTCAGTGGTTTTATCATGATGCCATGAAGTGGTTTTAACATGATGCCTTTAATTATTAAAGTTTTTTTTTTCAATGTATGTTTTATCTGGGACAAACGATAATATTCTATGTCCCAGGTTTTATAAAATTATGCCTCAGGATTTATAAAAAAAAACGACTTAAATGAGCGAATTACTGTCAATTTGAACACCAGCATAAAAATCGACAGTTGCTTGTTATAATGTGCCCCAGTTCAGAATAAAGCTAGAATGTTGTAATATAATAATTTATATGGATGACTTTGTTGTTGAGGATAAATATATTGTATGGTGTAATAATCAGTTTTCTGGTATGTTCAAATCAGTCTGGTCTTGTCTGTACACCTCATCATAATGATAAAGAAAACGAAAAGATATATAACTTAGCTATTACTTGACACGATCATCGAACGTTGTGAATTTAAAAAATAATACAAGAAATATTGAGACCAGTCAAAAAAACTAGCATTTTGATTGGCCCGATTTCAAATCTTTTCTTTGAACCAACCAATCATAATCCGACGTTTTGACTGGTTTCTGTATTAAGACTGTATCTATACTGTTGTGGACGATTGCATATCAAATATAGAATTTATCAATTGGTTTTATTTGTCATTTATCACTTTGTGGCACTATGGCACTTTTTGTTCATGTCAAGTCTTTGTAAATATTTATGTTATTTATTGAAATGAAAGACTAATTTTGTATATAAGGGAGATCTGGCCACGGTCATCTTCAATTTCTATGTAAAATCATTCATAATCTTAATTTTTCTTCCATAAAGTTATGAATTTTTCAAATTTAATCAGTCTTCAAAAATGGCTTCTAATTGGTCGATTTTGGTAAAAGATTAAAAAAAAAACACAACCAAACAAAATAAAAACAATTACAAAATTCCTCCCTGTTTTCAGATTGATTTCAAAGTATATGTTTTGATTTACTACTTGTGTTTTTATTTTTTATCATTAATTTAGTCTATATTAGACCACTAAGCCAACTTCCTGAATGCTTTGAATATTTTACGAATATTAAGCTAGTTTCCTTTTTTTAGGTTGTTTTTTTTAATTGATAATAAATATATAATATCTATGCTATTATTGGTGAAATAAACTTTGTATAAATCACTGCATATCACTTACAATAATTAGTTATTGCATTTTGTTATGTTATATTTTTCAATTCAAATATTATAACATCACTAATTTTTTTATATGTTATCCTGCAATTATTATAATAAATTTTAATTATTTTTTTCGTGTAACCATATTAAAGTCTAAAGTCATCTTCTTAACTTGCATCGTTTTCCACGCTTAAATAAAAACACTAGAAAACTACTTAAAAACAGTAGAAACTGGCTTTGTTTCCAGATTTTTTTTCAGCTTATAAAATTAAAAGAAAATTTGATAGTTTGATGTTTATATGAAATATATCTCACAACATAATAAAAATATTCCACTTTTACAGTGAAAATATTGCAATTTTTTCACTTCAAGGTGAAATATAGAAAATATGCTCTCAAAATAAACAAATATCTTTATCATATCATATTAAAGTACCTTTATTGAAATAAGTAATGTTTTTAAATATTGAATCAAACAGGTGACATGTATCAGGGGCATTATCATTGTGTTACAAACTAGAAGTGGAATAATATTATATGTTAGAGAAGATTTCATTCTGATTTATTGAATAATATATATGCATAGACTGTTGGTTTTAACAGAATCTACCTATACAACCAGTACAGACGAAGATCAGCCTGTTTCTTCATGGGTCTGATCATGGTCTGCACTGTTAGCTGCTCATTCAATACACATTTTGAATTTTTCCCTAAAAAGTATGGTTTTGTCCAGAAAAATGGACAAGTCCATTTAAGATATTAATTGTGCTAATAGTTAAAAACTCTTGTTAAAACTTAACAAGGGGTAACATTGTACAGTTTTAAAGGAGCATGCCTCCAGATTTGTGGAAATTTATAATTGTTCTTATAGGTAAAGATGCTGTCAATTGAACAATTTATCTAAACAATTGTCACTTACTTTTCTACAGAAATTACTTGACCTTTTCAAAACACGCAGACATTCTTCAAATTGTGTTATACATAGGGGAGAATTTCATTGATAAAAATAGCAAAGTCTGTCATTTTTCATATTTTGCATAACACATCAAAAGTTTCACCTTGATTTCTAAAGCTTTGCATATATTTTCCTTTAGATTTTTAAGATTTATTTTACTCATCTGTAGGCATGCTGATTTAAAATCTATATTGTATATTTTACAACTTTTAAGTCAATATAATTTATTTATCTCTTTGTGTTTGCTTGATGTTTGTAAAAAGACGAAATGTTACATTAAAGAATACTTTTTCTTGAAGGTTAAAAAAATGAATATTTGGTTTCAAAATGTTAAGAAAATAAAATATCATTAAAAACATTGTAAAGGATTTTGAACAGAACTTTGTGTAAATATCCAACAATAAGTTTTATGATGAATATCAGACGAGAATGTTGTGCCCTGCATGAACTTATTTTTTTTATTTACTGAGAAATGATGATTATTTGAAAATGTATTAATTGACGTATTATTTGATATTTTCATTTATCAATCATTCACAGTTTCAATCTTCTATTTGACAATGATAAACATTTGTTTGCTATCAGAACATTCCGAAGGTTGGTTACGACAACAGGACGGGTCCACGCCAAGTGCCTCGGTCACAAATGACCATATACCCACAAGGTGTTGGCCAACATTGTTACAAATGGATGATCACTTATCATTATCATATTCATTGTTTATTACTATGATGTCACATTTTTTTTTCATTTTTGTGTGCAAGTTTAGATATACAATTAATAATGTAAGCTTTTATTCATGTAAAGGTACATTGTATGTCTATTGGAAGCAATATTCATGTAAAAGTGCTCAATAGTGTTTTGGCATATACCTTTATATATATTCCCATCTTTACACAATATGCCTGTGCTTGTGTACAAAGTTAAATATATATTATTGTACTTTATTGTAAAGTTATTGCAATAAAATTGTTAGTTATTGTACCTGTTTGTTTTGAATTTTCAATGGGTATAGTGTTGTCTATCTCATAAGTGATAAACTTCTTGGAGCAGTCATTATTTTCTTCGAGAAAATTTCAAAATTTATACTGACTGAATAGTGAGCAGTGCAGACCATGATCAAATTCTGTGCTGGCTGATCTGTGCCCTTTGAAGATTGTCTGCACTGTTCATGATTCAGTCAGTAGTTATTTTGAAATTTTCCCCAAAAATGTCTTCTTCCAAGACATGTCTGCGAAAAAGTTAAGAAGTTACCTGCCCTTTAGAAATGCATTCCAATTTAAAAACTGAAAAAGTATTCCAACTTTGAAGTGATTAACTTGGACAGTTCTTGAGAAATTGACCTATGGAGAGAATAGGGGCATAACTTTGCAAAAATGAATTGTAGCATTATCTGCCCTTCTGAAATGCTGTCATGTTTTGATAGTGAACATGCATATCAAGTTACTTAAAAAATGAACCACAACAAAAGGTTAACCAGTGCATAAAATCTAAGTTGAAAAAGGGGCATTACTTTGCAAAAAGTAATTTTTTTATATTATCTGCCATTTTAAAATGATATCCTTTCATGACAATAAATTGAGGTGAAAGCTTTTAAAGTTTCTGCGGAAATTGACCTAAACACAAAGGTTAACCAATGCAGACACTGACATCGATGCCTAACAGAATGTTTTCACCAACATCCTGAAATGATTTATTTTAATCATACTTATTTCTATCTTATGTTAACTGTCCGACAGAACCGCCATGTGCATAACAAATTACAACTGTGTTACTACAGTAACCTTTATTCTTTTATCGTCTTAACAACAATATCAAAAAATCAAAGTTTTAGTTTCTTTCCACCCTGTGTAGATTCTTTCTGATTCTTTGGTTGATCTTTTCGTTTCCGGCTAATATTCGAAGTAACCTCCTCTTGAAGTTGAGTGAAAAAAGCCTTTGACGATGTCAAACCAGTGCGTTCTTTTTTGTCACCCTGCAAAAAACAAACCATTTATGTTTGAGAACAAATTAGAATGGTATATGGGAAATGATATCCTTTCATGACAATAAACATATATACAACACTAAGGTCAAGAATTTGGAATTCAAACAAGATGGCCCTGTGGACCATGATTTGTCACCTGAGAAACAATGCATCAATGCCATTGCTAATATTATCATAAGGCAAGGTTGACATACTTTTACTTTAGCTCTGTCAGCCATCTTGTCCATGACTATCTATTTTTATAACCGATGTTGAGGTTTTAGGGGAAAAGATATAAATTACATTGATTTCTATTTTTAAGTTCTGGTGGTTACTGTGTTCTGCTTGCCATAATAATTATAATTGAGGATTATTTTGTTAAAACAACAACAAATGATCATTCATATAAAGTTATAGCAAACGTTGCTCAGTAATCCAGGTAACGATTTCCTTTAAAGTTTTTACGGCTAAAACTAAACAACCCTATACAAGAACTACAAAGAGAGTATACGAGAACTACAAAGAGAGTATACAAGAACTACAAAGAGAGTATTCAAGTACAACCAGGAGAGTATGCTGGCATTCATCACTTTTTATGTTAAAATTCAAATTTATATTCATGTCAATTTGTTAATCAAAATATTCAAAAACCAGACCAGGCCGGAGGTTAAAGCTCAAGCTCAGATGTCTATGTTTATACATTCATGCCAAGTTCAATATAATCTAAGAATTGACATTCTATCAAGAGATAATTTCTTTTTTAAGTTTTTTTCTCTTGAACTAAGGAACCCCTAATTCTATTGTAAAGAAATGAATCTTTTGTTTAATTACTGTTTTATGGCTACTAAACCTATCTTATTGCTCAGATCTGCTGATGGACAGAAGGAAGGCAGGAAGGAAGATGAATGTTATTTTAATTCTAATTTTCATTGATAGGGGATAGTCAGGGTATAATAAAATGTATTAATAAACAACAGCAATGAGTACTGGTAGGTTCCTAGACAACAATACAGACCATTCCAATAATTACATAATTACATGAATCTTTCACTGAAATTAAATGAATCAATCAACTCAACAATATGGGATATCCCCTCAATGATAAAATGTAATAATGGGGGACTGAAAATATCAAAAGGTTTCACAAATAAGTAAGGCCAGTTTTACTATAAGTATATGTACCTTTATCATAGTGATTCCATGTGCATCAGAACGGCTTTCCTTCTCTAATTTTTGCAATGCCTTTTCCTTACTATACTTGTTACCAAGACCTGGGTTTAATTGTTCTACCAGTTTCTCTCGTCTTTCCTTCTCTTTCTTCCTTGTTCTCTGTTTCTTTTTCTTTATCTTTCTATCCCGTAATCTGTCAGATGCTGTTTTCTCTGTCGAGCCTTTAACTTCTTGTCTTTCCTTGTCCTGTAAGCAAAAGAACAAAACAAGTTATCAGTTGAAAAACAAGCTTTATTTTTCTTAGTGCTCGGAAGTTAGGCAAGAGCTACCCATGCACAAACTGTTTGACCTTTCTTAGTACATGTACTTAATCTACCAGTCCAACAAACATTTTCTCAGTACTTGATAGTAAAACAAGAGCTATCAAGTCGTGAAACCTGTGTGGCTATTCTTAGTGCCTAAAGTAAAAACAAGGAATTTAACAGTGTTGGAGCACTCCATATAATAATATATGCTTGCAGAAATCATGATCACAAAGTAGAACAAGATTGCATTTCTGAAAAATGCTATGCCACCACATTAATACAACACTAAATAGTAATGTAGGAACAGAATTGTTTTGTTTCTATACAATTGAAGATTGCCATAATGCATAGATCCCTGACCTTTCTAATTCTTATTATCAGATTAGTGGTTAAATCTATTGTTATTCAAATAAAAGATCAGAGCAGAAATCTATCAATGCAGTTGAGTCTAGTAAATTTGGTGGTGAAGGTCATATTTCACATGGCCATAATTCCATTACTGTACATCAAAGGACAACACAGTAAGACACTTTGCTAAAATCTAGGCCAGCTGATATCAAAGTTCACTTTACATCTTAATCTGAACACATGGTTCAAATTTTATAGCTGCACATCTAAGGACAAGAAAGTAGGTCACACCATCAAAATCTAGGTCACCTGATATCAAAGTTCAATTTTACAAATAAAACTGTGCACATGGTCCAAAATTCATGGCTTACATCAAAGGACAAGAATGTAGGTCACTGTCCCCTTGGGCAAGGCAAAATTTTGACCCAAGTGTTTAATTCAAACAACTTTGATACAGGTCCACCAAACAACAGTTCTTGTCAAATTATCTAAGCTGTAGCTTTCTCCAATTCAGAAAACATTTGTTTTAGTTTCTGTTTTTACTATGTGTACATAATGAAAATCAATGCCCCTGGTCAGGGCCAATTTTGACACCCGGGGCAAAATTTGAACATCTTTGGTAGAGGACCTATGGATGATATTATAAAGCAAACATCAAACCTCTAAGCCTTGTTCCTTCAGACAAGAAGATTTTTTAATTTTTACTATATGTACATTGTGAAAATCAATGACCCCGGCCAGGGGCCAATTTTGACACCAGGGCTATAATTTTAACAATCTTGGTAGAGGTTCACTACACAAAGTCTCATGCCAAATATCTAACCTCTAGCCTTTGTCAATTCAGAGAAGCTTTTTTAAGTTTTTACTATATACATATAAGGAAAACTATCGCCTCTGGGGCAGGGCAATTATAACACTAGGAGCTTAGTTTAAACAACTTTGGTTGAAGACTCATAGATGATATTATATACAAAATATCAAAGATTTAAGCCTTGTACCTTAAGACAAGAAGATTTTTAACTTTTTACTATTTGTACATAGTGACTGAAATCAATGACCCCAGGGCAGGGTCAATTTTGATCCCAGGGCTATAATTTGAACAATCTTGCTAGAGGTTCACTACACAAAGTATCATGCCAAATATCTAACCTCTAGCCTTTGTCAAGTTTTTACTATATACATATAAGGAAAACTATCGCCTCTGGGGCAGGGCAATTATAACACTAGGGGCATAATTTAAACAACTTTGGTTGAAGACTCATAGATGATATCATATACAAAATATCAAAGATTTAAGCCTTGTACCTTAAAATAAGAAGATTTTTAACTTTTTACTATGTGTACATAGTGACTGAAAATCAATGACCCCAGGGCAGGGCCAATTTTGACCCCAGGGCTATAATTTATTTGAACAATCTTGCTAGAGGTTCACTACACAATGTTTCATGCAAAATATCTAACGTCTGGCCTTTGTCAATTTAGAAAAGATGTTGTTTTTTTCTCAAGTTTTTACTAAATACATAGAAGGAAAACCTATGACCAAGGGGCTAATTTTGACACTAGAGCAAAATTTGAACAACTTTGGTAGAGTACCTATATACCAAATACCAGAGCTCTAAGCCTTGTACCTTCAGCAAGAAGGTATTTCAAGTTTTTACTATATGTACATATAGTGAAAATCAATGACCCCCAGGGCGGGGTCAATTTTGACCCCAGGGCTATAATTTGAACAATCTTGGTAGAGGCCGACCCATTTCAACCCCTTAAACTTAAGATGATAGGCTTGTCCAAAATCCTATATGGGGCTGCCTATTGCTAGTTTATAAAGGGACATTCAGTACTGAAATACAGAATTTTTAGTCTGAAACTAGTCTGATATTTTTTGTCTGATTTTATAAAAACAAATGACAATAATGCAACAAACCTTGATTTCTTCTGGTGCCAGTAATTGGCCATCACTGATAGAGACAGGGGCCACCTCTTCCATTGTAATTGATGGCTGATTACTGATGATAGTTACCTCAGCTGTAGCCTGTAATATCATACAATAAATTCAAACAAGATGATGGTAATACATCCTACTCTAGTGAATCAGTTATTCATGTATATATGTATATGCGACCAGTGTAGATTTAGATCAGCCTGAACATCGTGCAGTTTGACCAGGAATTCCACTGTTTACTTTTATATCCAACAAAGAATTTGATTGAAAAGTGAACAGTGGTGATCCAGACTGCACGGATGTGTACGCTGATCTGTACTGGCACTGGTTGCATACACTTTAAAGCACTATCTATGGGGTAACAGGTTATAAGAAGTCAAATAAGGGCACCATGATAGCTCGGCATTGCTTATCAGAATAATTTTTTCAGATTTGCTCACAAAATCTTGCTGATGGTGTATAAGCCAAAGATATTTCTATTTTAGGCTTAATAATAATCATTCATATGTACACTTTTAATGGAAGACCATCTAAGAATGCTTCAACAGTTGGTTCTTTAAAAGATGTTAAAATATATTTGCTTTTTTTAACTACAGAGGCCTTGCTGTCTGAAGTTATTTTCCCTGCAAATTTTGATTGATTAGGATCTAAGACTACAGACTATATTTTATGATAATACATTACAGGTTTTTAACAAGGTTATTTTTGATTGTATTTTTCTAGATTTTAGCTCTCACACTAAAAGCTGACCATGAAACCATTTTTCTTGTGGGCTTAGAAGTACATCATCCTTTGCTAAGGCATAATTTGTCACCAAAATGCTTTTTGATAAATCACCTAGGCCCAGTTATAGAAAAAGCATTTAATTTTCCCTTTGCTATCTCAGATTATTTTATTTGTTTATTAAGAGTCATGCAGCTCTAACCCTTTTACGGTAGAATAATGTAAATTCAAGTGCTAATTCAAATTTTAGAATTTCTGTAAATCTGGCACCTGAATAATTTTGTATAATTATCTGTTTTTTTTTGTGCATTCTGCTTGAAGTTTGAAAATGGTGAAATAAAAGAAATACAAATATAGAAAACAAATCTATTTGGCAACAAAATTTAATTATTTCAATAAATTACAAGTATAATATAATGTTTTAGTAGAATTTGCCTTTTTTCGTGAAACTGGCAGTCTATACTGCAGTTGTCTTTATGTGACCATGACAGTGAAAGGTGTATAATAAATAACTATATTTCGTAATAACAAACCTGTTTTGGTGTATAGTGGAAGTTAGATAGAGCATCAAGTTTTAGAAATAGAGATTGCATCATTTTCTTGATTTCATCATGATCAGGATCTGTCTTCTCTACTTCTTCTGTCTGTAAATATAAAATAACACCTAATTTTCATCCATGATGCATATAATTGTCTCATTGGCCTCCCGTGCATCAAAATTGTATCATCACAAAATAAACTTGCATACATATTAAGTATCATTCAGTGAATTACTGATTCAAAATTTATAAGTCCCGTCTGACATACCTCAATCTAATAACCAGTTTTTTTCCTTTTTAAGCCTGGTCAGTTATTTCACACATCAATCAGACAGTAAAAAAAGTACAACAAATAGAGAAAATTGTCACAGCTAATTTTAATATCAATTTACCTGATAAAATGTTACTGCAAGTTTATGGAGCAAAGAAAAAAAAATGAATATCAATTATTGTTTTAAGACTACATGTAGTACTTAATAAAATTTTTACCTGCATAGACACTACAAAACTTTTCTCCCTAAAGATTTATGAACAATTCTAATTATATAGGACTATAGGAAGGGTTTCTGCAATATCAGAATTTTAAAAATATAGGAAATTATAAAACGCATGTAGGAATTGGTTGAAGCCTTCTCTAGGCAATATACCCAGGACTTTTCTCCTTCATTGCATCAAAGTAACAAAAGTTCTTTAACTCAAACAAGAAGGCCATGATGGCCCTAAATCGCTCACCTGTATATAGGCCCGAAGGCCAAGGCCAATTTAAAACCAGAAGCTTTTATTTGAACATACTTGGTAGACACACATTAGAAGATGTTTACGCCCTAGCTCTTTGGGATTTTTATAAGATTTTTTAAGTTTTTACTATATACATATAGGGAGAAAAAAAATGACCCCCCTCAAAGGGGCCAATTTTGACCCCAGGGCTTTTATCTGAACAAACTTGGTAGACACCCATTAGAAGATGTTTCATGATAAATACCTAAGCTCTAGCTCTTTGGGTTTTTTATATGAGATTTATTAAGTTTTTACTATATACATATAGGGAAAAAGAATCACCCCCCCCTCGCACGGGGCCAATTTTGACCCCAGGGCTTTTATTTGAACAAACTTGGTAGACACCCATTAGAAGATGTTTCATGATAAATATCTAAGCTCTAGCTCTTTGGGGTTTTTATAAGAAGATTTTTTAAGTTTTTACTATATACATATAGGGAAAAACAATGACCTCCGCCCCTTGGGGGCCAATTTTGACCCCAGGGCTTTTATTTGAACAAACTTGGTAGACACTCACTAGAAGATATTTCATGCTTAGTATCTAAACTCTAGCTCTTTTGGGTTTTTTTTATAAGAAGATTTTTCAAGTTTTTAATAGGGCTTTTATTTGAACAAACTTGGTAGACACCCACCAGAAGATGTTTCATGCTTAATATCTAAGCTCTAGCTATTTTGTTTTTTTTTAAAGAGGATTTTTTAAGTTTTTACCATAAACAAATAAGGAAAATCATTGAGCCCCTGGGGCGGGCCAATTTTTACCCCAGGTCTCTTATTTGAACAAACTTGGTAGACACCCACTAGAGGATGTTTCATGCTTAATATCTAAGCTCTAGCTATTTGGGTTTATTAAAAGAAGATATTTTAAGTTTTTACTATATACATGTACAAATAAGGAAAATCAATGACCCCCCTAGGGCGGGGCCAATTTTGACCCCATAGTTTTTATTTGAACACACTTGGTAGACACTCACTAGAAAATGTTTCATGCTTAATATCTAACCTCTAGCTCTTTGGGTTTTTTTCAAAGGAGATTTTTTAAGATTTTACTATAAAACATATAAGGAAAATCAATGACCCCAGGGGCAGCCGGACAGACACCGGGTGAAAGCGATCACAAAAAGGTGAACCAAATATATCAACCTAACAGGTCAACCAAGGCTAATGGTCCCAAATCTGGGACATGAAAATAGCTCTGCCTTTGTCTAGAAAAGTGAAGCTAAAAGTGAATGAAACGATACTGTAGAAAATTACAATCAAATCTCTAAAATTCTACTGTTTTTTAGTTAGGTACTTATATGATACATGGCTTTTAAGACTTTAATATAACCTGTCACCTCTTTTTAAGACAAAAAAGCCAAAAATGATCAATATTTCTCAGAAGTTGGGAATTTTTCTTTTACTGGGAAAAAGTAGCTATTTGGATTAGGAAAAGAGCCTTTTATTTGCGCTCGATGATATGAAAAGAGGCCATTTTGGATTGGGACAAGAGCCCCCTTTTTGCCCTTGGTGACAGGAAAAGAGATTATTTTGGATTGGGAAAAAGGCCTCTTATTTCCCTTGGTGTTAGGAAAAGACTTTTTTTTGGATTGGGTACTCTTATTTTCCATTGATGATAGGAAGAGAGGCTATTTGGATTGGGAAAAGAGCCTCTTATTTGCTCTTGGTGATACGGAGAAACTGCCTTGTCTGACTAAATTACCTTCTGTTGTTTCAAATATTCTTGCTCATAAATCTCGTTAAGACTCAGTTTACTTTTCTCTTGATCAAGTGTTATACGTTTCTTGTATTCAAAAGGGTTGTCTTTCGGCTTGACTTTTCGTTCTACGTCATCCCATGCCTGAAGAGAAAATATGATGTATATTTTGTACACGAAAAATAAAGAAAAAATTATATACCAAAAAAAAATGATACCATATGAACATAATAGAAAATTTTTTTATTCAACAAGTTCTCCTTAAAATATTTCAAAATCAATAAGTGTTAAGATATTTACTCCAATAATCATTGATTAATATACAAAACAGGCATTTAAAGCTACACATGTACAAATATGCATCACTGAAAAATACTTGAAAAAAGGTGGTAATGAGTATCCGTAAATTGGGAAAATTTTAAACTTTTCATAAAAAAATTGTTCAGGTAATGTGGGAACATTATTTATAATTTTATTCAAAAGTGTGCCAGAGTGAATTTTATTTTTCTTCTTCACAAATGAATATAACCTTTGTTACTTATTACTTGGCCAATTCTTGGTCAATCCTCTGGTGTTTTTATTGAAACGTTTCATTAACAACATGCTTTGCTTGTTACACTTTTCTAAAAGAATACGTCAATTATAGTTAGTCACATGAACAACGGGTTCTCATTTCCACAGTTTTTTGATAAATATTACAAACATGGCAATCCTGTCCGGAAAAAATAACTCAAAACAAATATTAAAAGCACCTTCTTCTCTCTTTTAAAAATGTGTTTTTATTCATTATGCTTTTTTACCACATTGAATTCCCTTCAAATATATTGTATGCTGCTTTTTGATTTTTTCGAAATTACAGATGTTAAGCTTTGAGTTTTAAGGTAGATCCCTCAATGTGCATTACCTCCACATTGAAGAGTACATGTATTTTAATAGGCTAGAATAAAATCAATTGCTGGGCAACGTAAGGCTAAAAGTTCAAATCCAATTGGCTGCCTATTTTTTTCTTTGAACATTATTGATGTATCTCTCTCATAACCTATTTAGTAAGGAAAAATTGTTTCATGTTAATAATATTCTTTGTTTAGGTGTCTAATGATTAAAAATTTAATAAGAAATATTATACCTGATATATTCAAGATCTAATAAAATCAAAACTAGAACTATCACTAAATGTGATTAATACCCCCACAAGACTGCTTCGGAAATGAGGATGTTACTAGTAACAGAATACCTTGTAAAAGAATTGAAAAATAGAGTTATGGTTGTGGGCAATTAAAGATAGTTGTGGTTCTTGTATGTTGCATTTCCTTTCAATGTGGTTGGCCATTGATGAAGTTTAATTGAATTACTCTGTAATAAGTCCAGAAAGACAAAGAAAAGGAACAAAGGGCAATAACTCTATAAATACTGAAGATATAGTTATAGTTCTTGTGCACTGCACTTCCTCTTATTGTGCTTGACCATTGAATGAAGTTGATTTGAATTCCAACCAGTACGTTTTAAGTGATGCTCCGGACAAGGAAAAGTATCAAAGGGCAGTAACTCTGTATTTTGTCAAAATGGAGTTATGGCTCTTGTGCACTGCACTTCCTTTTAATGTCCTTGACAACTGTATGAAGTTGTATTGAATTCCAAACAGTAGTTTTCAAGTTATGCCCCGGACAAGGAAAAGTAACAAAGGGCAATAACTCTGTAATTAGTCAAGATGGAGTTATGGTTCTTGTGCACTGCACTTCCTCTCAATGTGCTTGACCATTGTATGAAGTTATATTGAATTCCAACCATTAGTCTTCAAGTTATGCTCCAGACAAAAGAAAGCAATGGAATAGTAACAAAGGGCAATAACTCTGTAATTAGTCAAGATGGAGTTATGGTTCTTGTGCACTGCACTTCCCCTTATTGTGCTTGACCATTGTATGAAGTTGTTTTGAATTCCAACCAGTAGTTTTCAAGTCATGCTCTGGACAAGGAAAAGTAACAAAGGGCAGTAACTCTGTAATAAGTCAAGATGGAGTTATGGTTCTTGTGCACTGCACTTCCTCTCAATGTGCTTGACCATTGTATGAAGTTATAATGAATTCCAACAATTAGTCTTCAAGTTATGGTCCGGACAAAAGAAAGCAATGGAATAGTAACAAAGGGCAATAACTCTGTAATTAGTTAAGATGGAGTTATGGTTCTTGTGCACTGCACTTCCCCTTATTGTGCTTGACCATTGTATGAAGTTGTTTTGAATTCCAACCAGTAGTTTTCAAGTCATGCTCTGGACAAGGAAAAGTAACAAAGGGCAGTAACTCTGTAATAAGTCAAGATGGAGTTATGGTTCTTGTGCACTGCACTTCCTCTCAATGTGCTTGACCATTGTATGAAGTTATAATGAATTCCAACAATTAGTCTTCAAGTTATGGTCCGGACAAAAGAAAGCAATGGAAAAGTAACAAAGGGCAATAACTCTGTAATTACTTTAGATAGAGTTATGGTTCTTGTGCACTGCACTTCCCCTTATTGTGTTTGACAATTGTATGAAGTTGTTTTGAATTCCAACCAGTTGTTTTCAAGTTATGCCCCGGACAAGGAAAAGTAACAAAGGGCAATAACTCTGTAATTAGTCAAGATAGAGTTATGGTTCTTGTGCACTGCACTTCTTCTCAATGTGCTTGACCATTGTATGTAGTTATATTGAATTCCAACTATTAGTCTTCAAGTTATGGTCCGGACAAAAAAAAGCAATAGAAAAGCAACAAAGGGCAATAACTCTGTAATTACTTTAGATAGAGTTATGGTTCTTGTGCACTGCACTTCCCCTTATTGTGTTTGACAATTGTATGAAGTTGTTTTGAATTCCAACCCGTAGTTTTTAAGTTATGCCCCGGACAAGGAAAAGTAACAAAGGGCAATAACTCTGTAATTAGTCAAGATGGAGTTATGGTTCTTGTGCACTGTACTTCCTCTCAATGTGCTTGACCATTGTATGTAGTTATATTGAATTCCAACCATTAGTCATCAAGTTATGCTCCGGACAAGGAAAATGCAACGGACGTCTGGACCGACCGACCACCGGGTGACTCCTATATATCCCCCCCAAACTTGGTTTTTGGGGGTATAACTACAAAGTGATTTGCTTTATATACATGAAGATCAGTCAATATATTTCATAGAAAATTTGGATATTGAAATTAGTTTAACTATTTTTTAGATTTAAGTGGGACATTATGACAGACAAGAGTGCTCAGTTATCATGTGTCGTCTGATAATAGCTAATTAAGCCGTTGTACTGTGAGGTAATTGACCAATTTGTTTCCTATTAGTATATGTCACAGTTACTTTGTAGCATATTGCAGCTAATGTGTAGCAGGAGACACATTTTATCATGGGCAATAACTCGTCCAAAAATCATTCAACTGCAAATCATGTTAAATATGCCCAAGAACTTGAGGTATCAATCAATCCTGTAGTTTCACTCAAATTGCATTACTAGTATAAGAGAGGAAGTCTGGACAAAACTTTAACAAATAAAAATAATGAAAGGGTCATAACTCTGACAAAAATCGTTGAATTAGAAAATGCAAAAGATATGCACACCTAGACTTGGTGCTTATTATTCCTGTAAAGTTTCGAAAAAATTGCAGAAGTAGTTGTTGAGGAGTAGCCAAACAGCAGGGGAATCTGTGGCCAAGTGGTTAACGTCGTTGACTAAAAACCACTTGCCCCTTACAATTGTGGGTTTGATTCCAGACAGAGACGTTGGATTCTTTCATGTGAGGAAGCTATTCAGCTAGCTTACAGAACATCAATAGTTCCTCCTAGGTGCCAATCCATGCCTGAAATAATACACAGAGGAGCACCTGAGGTCTTCCTCCACCAGTAAAGCAGGAAAATCATCACATGACCTAAACTGTGTTGGTGCGACATAACTCCCCCCACAAAACTTTACCCTCATTGTTTAGTAGTTTGGTTTCATTAAAAGATTCCAGAGTATGTCTATAAGCTTATAGCTTCCTACGCAATCAAACTTAAATAAATTCTGTAATAACTAAACTAAATTCCCACAGAAATAAAATTCCAACCTTATCCTTTATCCTTTGTCTTATCAAATCTTCCAGGGTCTTAGTTGTCTCCTCTGTAATTTCTGGGGCTAAAAATTTCAAATTTGACAAAATATTAGTGACTTCATACATCATTTTTATCACATTTCCATGTACTTTTGCGACTCCGTAAATACGGTATTGCACAGCCATGCATATATTTTGATGTGACGTCACTTGCATTACACAAACATAGTGTAAGGATGCACTAAATGTTAGTGTTACACTATAAGCAAGTCAATAAATTTAGAAAGTTAAATTTCTGTAAGTTCATTTCTGACTCAATTGTACTTGTTGAATAAATTTAATAATTTGCGAGCCATATGCTCACATATAAATATAATTTTATTCAACTTGTTCAATAAATTCAGTATTCATACTCATTCAATATTCTCTATTTATTGCTTGCTGATATTCAGATTTTCATTGATTTCTCAACACTTCAGAAGCACATCTCTATTTTCAGCTTGTTTTGACTCAAGGATGGTCCACATGTATACTTTAGTAATGATTTTTCTGTTAAAATGTAATAAATTAATAACAAGACTTTTCTTTCTTTTTTATTTTTAAGTGTTGCATCTTAACTTTAAAGTATGCATGGTCATCAAAGTTAAAGTCAATAATTTAGAACAATAACATGTAGGTCAATCTGCCATGCTTATAGGTGGTGTTACATATGTAAATTAGCATGTGTTCTGAAAACCACAATATCATCAACGATGGAGTTACAGTGCGAACTTATACAAGTTTTATATACATTTAAGGTGCAGTAACTGATGACTTATTATAAAAGATATCTTGATACAGTACAGATATGTTGTTAATTATAACAATCAATAAATCTTACGAAGTCTTGTGGTGTGTTCAAATTGTAAATTTTCTTGTAGTAGACTGTTCTCTGGTCGTTTACCAGCAGAGATTTCACCAGCTAGTTGCCATGGTTTCTGGGACAACATATCATCTTCAATGGCAGAAATCTTCTTTTTCAACTGTTCATCAAAATATAAAGATTATGTTTTTATTTATGTATTATAAATTGATATTTGAATTAAACACAATGCTTATGGATACATGTAAATCAAATGTCAACTGCCAACATTAGACCATTCAATATTGTCTGTAGTATATTTGATTTGTTAGTTTAAACAATATTTTTATTAATAATCCATACATTTACATAATAAAGTGCATAAAATAAAATTTACAGATTGAGAAGGAAGCTTGTAAATATTTTTTGAAAACTCTCTCCGTAAATTTGATTTGTTATATTATGTCTTAGATTCTACCACTTAGCATTTATTTGTTTCACAACTCTACGGAACTAAATCTGTACCATTACCAATATAATAATGAAATTGAATGAAAGTTTAAAAAAAATTCAAACTCAAGAACCTGATAAAAAAAACAACAGTTCTAGCTACATTGATATCTACAAAACCATTAAAGTATATACATCCATACCAAGAATATCCTGTCTTAACTTTTCAGCATTTTAGTATTCAGTATTTTAGTATTCAGTATTTCAGTATTCAGTATTTTAGTATTCAGCATAAAAATACTTTTCAACCTGATAATGAAAACGTGAGTTCCATAGTAACAAGAGCCATGTTACACATGGTTAATCCCCTTGCTGGGGAAAGAGTTCAACTGAAGGCTGTACTTTGGTACATTTTACTTGGTCATTCTTACATGAAAAACCTGATAATGAAATTATTACAAATATATACAAAACGTGACTTCCATAGTAACAATAGCAATCCTACACATAGGAAAGTTTACCAGAAGGTTGTACTTGGTACATTTTAAATGGTGAGAGGAAATCCTTAAAAAGCCCTATAGTTATGGTAACGCTAAGTAAAGTTTTCAAGAAAGTCTGCAAAGAATATTGCAATAAAGAGAAAGTCAGCATAACTATCTAGTATGTACAGGTGATTTATCTATTTTGTTTTATTTATGTCAATGTATTAAGTCTGAAAAAAAAATCACTCAAGAAAATTTTGAGTTATGATCAGTGTTTTTTTTCTATGTAAATCTGATAAAGGGGGGGGGGGCATTTCTAATATCCCCTTAACATTTGGATAAATTAAAACTTTATTTTCAAAGAATGACTAGTAATATTGGAATAATATTGGAATTCCATTACAATGAAATATTTTCTGAAAAAGTAAACAAGCGAACTCACCCTTTCTTGTCTTATTTCATAGGATGATTTTTCTTCCTTTTTACCACCTAAAATGTCAGCCACATCTTCGCCCTCACTGTCAGAATCAGCAAACAGGTCCTGGCCACGCCTATCCTTAGCTTCCTCAGCCTCTTCATCCCCTGACCTACATCAGAACAACCAAAACAATCATATATTAACATAGGATATATGAAACCATAATGATTTTTCATAAACATTGATATAATGCCTCATTTAATTGTAACCAGAGCTATGCCAAGTGAATAGAGGTTACTGAAACCCCCTGTGCAAACCTTGCTATTAAGGGACAGTCACATGGTAAGGCTCTCTAAATGGTACTGAAAGTTGGACAGCTTGGTGTCATAACAATACCATCTATTAACCTGGCAGTGTAGATATAAGATAGAAACTTGACTTGTTCTCTATCCCACTCCATCCCTGACATAATTGGGGGGGGTTTCAGTTACAGTTTCATTTACAAAATTATCAGACCCTTCATAATTTAAGAAATAAGCACTACAATTGAATGAAGGACACCTCCCCAGGGATGACCTTGACCTATTTGCCCTTACATGGGTTTAGTGGGTAGAGTTTATCAAGGTGCATGTACCTGTGAACTTTTTATGCTCTAGTGGAAGGGTCAAAGTTAAAATTTTGTGACAGACAACGAAGGACAGGCAGACAAAGGATAGAAACACAAAAGACAATATTCCATCCAAAGGCATAAAAAGTTTTGTTCTCGTGATCCATTACAAGTACCTGTCTTCTTCGTTTTCTTCATTTTCATCAAAATCCTCATCATCATCATCTTCCCATTCTTCCTCATCAATTTCCTGCTTAGGGACATCTTTTTCTCTATCAACTGGACCTTCTACTTCACCTTCTGGAGGATCAAAGAAATCTTCATAGTGGGCCTCCTACAAAATAAAAGTTACATGTATGTACAATATACAATGTAATATCAAACTTTCAAAGGTTTAGAACATTAACAAGAACTCCGCGAGTCAGATGTGTCGCCTTGTGAACATTCAACAATATAGTTTAGGAGAAATGGCCAGGACAAAAATGAAATAAGAAAACTAACAAAGGGCAATAGCTCAAAAAATAATAAGTGCAGAGCAGCAGTTTCTATGCACTGCACTTCTTATCAATAAGATCTATCATTCTATGAAGTTTCAAGTCCATATCTTTTATAATTTATGAGAAATGGCCTGGACAAAAGTAAAATATGAAAATATATAAAGGGTAATAACTCAAAAATAAGAAATGCAGAGTACCGGTTCTTGTACACTGCACTTTTTCTTAATGAGATCTATCATCCTATGAAGTTTCATGTCTATAGCTTTCATACTTGAGGAGAAATGACCTGGACAAAAATAAAGTAAGAAAATTAACAAAGGGCAATAACTCAAAAAATAAGAAATGCAGAGTACCGGTTCTTGTGCACTGCACTTCTTCTTAATGAGATCTATCATCCTATGAAGTTTCAAGTCCATAGCTTTTATACTTTTCGAGAAATGGCCTGGACAAAAATAAAGTATGAAAATTAACAAAGGGCAATAACTCAAAAAATAAGAAATGCAGAGTACCTGTTCTTATGCACTGCACTTCTTCTTAATGAGATCTATCATCCTATGAAGTTTTAAGTACATAGCTGTTATACATTAGGAGAAATGGCCCAGACAAAAATTAACAAAGGGAAATAACTCAAAAATCAGGAAGTGCAGAGTACCGATTCTTGTGCACTGCACTTCTTTTTAATGAGATCTTAGTATCATCGTATGAAGTTTCAAGTCCATAGCTGTTATACATTAGGAGAAATGGCCCGGACAAAATTAAAGTATGAAAATTTACAAAGGGCAATAACTCAAAAATTAAGAAGTGCAGAGTACCGGTCCTTGTGCACTGCACTTCCTGTTATTGAAAGAAGCATGCATACCAAGTTTGAAGTCAATCTGACTTAAAGTGACTGAGTTATGCTCTGGACAAGCTTTAGGGGACGCCGACAACGACGCCGACACCGCCGACAAAAGTAATCCCTATATGTCGCCTTTACAAGGCAACACAAAAACTACTGTCAAATTTTAGAACAATCAAATTGAAATGAATTTTTTTTGTTTGTTTTGCTGTCAATTAACATTGACTAATATTCATATCAAATCACCCATTTATTGTTTGTTTCTTTTGTTACGTGTAAATATAAATAAAGTCAGACTTTGTTGTTTTGTAAGAACTTTAGCATTTTGCAACTTTAATGTCAACAGACGAAGACCTTGGAAAACTATAATGATCTATAAACATTCTTAACCCATTACTTCATATACACGCCTTTTAACGCCTTTTTCCCCCCCCCCCCCCTTTTTGTTGTCTCAAATGATGAAAAAATGCCTTATTTAGGCCCCAAACACTTGTTTTTGTTTGAGAAATGTTGTTAAAAAAAGTGACCTCTTTTTCGGCGCGGCCCCCCAACCAAAAGATACATCAGGGGGTTGCCAGAAGGGGGATGTACCCCCTTCTGTTTGGGGGGTTTGAAGGGGGGCGGAGTCCCCCTCATCGCCAAGAAAATTTTGGACTTGTGACAGGCTGTAAATGACCCCAGATTGATCATAAGGTAACGTGTAACCAACGCTGAAAAGCATTTGACTCTATCTCAATCCATTGAGAAGTTGCAGCACTTTGAAATCAATTTTGATGGAAAAAATCAACGCAAAATAGTGATTTTTGGCAATTTTGAGATGTCCCCTCGTTGCCATTGTAACAGAAAATTTAAGCCTGAGCATGTTGTTGCAAGGGCAATGGTCCAGTCAACATTTGTGCCAAGTTTGATTAGTGTTGAAGCAGTTTTTATAGTATTATAGCAATTTGAACTTGTAACAGGAGACTTTTCAATGAAAACTGCCATTTTTCACAAAATGCTCATGAAGTAATGGGTTAAACAAATTCAACACTATGAAGGTCACATTTAAAAGATTTTAAGTTATGTGCTCATTGTCATCGTTAAAAGCACCATAAAAATTCAATACACATAAAATGTTTTCATGACTAATTCTATTACTGATACCTCTTGCTTAAAGATGAATGTCAAAATGAAGTTTATGATCAGGTATTATAAAAATTCTGACAATCAAAAGTTTTGTACTTGCTTTAGTAGTGGGGATGATAGTCACAAACAAGTATACAAAGTTTCAAAACAATACCTCAAAGGGTATAAGAAATTGAAAGGGTGGTACAAAAAACAACCAAAATTCTAGGTAAAAAAAGGGGAATAATTTTGTAAAAATCCATGACAGAGTTATGTACTCTGGAAGTGGAAATGAAGTCATTAACAAGTATACAAAGTGTCAAAGCAATATCTCAAAGGCTACAAATGTATATGAAATAAATGGGGTGGGACGAAAAATTTAACCAAAATTTTAAATAAAACGGGCATTATTTGGTCAAAATCCATGATAGAATTATGTCCTTCTGCCTGAAAGTGATGATAATGGTAATAAATAAGTACATGTAAGCAATACCTCAAAGGGAATAGAAAATAGTGGGACGGTACAAAAAACTTAACTAAAATTCTAAGAAAAAAAGGGGCATAATTTTTAATGTTGTCAAAATCCATTATAAAGTTATGTCTTCATGCTTGGGTGTGGGGATGATGGTCACTTTCAAGACTTAGTATACAAAGTTTCAAAGCAATACCTCAATGGGTATTTAGGTATAGAAAATAAGAAAGGTACCTGGTACAAAAAAAAACTTAATAGTGGGACTAAACCACCTGTATAGGTAAAGGACAAAAAATAGTATGTGTAATTTCAACGTGAAAGTGGTTTAACTTGAAACCAAAATATATCTGAGACAACATAATTATTAATTCTTATTTCTGGAAACACTTACCTCCTCTGCAGAATCAATATCACCAAACATATCGATGTTGTCCTCTTCGTTATCTTCCTCATCACTGTCATCATCATCATCATCTTCAACTTTATCATGTTTTGTCTTTTTAAGTCTTCTTTCTTCACGTTTGTCTTCCTGATCCAAAAAAGTCTCAAGTTCAGCTAATTTGAAAAAAGCATCATCAACAATGCTGCCTCTCTTTGAAAACTTCTTACCTCCTTTTTTGTTTATTTCTTTTTTGTTTGTGACCTCATTTTCTTTTTGATCTTTGAAAGTCACAGATTTTTTTGTCTTGTTTTTAGGTTTTACATTTCTATCCTCATTATGGTCATCTTCAGAGTCATTTTTAAATAACTCATCATCAAGGTCACCCTTCTGTCCTAATGGACCAAAGTCAAAGTTCAAATCCTCATCAGAATCACCTGTGAAGTCAAAAAACTTATCATCTTCATCAATTCTATTCAGTTTATTTTCTATTTCTGCTATTTCTTTGTCATCATCATCCTCATCAATATCATCACTATTGTTTCCTAAATCATCAACAAAATCATCAACCTCACCATCTGTAGCCTTTAACTCTTTGATATCTTTTTTCTTCTTTGATATTTTCTCCTTTGTTTTGCTTTTTAACACATCACTAGTCACTACTTTCTTGATTTGCTTTGACTTAGAAAGTACTTCTGAACTTTTATCTTTGAAAGAACACTGATTTTTGCTTGACAAAATTTTTGCAGCCCCACTTAATAAATTGGAAACACATGCTTCATTTTCCAGCTCCAACTGCTGCCATATCTGTTCATCATCAAAGTCTGATACAATTAACTCTTGTAATGTGCTAGATGAAGAATTATCCTGTATGACTGTCTTAGATATGTCATATAAATTCTTCAAGGGATCAGTGTATTTGGAGCTGAAAGACTTCCCTGCACTGAAATAGTAATTTACATGTATAGTTTTATGGAATTGATAACAAAAGAATATATTTTGTTAAATTTAAATTTCATTTTTCATTAAATCAAACTTTAAAATCCAAACAGTGTTTTGGTATCTTTTACTATCTTTTGAAAAGCGATGTATCAATAATTTGAAAATAAAGATGAAGGTGTGCCTGGTCACAACTCTTCCCTGAAAAACATTTGCGGAAAAATTCTTTATCTGCTCAGCTGATATCTTTTATGTGCACTCTTATTTATACTCATCATTTAAAGATTTTTGTAATTTAGCAAGAAACATGATTTAAATAAGGAAACTTGAACTGGAACATTTTTTTTTAATTTAAGTAATAAACAGGGTTCCCACTCTTAGATATTTTGAAAATTTAAGGACTTTTCCAGGACTTATCAAGGACCTTTTTTGATTTTTTAAGGACTTTTTAGAAGATTAAATTTCAAGCTATTTGAGGTATATGAAACTGCCTGCAGGTTATTTGACATTCACAATTTCTCAACTTTCATGTTTAACCCTTTCCCCCATGAGCATATTGTGAAAAATGGCCTTTTTCACTGAAAAGCCTCCTCTTACAAGTTCAAACTGCTATGAAACTATGAAAAATGCTTCAATACTAATCAAACTTGGCACAAATGTTGACTGGACCATTGCCTTTGTAACGACATGCTCAGTCTTAAATTTCCTTTTACCATGGCAACGAGGGGACATCTCAAAATTGCCAAAAATCACATTTTTGCCTCGATTTTTTCCATCAAAATTTACTTCAAAGTGCTGCAACTTCTCAAGGGATTGAGATAGAGTCAAAGGCTTTTCAGCGTTGGTTACACGTTACCTTATGGTCAACCTGGGGTCATTTTAAGCCTCTCACAAGTCCAAAATTTTCTTGGCGATGAGGGGGACTCCGCCCCCCTTCAAACCCCCCAAACAGAAGGGGGCACATCCCCCTTCTGGCAACCCCCTGATGTATTATTTGGATGGGGGACGGCGCCGAAAAAATGGTCACTTTTTTTAACAACATTTCTCAAACGAAAAACAGTGTTTTGGGTCTAAATAGGACATTTTTTCACTGTTTGAGGCCTCAAAAAGGGGGGGGGGGCAAAAAAGCCGTCGAAACACGCTTATATAAGGGAAAAGGTTAAATGTTGTATTCTGCTTAAGCCAGTGCTACGGGAGGGGGGGGGTCAAAAATGTATATTTGGGTATGTTTGGTTACATCTAAGTGAAATTGTATATTGTATTCCTGATTAAAACAACACTTTTATAAGTACAACACATTTATTGTTTTATTTTTAGTATATTTTGGCTATTATATATTTAGGTATTTCGTGCTACCCGTGTGGCCAATTGGCTGTGCTCTACCTTTACAATAGTTCATGTATGTAATCAGGGCTTCTACTAAGTTCCAAAATTTGGAAGTCAGACACTGCAAAATCTCTGATATTGGAAGTCACATTATATAGGTAAAGAAGGAAAAGTAGAAGTCACAAACCAAAATCAGGGAGTAAATGACTCCCAAACTTCCATTAATGGAAGCCCTGTATGTAATACTATTATTAATTTTATATTGATATACCTTTGGCTTTTAGCATGGTTGTGAGCAATTAGGATAACAAAAATGCCCAAGGAAACAACCATACCTGTGAGCTTTCATCTTTTTCATGTGCTTTGAGCACAGGCCAATCAAGCAAACTTGAGGTCGATTTGTGACTGTCTTATAAGATTTTCCAAACAAAACCGCCATAGTAACCAGAAAATAAATGTTAAATCTCATAAATGTCGAACTTGGCCTCTTAAAACACTTGTAAATCGAAAAATCATCAACATTCAAGATGCGGAAATCAATATACTGTGCTAAGACCGCCATTTTGATTGTTTGATTTACCCCCCCCCCTTTTCCAGACTAATTCCCGTACCTTCCCGGACTTTTTTCTGTATCAACACTAATTTCCGGACTTTTTAAGGCCGGGAGCTAGTGTTTTCAAATTCACGGACATTTCCCGTTTTCCCGGACAGCGTGGGAACCCTGAATAAAACTTAAAATAATTTTCAGATTTCTCAAAATTGATTTGATTTTTATTTTCTTTGTGACTTTACAAAATTTTAAGAAGGATCCTGTTTATACGGGGAAGTCAAAGGCTGGTACCGCGAAGCGGGCCCGGGCTTTGGCTTACCTGGCTTTAGACTACATGTGTATATTTAAAACAAAATCAAATAAAAAACCATTAAAAAATATATAGAATTCTATACAGTGAACCAGAGCTCCAGATAATTCTTTTGGCAAAGGGGTTTTTACCCCTCAAAATCTAGAGTGAGGGGTAAAATGCAAATCCTGAAAAACTTAAGGGGTAAAATCTGTCAAAAAGCATTTTGCATTTTTTATAAACAAATTAAAATATTGTTTTTGTTTCTTTGTTAGTTTACTTTTTTAAAAACTTTTACAAATAAAAATACTGATTCAATGTGAAACAATACAAAACATGCTCTATAAAGTCAGACTTCCAGAGTATATTGGAACACACAGCAAAATTTTCAGGGCTTCTTCCATTTTCAAAATTTGGAAGTCGGACTTCAAAATCTCTGATATTGGAAGTCACATTATATAGGTAAGGAAGGAAAAGTATTAGATTATGGAAGTCACAAGCCAAAATGAAAGAGAAAATGATTTCCAAACTTCCACTAGTGGAAGCCCTGAAATTATTTTATATTCTTGGAGTCAATATTTTTCTTTCTTTATTTCTGTTGGAATGTACATGTACATGTACCTTATCATGTACTCCAGTTTGAACAATTATAGTTGAAATTAGAATTAAAGAAAAATAAACAAGATTTTTTTTATCTTTCCTTAAAAAAAAAAGTATTGGTCTGAGAGAAAATTGTCCGTAACTGTTGACTGGGTACGAAAATATTAAATAGAAAACTGCAGGTGAAAAACATGTTATTTTGATTTTGTTTCAACAACAAAAGTGATATATTTTTGTTTATATTGAGGCATAAGTATGTCAATAGATGCCTAAACAAACTTAATACTATGTTAATTCCTACGATGATTATCTGGCACAAATTTTATCAATAATTTCACAGGTAGATCTATGGGAGTAATACCTCCCTTCTGTTCTCTTCCTGCTACTTTTGTTTTTTACATGCTGACAACAGAATTTTTAGTTTTCAATGCAATAAAATGGAAATATATTGTATTTTTATGCTCAAAACATCCTCTTTCTAAATATCAAATGTTTACACTTCTATTCTTTCGCGCTTAAATTTTGACATACAAGCATAATTTCATTTTGTTGTGCGTAACTTTGACGCACAAATTTTGAAAGTGATACTCATTTTAGATTAATTATGTGTATTTCACGCTGATATGCACGCTATCTTGAGCTCTGTATTCCTATCAATGAAATTTTCAAGGTTAGTTCTAGTGGGGCCCCACCATTTTCTATGTTACTTAATGATAATAGGAGGGGTATTTCAATTGGTAGCAAGACACTTCACCCCCCAGACACTTCACCCCTCAAATTTTGAAGACACTTCACCCCTTAAGACACTTCACCCCCCAAAATCAGTAAGACACTTCACCCCTCATCCAATTTTTTTCTATAAAGTATATAAAACAAATTAGTCAACAACAAAATGCTGATATATGTTTATATTGGTTGTTTATTCAACAGTCATCTCATAACTGATTAGATAATTGAATTAAAATGGTATAATTGTATGAAAATTAAATTTATTTATAATATTGAATAAATAAATAGATAAATAAATAAATTAATAAAATGAATATAAATGAATCGGTTGCTTTATAAAATATAGTAAACATAAATTATTTGTCATCATTATCAGACACAATTATCCTGTATTTAATTCAAAAATAATTCATAATAGCATTTATTAAACAAATAAATAGCACCAGTTATGTAAATTAAGCACAAGGTTAAAGCAGAATTCGTCACCAAATGAACGTAACTTAATTATTATATGGTATTTAGGATCAAACTGAAAACAAACTTAAGTACCAAAACTTCAAGAATTAAATCAACTCAAAATTAAATACTAGACATTGATTTATACTTAAAATTACTTGAAAGTCTTTGTATGAGTTTGTATTGTTATTACTATTTTGTATAGGAAACTTCCAACAAAGGTTCACACACTTCACTAGAAAGATTATTCAATTAGTTATATCACTTTTACTTTAATTGAAAATAGTATAAAATATATAAAAATTTAAAAAAAAATTACATTATACTATTAACTTTGTAATATGAGCCTTTTTTGTATGGCAAAAACAACTATATCTATTGTCTTTTATCAGTTACATGATAAAATAATAATAAAATATGTTAAAACAATAAACATACTCAATCACTATTGAATGTTTTTAACATTTACTACATGAATAATTGTTAAACATAAAATAAAAAAATGAGGGGTGAAGTGTCTCAATCAAATTTCTTAAAATGAGGGGTGAACTGTCTGAGGGGTGAAGTGTCTGCAAAAAAAGGCCTAGGGTGAAGTGTCTGGGGGGTGAAGTGTCTGTAAACCTTTCAATAACGAACAATCGTAACTTTCTGGATTAATAATAATCCTCAAGTATTCAGAGTGAAAACGGAAGCGGTGCATGAAATATCGAATGACACCTATAAAATGGAAAAATCATGGAGATTAATTAGAATATTATCTGTGAAAAAATGAACCATTTTTTTAACCGACTTCCCCGTTCATAGGATCTGCCTAATTTCATATTAAATTGTGTAATTTGTAATGTATATGTATGCATGCAATGAATTAAATATTATTTAAACTAATGCAAATTTTCTTTCCCAAACTGGGAAAATTACAAATGTAGTCTATCCCCTAAAATGACCAGGAAAGGGCAAATATGTATCCACAGATGTAGGTAACATCTGTTATCTATGTCTCTGATGTATCATTGTATGTGATACATAAAAATATTATTTTTGGAAGTTTCACTATTATGTTTACTCTGGTAAATAATTATTATATACAAATTGTTCATTTTGCCCACTACAGTAGCCAAGTCCGGATCATTATTCATTTTAAGTCATATTAAGAACATCGCGAAAACAGAAGGCAAATGAATATAAATGAAGAAACTTTTGCATGAAAGATAAATAAATCATATAAAGTGCAAAGTGAATAAATATTGTTCGAATCAAACCTTATAAAATTTTCTAAATTATCCGTTAAACTAATAACTTTGGATGAATTAGCTTGGAATTTCTTTCGGATGGGCGCTGCCATTTTGTTGACTGGTGTAAATCTTTTAATCAGAAAGTACAGAATTCACTCGTATTACCTGAGAACCGATCTAAAGCACTAGACTGGCACTCGTATTCAAATGCACAAAGTACGTTTTTGTAAAGAAATTGTGATTTTTTTCAGTAGCAGATAAACACGTGGATTCTGTTTACAAACTGACAAATGCCAACATGAAAAGAAAGCTGTCAGACACTCATGACAAGGTATATTAGTATTATTATATTTTGTACATTTCCAGGTTTATGCAGCTACTTGAAATATCTATCAATGTCATCTTCCATGTTAACAACAATCAGATAATCACATTTTCATATTTGATCCCTTTCAAATGTGCTGTTTTTGGCTATGTACAATGTATGATACTGTATAAGAGTCTAATATCTTGGATTAGACAAAGTCTGAACCAAGAGTATAAATATATATACATATATTCGGGTCTAAACAAAGATATAGCCTGTTGGACATTGAGTGTGGCTCATCAAGGGGCAGGACATGAAGTGGTTGCACTCTCGGTCAAGCGTGTGAAACAGTTGCAAATTTGACTAAATGGCTACCAAGTCAAGTATATTTAACACTCCCAACCGATTTACAAACTGATACAGGTGACCATCGTTATATAATAAACTGCGCCCTGGCCACAATTTGTTGGGCTGTAAACTACGGTTACTCATAATATTTCAATTCAAACAAGACATACATGCCATAACTTTTGGGCTAATTTCTGGGACACTTTTCATTTTAAGGTGGTCTGTTTGTTTTTTGTAATTCACGTAGTGGCATACAACCATTATTACCCGTTTTTACAACTTGCAAATTTAATGGCAACATAAACAAGACAAAGTGTCAATAATTATTGACAGTTTTTCAATCATTGTTTAAAATATTAAGGCTTTGTAAATTCAATCAGTCACTGGATAGAATAAAGATATGTTAAGTAAGGACAATTAGCCATATATCTGAAACATTCGCTGAATCATGCAGATTTCATCACGTCATATTTAGTTTTAATTTTCAGTGTTTGAGTTCTAATAATTGCCTGCAGGCATATTAAAGTTATACTGGCCAGTTGTTAATTACAGTTTATGACACCTTCGCTGAGGAAGCTACAAGGGGTTAACATTTAATCTTTTAATTTATCAAAATTATTGCTGATAATTTGTTAGTTGGAAGGGGCACATAGGTTTACCAATCAAATGATTTAGTGTCACTAATCTATTTACTGTATATTGCTATGCTGTATGGGGATAATCGTTCGTTATTAGCATTCCTGAATAGTTAATAATAACTCGACAATACAATATAAGATTATATAAAAATGTAAAATTTCTGGCTGCAAAGTAGATTATTTTAGATTGTGATTTTTACGGGGACATAAATCATCTCCGGGATAGACACCTTATTTCCGGGACATTCCCGGACGTCCGTGATATTATGGCATGTATGAAACAAGAAGAATAATAATCTCTAAGAACTACTTTTATCATGTAACCACTTGTCATGTAAGTTTATAAATGATAGTCAAAATCTGTTACATTTATAAATTTTGTTTAGTGTGAAAATTGTAGTACCGTACATTTAGAGATTAGAGAGTATTTAGTGAATAAATGCCCTTTTCAATTTAAAGAAAAATAATCTTAGAAAACATTTAAAGAAAATTAGAAATCTGTTACTGGTATTGTTTCAAAATTAAAATCGGGAAAATATCTTTCATGTGGTGACTAAGCACATTGACTAGGTTAAAACAACATTGGCTGATGTGAGATAAAAGCAGATAATACTGTTTAGTGTTATATTCCTAGCTCTGAATACTGCCAACCTCGTTTGTTAGTGTTATAGGGGTACCTGAGGTCTTCCTCCACCACTAAAGCTGGAAAGTTGCCATATCACCTTAACTTAATACTATTTTGTTAATACATCTGAGTAATAAAAACAAAATGATGGCATCAAATTCAAAATGGACTGTCTCAAAAAAAATTAATAACAGCCCTACAAGTTAACTCTATCCTAAGTCATTCCAGCATTAAATCAACTCAAGACAGTTGTACTTTGAGTCAGCCTTTACTCAGACCCTCAAAATAGGATAATACTTTTAAAGGAAATGAATGGTAATATAATTGTTTGGTATACATATTTAATTCATTTGATCTAATATTTAGTTATATTATGATATAAGGTTTCAGATGAAGAAAATGATAGCAGTGTTGAATTGGAGGAAGCTGATGATGTTACTGATGATGGTTCTGGTTCTAGTGTGGGTGAATCAATAAATGAAGAAGATAATGATGACCTTGGTGATGATAAGGAGAGCATCAATGATGTACAGTCATTAGTTCAATCTTGTCCAAAATCAAAGAAAACCAGTTCAAGAAATGAGTCTTTAGAAATGGGGGAACCAGCCAGTAAAGCTGCAAAATTGTCGAAAAAAGATCTGTATAAGCCGCCCACTAACGAGGAGCTCAATCAGTTAAAGGAAACAGAAAATCTGTTTCATTCATCTTTGTTCAGACTACAGGTAATATATTGATAAAAATCATAAAAAATTTCTGCAAAAAAACCCCAACTTAAATGTCAATGTCAGTCAAGGTTATGCGTGTAAGAGCAATGTTTGTGTCTGGCATATGACAAATAATGCCGTGATCAGTTCTAATTTGTTGGACATGTTTTCCTTGTTATTGCTTATTTGAGACATCTTTATTATGAAATACTCTTAGTAATATGACATATAGATTGTATTAAAGATATAGTAATAACATTTTATTTATTAGTGCTTAATTTTCTACATTTCTTAAAAGACCACCACTGGAGACAATAGAATAGCCATTTATGTACATGTTTGTTGCAGCATCAATCTGTCCTTCTGTTTGTCAATCTTAAACTTTAATCCAGGCTATTTCTTAGCAACCACTGATTTAGATTTATGTAAACATGATAAGAAGCTTCAATGCCAATAGGAACTTTGCATAGAAGCAGCATGTTCTGGTTCAGTGGTTTTTCACAAAGAAATGCCCCTTGAATGCATTGTCAGTTGTCATTTTTGTCTGCAGTATTTCTTAACAATCACTGTCTGGAATTCATGGAAACTTGATAGGAAACTGATAGGAAATTTCACTACATGTTACTTTGCCGAATGGTCTCTAACTTGTACAGGGTAAAAACTTTATAAATGGTCCTCATATTTCTACTTAATATATATTTGTACAAACAGATTACAGAACTGTTAACAGAAGTGACATTGAAAGCAAAACGGAGGAAAGAGATTGACAACACAATATCTATATTGAAAAAAACTATCACTGGATTTAAGGAAGGTGAAAAACACGATGTAAGTGCAAAGGACATATATATACTTTGACCTAATTACAACAAACTAATTATCAAGATGTAGTTTTACCTGTTGGGATTGTATTGATTTCTTTCTTGAGAATACCAAAAATAACCATTGTAATAAAACATAAGGATTGTTGCAAATTTGCTGTATTGGGATTGTGAATTTTCACGTTCATTGTATACGGGACCAAAAAGATTCATTTAATTATTAGTTTCAGCCAATTCAAAATTGTATCAAAGGTAATTTAAATACATGACTGTCCAGGATTTTGGAATGATATACCGGTACATTGAAAATGTGACAGTAGGAAATTGAATTCAGATTCACAGTTAATAGACGTAATTAAGGTCTCAATTCAGTTAGTTATCAACTTTTTAATTCTCTGGAACTTAACAGCCTGAAAATGGTTATTTCAATAAGCTGTTTGATAGTGTACATGCATGTATAATTTTAATAAATATTTATAAAAGTAGAGCTTTCCTTTTGCATAACACTTTAAATTATAAATCATACACCTTTTCTGAGAATTTTTTAAGATATTGCTTGAAACTTGGAATTCTTAATTATTATCATTGCCCTTACCTTCAGGCAAGACAGTATAATTCTTCATGAATTTTGACAAAAGTATGCCACTTTTGTATGTTTTTCTATAAAATAGACATCTTAAGTTTGTTATAGATGTCTTAAGTTATCATTAGGGACCACAATGGAAATAAGAGATCAACCTTTTTTGTGTTATCCCTGGTGTTGGTGTGCATGGTTTTTGTGCTCATGTTTGTGTTATGTTAGGTCTCACTCAGTGTGTTATATTACCATGTATGTACATTAAACCAAAATAAATCTTATATTTTGATTTAACCAACATGATTTCTAATACTTTTTGATCATGCCTTACAGCTACAAGATATTTCATGGTTGAAAGACTCCGGTATATCTGTCCCATATGAAATGAAAGTATCGCAGACCAAGGGCAGTTTTCAGTTTATTCCACCGGTCAATGTTAGGATAACTGGAAGTTTTCTCTCCGAGACTTGTATAAAACCTGATATCGTTGTTGACCTAGCAGTTGTTATGCCAAAGGTATGATTGTGAAAATTTGATTGAAGAATATTTGCGAAGCTTAGGACCTTTTCGATTTTCACTGTTTGTTTTTACACCATGTTGAAAAAATGGCATGTAGTGGGTATTTCCTTTTTCATATGAACTTTTAAAAGATGAAGAAATTTTACTTTCAAATAGTTTCATAGTGCCATACTTCATATAACTCTTCCTGTATGTTATAAAGGATCTTACTTATAAAAATTTTGATTATCAGGTTATTATTTAGATTTTCCATTATTCAATATCTTTTTCTTTATTGAGTTAATTTTTGTCACTTTGTGTAATAAATTTCTCTTTACCATTTAATTTTCACACAAGATTGTAATTTTATACTTACAAACTCATAAACTTTTTTCAGGCCTGCTTTGAGTCAAAAGATTTCATGAATCAACGCTACTTTAGAAAGCGAGCTCTTTATCTTAGTAAAATAGCATTGGAACTAACTAAATGCTCATTTGTTGACGAGATGAAATTTACATATCTCCATGGCAACCATTTGAAGCCAGTATTGATTATTGCAGTTAAAGGTAATTATATGTATATTTGTATGTAATATATATAGTTATAAAATATTGTTATAGTTGGATATTTTGTTTTTGACATTTTAAATTGTTATTGATTGAATCTTGTAAGATGACATGTATAGTTATGAAATATAGCAATGCTTATGATAAATACTTTATCTAACAATTGAACATGAAGTAAAACGATGTCATAATATCAACATAATTATGAGCTGCGTCACGACAAAACCAACATAACGGGTTTGCGACCAGCATGGATCCAGACCAGCCTGCCCATCTGCGCAGTCTGATCAGGATCCATGCTGTTCGCTTACAAACTCTATAACAAGTAGAGAAACTGATAGCGAACAGCATGGATCCTGATAAGACTGTGCGGATGCGCAGGCTGATCTGGATCCATGCTGGTCGCAAACCCATTATGTTGGTTTTGTCATGACGCGGCTCAATTATGTACATAGATGGTAAAACTTTAATCTGTTGTACATTGTAATAAAATGAATGCCATTGTGAAACAAACAATGTCTTTAGTACATGGTACATCTTTAGCTGGATTTTTTTCTGTGACAATTTTTGCAGGTGGCATAAGTCTAGGGGAAAAAACATGTACATACTGGAACAGTGTTCGGCAACAATATTTCAATTTCTGTCTGCCCAGAATATGAGTATAAGGATTAAATACATTTTTAAGACGCTCATAAAACAAGAGTGGCTTTGTGATGAAGGTTGCTTTTGTGTCACAGGACTAAGGGTTTAATCCTTCCTGTAAAATTAAGATTTCATATTCTTTCAAAACATAAAGTATGTACATGTACTCAATTTTTTTAAAACTTAAATATGTGAAAAAAACACCTCATAAGTTAATAAAACAGTGTTTTAAAGTGTATATTATGCATAATTCTCATGTCTTCCTGGGTGAAATAAATTCCCCATGAATACCTGGTGTGTTATGTAAAATTCCAAATTTTGAATGAAAGCGCGATGCATTTTTCAGGCACCATTCCCAAAGCAGGGGAAAACATTCAGTTTGTAGTGAAAATTTTACCTAGTTTAAGTGTATTTACCTAAACTTGAATGTGAAACAAATAATTCAAACTTATATTTATTACTTTCAAGTCCTCTTCCAGACTGTACTATGGTCCTATAAGAATTAATGGTTGTGATCCAATCAGTGAATGAACCCAACACGATCCTTCTGCTGAGGGGCAGTCACCACTCCTCTTGCAATTTTCCTAAAATATATGATCTGATTTATAGAAATTTTATACTATTTCTACAGTTGAAGGACAAAGAAGCATTAAAATGCATGTTCATGCAGTTCCAGAATCAGGCACATTTAAGTTAAACAGATTTCATGTAGAGAAAAACAATGTGCGCTCACACTGGTTCCATGGAATGAAGGATACAGACAACCAGACAGAGACAGGTAAACAACCTTTTTTCTGACAATTTGGGTTTTTGTGTCACCTTGAAAAAGGCAACATATAGGGGTTACCTTTGTTGGCGGGCGTCAGCAGCGTTGTCGGCGTCCCCTAAAGCTTGTCTGGAGCATAACTCAGTCACTATAAGTCGGATTGACACCAAACTTTGTGTGCATGCTTCTTTTAATGCAGTGCACAAAAAACGGTACTCTGTACTTCTTAGTTTTTGAGTAATGGCTCTTTGTTAATTTTCATAAATTTTTTGTCCGGGCCATTTCTCTAAAAAAAGCTATAGACTTGAAACTTCATAGGATGATAGATTTCATTAAGAAGAAGTGCAGTGCACAAAAGCTTGTACTCTGTACTTCTTATTTTTTAGTAATTGCCCTTGTTTTTTAGCTCAACTATACGGTTCTTCTCATCTGCCCTCTCGGATCTGAACATCTGAGGTCTTCTTCAACCAATAAAGCTTCAAGGTTGAAAGTTATCATATTACCTTTACATTGTTGGTGTGACTTTAATTAAACCCAACCAAACAAACAAACAAGTGTGTTCTGCTTTCTCTTTTCAAGATATTATAGTGTTATTCATAATATGTTGTAAACATGATAATATTTTATATTCTGTATTATCATACCTCAATATATCCTTTAATGTAAAACCTATTTTGTGCTCTGATTCGAATATTGCCCTCCTAGGATATATTCCCCGGGGCATATCTCTTATATCACCTTTGGGCGCATAACTCTTGCAACTCCATATTCAGCAAATTCTTAAGTTACACTAGACTTTGTTACAATATGCTTTTGGTAGTAAGGGAGATAACTGCATACCTCCGTATTTAATATTGTACTACATGTAGTTAATTCCCTTCAACTTATTTTTATATTTTTAGTCAATATTAAGCGTTTGTTGATCGTGATTGTAGCAAAAGACAATTTGCCACCATATTGTTTAAAGGATGATGTGTATTCTATTTTTCCTTGACTGCATACTTTATAAATATTTTAGTTGTAAGTCTTTCGGTATATTAAAATAAATAACACAGAGCTCTTGGGGTAATAGAGGATATTTCCAACCCTTGAACTGGCATAATACCCCTTGGGGTTATATACTAATTCTCGGGTTGACAATATCCTCTATTACCCTGACATCCATGTGTTATTTATATAATATCTTATGGTATATATTATATAAGATACATTCCTTTTGATATAACCCTTAATTTCTAAAATATTTGAATGAATTTAGACCCTCTTAATGTTATGTTTTATTTTTACCCTTAGATGTGCCAACACCATTCTATAACAACAGTGTACTAGAAGATCTGCTAGAATCATCCATGTCAGATACTGTTGAGAAGTTACTAACTAGTTCTCCTTCAGTGAAGGAGGGAATAGTACTCCTAAAAGTTTGGTTGAGACAGAGGGAATTAGACAAGGTAACTAATTCTATATTGCAGTAATATAAGATACCTAGGCATTGTTGTAGTTTTTCAGTAAAGTATATTATATTAATATCTGTCATATGTTGTGGTTCAGATTGAAATATCTGTCCCGAGGCTTCACCAGGGAAGGATGTTCTGATCTGGATCGAAACAGTTGTCACAAATTTTTTCTTGCATATTTTACTTTATTCTACCATTATTTGAAATGGTTAATGTAAATTAATTATTTTTTTATGGAAATTTATGTCTTTATATCCGTAACTACATGTATTTTCTCACAGTACTACTGAATGAATTTGATTGTCATCTGTTATTATACTATTTGTTTCACTAGAATCATGTACATGTATTTCAGGGATTCGGCAGTTTTAATGGATTCATCATAACAATGTATGTATGTCTCCTGTTGTCTCAAAAAAAACTCAACACATTGATGAGCAGCTACCAGATCTTTAGAAACACTCTCTTAAAACTCTGTGAGTATTCTCTTTATATGTGTGTTTCAATTTTCTGTTTGTGATTGGCTACATTGTAATCTTCCTATTGGTCATCAGAATTATCCATCTAGTTTATGTAAGACCATTTGCTGTCTTTAGATGCCTTACCTTGCCTATAATTATATAGAAGGGGACATTTGAGATGGCTTTCCACTGGCAAATCTGAAATGTCACCAGATTGTTGCCTGCTACAGAGTAGCGATTACATATAGGGATCACTTCTCCATCACCTTTCTGTCAGTCACAAAACTTGTCTGTGTATTACTACTCAAAAACTACTGGTGCAATTTCACCCAGACTTTATGGGAATGATCAGTTTCATGTCTAGTTGTGCATATTGTCGGCATTCCCCAGTTCAATGATTTTTGTCAGAGTTGTGGCCCTTTTATGATTTTGATTTTTAAAGATTGTGCAGAGTAATTCTCTTATACCAGTAATGCAGTTTGAACAGTATTAAATTTTGCACATATATTATAATATTAATTTTAATGATAATTATGATTATAGCACAAACTGATTGGACAGAGGATGGAATTTCCATGTGCACAATAAAAGATGACCCAAATATGCCTACTATGCAGGAGTTTCACAAACATTTTGATGTGGTTTTTGTCGACCCATCTGGATATTTAAATATCTGTTATGCTGTGAATAGAACAGTTTTTAAACGGGTAAATATTTGCTTGATTTTGCATAATTGTTAGAAAACATTTCATTGATAATACTAAATTGTGTTTGAAATAAATAAAAAAAGATAATTTTTAAAGGGTGTAAAGCTATATCAAGTGAATTATTTTTATTTAAGTACACTTATGGTCATCTGTGGAAAGAGTTGTAAACTATAGGGTGAAGATATATAGTTTTATATACTTTAGGTAAAGGGAAACACTTGTTAGAATCCCGAGTAAAGTAGGTTGTTAAAAGTACTTAAAATCAACTTTCCTGATTTAATAACATATATTTTTATTTATCATCTTTTTTCTGTAGTGAAGTAACTCACTGGAGAAAATATATTTCTTTAAAGGTTTGTCATGAAGCAAAGTTTGCTATGAAAATTTTAGAGGAGCGTGGCATCGACAGTTTTGAGAAGCTGTTCATGAAGAGAGTTATGTTTTCTTCAGCATTTGATCATCTGTTTCAGTAAGTAATTTGTGTTTTAAGGCTGAATATCTGTATGCATGTATTCTATTCTTAATGAGGGTCCATCGGCATGTTCAGGCATTGAGAGTACGAACCCCAATCATGTCACCATTCATGTCCTTAGAACATCTGAATATCTGTTATTTGACACACATAAATATTGTATGTACTAAGAGACTATTTAATTTTGTTGGCATGCAATTTGTGCATTACTGATTTCAAATAAAAAATTGTTTTGTATTTCAGTATAAATTTGTCACAGGACAGAAAAGAACAGTTTGACAAGCTAGGACTTGCTGATCGAATTGTTGATTATGGACGTCCAAAAAGTGAAGCGTGTATTTCAGCTTTGTCTGTGATTTTGGAGAAAGCCTTGGGTCAGAGAGTACATTATCTTCAGTTTGCTCTACAAGATAGAACTTCGGTAAATTCTTACCTTTAATTGATGATTTTTGTCTGTTCCAGTATCTGAAAATAGTCCTGCTTCAATGTACACAACACTCGGAGTTTTCTAGCAGAGTTCGCTGAAGTTTTCGAACCTTTGACCTCGTAATTGTGATTTCAAATAAAGAAACACTGCAAACTCTAAGGGTGCTAAATCTGGACAGTCCATCCATAAACGAATCGTTTGTGCATTTTAAAGACAAGAGACCTTGAGACAGACTTGTACTTGTCAGTCGCTTGCAGTTAATGTGAAGTTTGAGTAGGAGTATACAGTATTTAATGGCATTTCTTTGCGCCACATTTTCATCTGACATGCCATTTTTGGAACAGCTTTCACAAATTATCCTACAGATTTTTTTTAAGTAACATTCAATAAACGTCTGTTTGTGATATGATGTCAAAATGAATGACGTCAGTCCACATGAAGGTATTTCCCCTAATTATTTTTATGCTAGAAGTTAGTCATGATTTCAAGAGGAAAGGTCTCCACACTGACTAATATTTCATCGTGCGCCGGGTAAATTGTACTGTTCAAGTTAAAACCATGATGAAAAGTGTTACTTAAAATATTGGACTTTGATTCTTAGTAGGTAAGTTCACAAATGACCAAGGAAGATATCTTGTAATCTTCATTATGTTATTACGTCGGGTTGAAGAGAAAAATATGTAGTCTATGACATTTTGGGACAACCCTCGTATTGTACGAAGACTTAAACAAAATGCTTTCATATTTTTTCAATGTAAGTATCATGTATTAACCAATATTTCTTTTTTTTTTAACAATTTTGTCCATAGTGAACTAAGAGCAAAAGTCTTGTATTCTTTTTTTCAATTTCAGTGGAATATAAAGGAGAAACATGCAGTAAAGGGGACAGATGACAAATTGTTGTGTGGACTTATATTGAACCCAGAATTTGCCTTCAATGTCTTGGACAGGGGACCTTCTGCTGACAGCTCTGAGGTTATTGTTGTTTTTGTTTTTAATGTTTTATTTCTTGTTGTTTTTGCTCGTATTATTGTTGTTTTTGTTGTACCATTGTTAGAATTGTAATATATATGTGTCCCTTTTGTTGTTGTGTTTACTATTGTGGTGCCGTTTCTTTGCTGTTGTCTTTGGACTCAGTATTTTATCTGCATAAAATGTTTCATGTATAGAAATTTTTTTGTTGCTAAGTAGCGCTTTATAAATGGAAATATGTTGGACATCCACTGATTGTTAAAGGATGGGTTTATTTCCAATTATTTGGCAAGTAATTGAAAACGTGAGCGTACATTTTACGGTAAATTGCTAATATTTATTAGCTGTCTGGTTACTTGTTTGTTATATAAAACTGTTTTAAGTTAAAGCAACTTGCACTTGAAGGAGAGACATCCTTTTAATCAGCCTTATTGTTTTGGAATTGGCTGGCAAAAGCCTGTCTTTTTTTATGTAATCAAAGACATGACAATTTTTAGAATAATTACACATGGAATGTGAACAGTGTGATCCACACCAACTTCTACATTCTTTGTTACTATACCATTTGTGGTTGGCGTTTAGGAGCTAGTGAATTATTCAAAATACATGTCATTAGAAAAAGGAATATAAACGACTACAAAAATATCCAATGAACAGTTAGTCTGCGATTGTGACATTATTTACACAAACGTGTGACCAGCACAAGCCAAGTTCAGCTAGCTTATGTCGGTCTGCACTGTTAGGTATTTAGTTAGTATATATTTTGAAATTTCCCTTAAAAAGATGAATCGTCTTGTCCTGTGTGTGTTGTGAATTATGTTCTACTGTTTATTGTAACAATCAAGCAGTATTTCTTTGTGCAGGATGGTCAGCAGACAGGATATTTAGTATTCTTGGTTAATCACAAGGTTCAGTCTATATAGACCATTTTAATCAATAGTTTTCCTCTAAACACAAGCTCTGTATATTTCTCAAACATTTTGGCTAATTGTTGCAAAGGTTTTATCTACAGTTTATAAGCAGTTCAAAAAATCATTTGGTTTGAAAACCATTTAAGCACAATTTGATCAAACTGTATTTTACATGCTCAGTTGAAGCATATTGAACTTGAAATATGTAACATTGTCTGTTGACATTCATAAGTTTTAAAGAAAAAAATCCATTTAATTCCATATTTTTCTTTGATTAAATAATAAGGTTTTCCCCTTTTTGCCACATATTTTTTTTTGCCCTGTTGTACCAGGATTTTTGTATTTTTATCCTGATTGAAACCTTCACTGTTGACTTGCAGATTTTTTCACTTCACAAATTTTCTGTTTTTAGCTGAAATATTGGAAGAATAGAATTCGCCCAGGTGGCAAGTTTTTGCATACATATAGGTATTTGATAATTTCCTAACCTGTACTAGTGTACTAGTTTATTGTTGCAGCAAAAGTTCTTATCCATGTACATGTACCTATTTTTGCAGGCTGAAGAATTCAGAAAGTTTTGGGGAAGCAAGTCTGAACTAAGAAGATTTCAAGATGGAGGTATATGTGAAGCAGTGTTGTGGTTAGAAAAATCATCCATTGCAAAGAAGCAGCTGGTCTGTGAACAGATTGTCAAATATGTTCTAGAAAGGTCAGTAGTCTTCTTTTTTTTAAAGTTTTAGTTTTAAGCTTTATAAATATATCTGCATGGTTGTATTTATAGGTCGCTTTCCTAGAATTATAACTTGTGTATGGATTTTCAATGAATTATACTTTGTGAATCTTTAAAAAGTTCTTGTTTAAGTGTTAACATTAAAAGACTCTCAAACTTTTTTGTTAAAATGATACATAATAATTTTATATGTCATTGACAATGCTTAAAACTTTAAAATAATTACTTACTGGATTATTCCCCTTTGTGTAATCTTTGATAAATTTTATGGGTTTTATTTGCACATATCAAAGTGTTTTTTTTTGTAATATTAAAAGTCAAGAGCATTGCCAATGTCACAACTCCTCTTTATTGTAATATTAAATATATTTTGATTCACTTTTCTAAAAAGCATGTATTTTTGGTATCCTGTTATAATTTCCTAAAACACGGGGGAGGAAGTGTTACACGAAGGATGGAGTTCTTATGATAACTTGTTTGGAGTTCTTATGATAACTGTCACGGAGTTCCTGGAAAACGTTACGGATTTCTGTGGAAAACTTTTCTATTTACTTAGAGAGATCACGTGAAAAATGGTCATTTTTACCTTTAAATGGGGAGTTTGAGGTGCTAAATTAAACTTTGATAATTAAGCTTGCCCTACATATTGTATTATGTTTCAGAAAAACCTTTTATTCCATTTTTCATCGCCTTTTTATTAAAAAAATTGGTAGTTTTGAGTAAAATTTCCAAATTACTTGCTCATTCGTACATATTGACCTTTTCATTTGTGATCTTCTTCGTTGCTATACATAATTACATAATTATAATGCAAAGTTGCAAACATAAAGCCAAGCTAATAAATTTATACCCGATTTTTCAAATGTCACGAAGTTCTTGTGATAACTCAAAATATGTCCTGGAGTTCTTATGATAACTTTTGTTACTGCCAGTGTGTTTCTTGTGCTAAATTACGGCCTGTTTAAGCGTATTTTATTAGTCAATAAGTGTATGAATCATTATGAAGCATAGTACGCGTATCATTTGCACAGACATTTGGTTATACATGTATAACGGTGGTTTAGAGTGTATTTCAGTTCAAGAGATATTTTTCTTACCTCCGTTTCTTGTGTTTGTTTGGGTTTTTGGGTTTGTTTGATTGTTGTTTTTTTTTTAATTTCATTGGAATGACTGAAAACATACTTGATGTAGAGCATTAACTTACTGTACAGGATAAAAATACGCTTTTAATTTAATATCTAAGCATGATTTCTTCAGTATACATTATTCCTGGCAGTTCTAGAGAACATAAAGTAATTATGCTATCGGTGTGATGAAATTAAAAAAAAAAACAACAATCAAACAAACCCAAAAATTCATACACTTATTGACTAATAAAATACGCTTAAACAGGCCGTAATTTAGCACAAGAAACACACTGGCAGTAACAAAAGTTATCATAAGAACTCCAGGACATATTTTGAGTTATCACAAGAACTTCGTGACATTTGAAAAATCGGGTATAAATTTATTAGCTTGGCTTTATGTTTGCAACTTTGCATTATAATTATGTAATTATGTATAGCAACGAAGAAGATCACAAATGAAAAGGTCAATATGTACGAATGAGCAAGTAATTTGGAAATTTTACTCAAAACTACCAAATTTTTTTATAAAAAGGCGATGAATAATGAAATAAAAGGTTTTTCTGAAACATTATACAATATGTAGGGCAAGCTTAATTATCAAAGTTTAATTTAGCACCTCAAATTCCCCATTTAAAGGTAAAAATGACCATTTTTCACGTGAGTTCTCCAAGTAAATAGAAAAGTTTTCCACAGAAATCCGTAACGTTTTCCAGGAACTCGGTGACAGTTATCATAAGAACTCCAAACAAGTTATCATAAGAACTCCATCCTTCGTGTAACACTTCCTCCCCCGTGTAAAAGTAAGTTATTAGCCAATTACCTGAACCATCTCACCAGTAATTCTAGTCAGAATACTACTTTGTTTACATTTTGCTCCCTTTATGATAAAAACTTTCACATTCAGCGTCATTTTTTTCTTTTTTCAGTACAAAGCATCAAAAATGCTCTTTAAACTACTATTTAAATTCATGTGTGCCCTTTCTAAAGACGAAAAATTTATTTTTTACTGAGGCATAATGTGCCTTTAAAAGAAAAGAATTGTACTGTTAGCACTACTTATATCTTTCCCAGCATGTCTCGTACTGGTACAGAGTTTCCTATAAACTGTAGTGGATGTATCATAATGGCAGTATAAGGGAACTAACAGTTGAGAATTGTCTAGTGTTTTTTCCAGAATTGCCTCCCTTTTGTATCATTTGCAGCTTTTTACAGACTTTCCAAACTTATGTTCAATGTTAGCAAGCTTGATAATTATTATCCCCCGCCAAAAAATTTCGGCGGAGGATATAGAAATAGTCTCCGTCCTTCCGTCCGACATTTTTGTCCGGAGCATATCTCTAAAAGTATTTGAGGTATCAACTTGAAACTTCATAGGTGGATAGACCTCATTGAGGAGGAGTGCAGTGCACAAGAATGATAACTCTACCTTGCATGATTTTTGAGTTATTGCCCTTTGTTATTTTTCAAAATTGATTTTTGTCCAGAGCATAACTCCAAAAGCTTATGAGATATTAACATGAAACTTCATAGGTGCATAGGTCTCACTCAGGAGGTGTGCAGTGCACAAGAATGATAACTCTACCTTTCATAATTTTTGAGTTATTGCCCTTTGTTATTTTTCATACCTAATTTTTCACCTGAGTGGAGCATAACCCAAAAAGTGTTTGAGATATCAACATGAAATGTCATAGGTGGATAGATCTTATTGAGGAGGAATGTTGTGTGCAAGAATGATAACTCTTCCCTATACAATTTTTGAGTTATTGCCCTTTGTTTTTTTTATGTTATTTTGTCCAGAGCTTATCTCAAAAAGTATTTGAGGTATCAACTTGAAACTTCAAAGGTGGATGGATCTCATTGAGGAGGAGTGCAGTGCTTAAGAATGATAACTCTACCCTGCATTATTTTTGAGTTATTGCCCTTTGTTATTTTTCAAAATTAATTATTGTCCAGAGCATAACTCAAAAAGCCTTTGAGTTATCATAGTGCATAGATCTCACTCAGGAGGTGTGCACTGCACAAGAATGATAACTCTACCTTTTATAATTTTTGAGTTATTGCCCTTTGTTCTTTTTCATACTTAATTTTTCAATTCAATTTTTTTCTCAAAAAGTATTTGAGGTATCAACTTGAAACTTCATAGGTGGATAGATTTTACTGAGGAGGGATGCAGCACACAAGAATGATAACCTACCCTGCATTATTTTTCAGTAATTGCCCTTTGTTATTTTCAGCCATCAGTATTCACATAGGTTTCAAATCCGTAATCATTATAGCCATCAGTTTTCATTACCAAAAGACCTCTTAAAATGGAATTATTCCGCTCTACTACATATACATTCTTCCAATGAGCAAACACATTTCGGCGGGGGATGGCCATGTTGACATGGCTCTTGTTAGAATATGAATAAAAGAACAAAATCTTTGAAATACTGGCCTTATGCACCAGTTAGTAACTCTGGCCATAACTTTCTGAGGGAGTGCAGAGGTCAGCCATATTTTATCTTTCATTAGTCCCTGTATTTCGAGGTCAGTGCTATGGTTTTATTTTAGTACTAATTTAAGGGGACATATTTTGTCTGTTCTATACTTCCTGAATCTATGTATGAATTATTAACATTTCATAAGAACCACCTAATGATTAAGGTTCAAGGTGAGAGTTAAGATTGTTGACTTGCTTTCACTGCTGTAGGTTTTTTGAGCCGTGCCAGCATCTTTGGATTTTTTAATGTGGGAAGGCTATCCAGCTAGTTTACGAATTGTGGTTGGTTCAACTCTGGTGCCTTTGTGTGTCTGAAATAATAAACAAATGGGCACCTTAGGTCTTCCTCTACCAGTAAAGCTGGTAAGTCGCCATATGACCTATACTTTGTTGGTGCGACTTAAAAGGTTAAAGTGAATTTTTTTATGCCCCCACAGAGTGGGAGCATATAGCGTTGCACTTGTCCGTCCGAGTGTCAGTCCGTCCGTCAGTCCGTCCGTACGTCCCGAAATCTTGTGAACGCAACTCCTCTTAAACCGGATGGCAGATTTTGCTTAAACTTACAGGGATGAACAACCTTAATGTGTAGATGGTAGTAAAGGAAGGAATTTTCGCTGCGACCAAATTTAACAGAATTATGGCCCTTTGTTGATTTTTTCACTAGATACTATGAAGAAATTTTGTGAACGCAACTCCTCTTAAACCGCATGGCAGATTTTGCTCAAACTTACAGGGATGAACAACCTTAATGTGTAGATGGTAGTAAAGGAAGGAATTTTTGCTGCGACCAAATTTAATAGAATTATGGCCCTTTGTTGATTTTTTCACTATATACTATGTAGAAATTTTGTGAACGCAACTCCTCTTAAACCGCATGGCAGATTTTGCTTAAACTTACAGGGATGAACAACATTAAGGTGAAGATGGTAGTAAAGGAAGGAATTTTCGCTGCGACCAAACTTTTCAGAATTATGGTCCTTTGTTGATTTTTTCACTATATACTATATAGAAATTTTGTGAATGCAACTCCTCTTAAACCGGATGGCAGATTTTGCTTAAACTTCCAAGGATGAACAACCTTTATGTGTAGATGGCAGTAAAGGAAGGAATTTTCGCTGCAACCAAATTTAACAGAATTATGGCCCTTTTTTGTTTTTTTCATTATATTCTATGTAGAAATTTTGTGAACGCAACTCCTCTTAAACCGGATGGCAGATTTTGCTTAAACTAACAGGGATTAACAACCTTAATGTGTAGATGGTAGTAAAGGTAGGAATTTTTGCTGCGACCAAATTTAACAGAATTATGGCCCTTTGTTGATTTTTAGTTTTCAACTTGTGGCACATGTAGTCCAAAAAATATTTGACCTAGAGTCATAAGATTGACAGAACAGTGGTGTGTGGGGGCATCCGTGTCCTATGGACACATTTCTAGTTTTTTAATGAATCATAATATTGAAATTTACAAGTAATGAAAACATAAGTAATAATATTGGCATAATTTCAACAAAACAAATAATTCACAATGTGGAAGATTTTGTTTTAATGCAAAAAAAAATGTCAGCAAACACAGATAATCATTTTCTAAATCTGTCTTATTTGTAGAAAAGCATTGGTTGTTGATTTTAATTTTTAAACAGGCAGCGAAATCTTTCCTGTGAGGAAATTATCCATAATCAAAGAGAAAAAGTTTCGCAAAAAGATTAAAATTATTTCAGTCCGAATATACAGTATTTCATTTCAGACATGCATGCATAAAAGCAGATGATGTTCATTATAAAGCTGGTGACTTACATAGTGTACTGCGTGTACCAGTAGCGAAGGATGACCAATCAGTTGGTACCGGAGAAGAAGAACACACCGCTGTCATTCATGCGTATGATGATCTGTGTAAAATGTTACGACGTTTGTCTGATCTTCCCTTAACCATCAATTCTATTCAAGGAACTTCACCGTGTTTTAGATACACTGAGGTAGGAAATATATAGGTTTATGTAGATTCTTTTATATTTTTTACAAGCACAGCTTTTGATGAACACACATGTCTGAATATTGCTCGAAAAACCTGTCAAACTCAAAGCAGTAATGTTTGTAAGGACTATGAATTTAAAGTGACATTCTGCCCATTCAAGGGTATAGTGAGTGAACAGGTGAAAGTCAAAATAAGTTTCCATTTTGCCATAATTCTTTTCAATTTTATAATTTAATTCGCATGAACCATAAATAACTTACATGGCTCAAGGAAGTTTCTGTAAATATCCATCAGAATTTACCTGTAACATTAAATTTATACAAAGAGTGTGGCAGTCTTTTTCAATTTAAAGCAGATTTATAGTTTATCCTAAGTATTTTCAAGCATCAGTTGTTGGTCAGTCCTTAACTTGCCAATGAAAGAATGAGCATAATGTCACTTTAGTAGATGACCAAAAAATCTCTTGTCAGACTAAGTTACTTGTTAGAAGTGTTTAAATGACAAACCATTATAAATGTCAGAATATGCTTTTAACTTATCTTGTCAGATTATTTTTAAATCACATTCGTGACTGAAAATTTTTTAATATGAGAAAACTATCCAGGTACATGTAGCTTTATGAAAGTTTTTTTTGTGCCTGAAATAATGAACAAATGGCCACTGAGGTCTTTCTCACCTGTTGGAAATTTGCCAAATGACATTTTAAGTATTGGTTTAACTTAAAACCCAACAAAATGAATTTTATGCTGCTTCTTAAAGGTTAGGATAACTTTACAATTCAAATTCAGTTTATAATGACATTATTTTTTAAAGCACCTTACAACAAAGTTGTCATTAACACAGGTATTTCCACCATTGCCGTGTACGTTTCGTCATCGAGAGGCATCACATTTATCACATGGTGTGAAGAGATTTGTCCCTTCTGATAAACACTGTCCTGTCTATGTACATGCTTTACAAGGTAGATGATGATTTTGTTTTTATCATACATGCATTGTTCTGTAAGGATACATGCATGAGATCTCGAGAAAGAACACTACAGTGACATTTTAGAATAATTATGCTAGATACTAGCATCAGTGTCTTTAAGACTACTTTGACTGTAATGTGTCAACAGGTCATAGAGAACTTCGTATAAATTGTCAAAGCTTCTTTACATTTTCACATAATTGTCACATCATTAATCATTTAATCATGATTTCATAACTAGATAGACTGTCACATGACCTAGACAAACTTAACTGTGCATTTACAATGCATTGTGATGCAAAGTTTTTGAAGGAACTGATGAAATTGAAATTTTAACCCTAACACTATTTTAATTACATAATGGCCTTGTCCTGCTTTGAATTTGGAACAGTTCATTAATAGATGTAGGGATTTCATTATATGTATATTAAATTTGAGCAGTCTGGTCATGTGCAGGTTGATTTGACTTCATGTATATTAATTGCCTTGGTTTGTAACTATCACAGCTGGCATCAAAAGTGTCAGTTATGTTAGCAATTTTCACTCTAACTTTGTGTAATGACTGATAGGAGTATTAAGCAGTAATTCTGATTCAAGTGTTTTAAATGGCTTTACTAAAGTGGATGTGTTTTTGTATTTTGTGTGAATAGTGATATGTACGCTAGAGGGTAGCGGGAAATGGCCAGAAGAATATGAAGCAATGAAAAGACTTAAAGTGGCTTTCCATATACAACTTGCTGATGCAATAAAATCCGAGTTCAATGTGCCAGTTAAAGTAGGACTGGGATATGTTGATGTATTGAAGGTATGTAATGTATTTCTTTATTTGAATAATGATCATGTTACCTTATTAGGGTAATACATGTATATTCTATGTATTAGGTATCCACTATTAAGGTGACTTATTCTCAGTGTTGTAGTAGATTATTGTTTGTCTTACTAATGGTAGTTTCTTCTCTAATGATGGCTTCTGTTGTCAGTTATGTTCATTATCATTTGAGTTGATAACTTAATTTCATATCTATGGTAGGCATACCAGGCTCTTGTGCCACAGTAATATCTTCCTTTGTATAAAGGAGAAGGGTAAAAGGGGTTCAGTGGACAAGTGGCTATGGTTATGAACTTCTAATCACTTGTCATACTATCACTATGGACTGGAATGCTGCCAGGTACCTTCGATTCCTTCTTGAGACAGTGCTATCCAGGTTGATTTTGGGAAGTATGGAAATAATTAACACCTGAAATAATGCATTTGTGGCATCTTATATCTTCTGTTCTGTCACCTGTGTGAGGCTGGAAAATTGCCATAGTTCATAATCCATAATGGAAGTGTTCACATTACAGGATAACTATGTCTTTCGATTGATATTGGCTTACAACCGGGAGATAGCCATGCTAAAGTCTGTACGATCATCTGATGGTAAACTTTTAATGAGGGACACTGATGAGGCTCTATCTCTGGAGAAGCAGACAGTAGAACTGCCACGTCTTACCAGTACTTTACATGGGTTTGTTTTCATTTATATCTGATTGATTTAGTAACATTCCACTGACTTAGCTTGATCCAAGCGTCGTTAGTTCAATCATCTGGCGAGGTGAAAATTCTTCATGACTATTGAACTCGGATATCGAGTCTTATGATCATTTGTCACTCGTTGACAATTCAGAAATTATGTTGGATTAGTAGTCGGTCACTTGCAGAGAAATTGATAATTGCTGGTTAATTATACAGGAAAACCATTTAGGTGGCCGACCACTGATACATGACTAAACTTAAAATCAGCATTAAGATCAGACAAATATTGAATGTAAATTAGATGAAATTTACATGAAATAGAATGAAATTATTTTTGAGTCTGTCGATATACATATATAACTCTTTTCAGTTATTGAACATGAGAACAAGTCATTACAATATTTGCTAAATCTGTTGTATAAAGTGTTATTGGATTTATGTTACAATCAAACAATGTTGGCATAAATTCTGTAACAGTTTTTATCCGTGTTTCATGCATTATGTATTGATAATAAATTGGAGGTTTTAATCATTAAATTAAGAGTTTCATTTATATATAAAGCTTGATTCAGAAAGAAGATCTTTTAACTTTTACTTATCACTTTCAAGTCTGCTCAAGTACTGGTGTAATATGTGAATCATGAGCGAAACCCATGGTTCCTGGAAAGAGAGGCAGTCAACTTAACATCTTGGTCTCTGCTCTGCTTTGTTTTAGTAATATAACTTACAACCACTTACGGTACTTAGATAAGTTGCTTCTTAGATAAGTTGTCCATCTTTCAAGCCAGGGATCATTTACAGCTAGTAATGTTTATTACAGGAAAATGACTGCAAATTATACCATCAAATTTAAATTGAATTTGTTGAAATTGATTCTTTTTAATTGCTGTCTCAAATTTGATTTTTCTTACTTAACTATCAAGTATAAATTATTATTTGTAGGTTAAATCAGCAACATTCATCATTCAGTGTTACATGCAGGCTCGCGAAGCGTTGGGTTTCGGCTCATATGTTGGCTGATTACATTGATGAAGTAGCTATAGAACTGATGGTTGCATCTCTCTATCTATCTCCAGCACCTTACAATACTCCAAGGTAACAAGATTTATATTCTTTGTAAGTCAGAGATAATTAGTTTAGAAATCAGGCCATCAGGAACTGTGACAGTTGAGCAAGTTGGAGACCTTTACTTTAAGCATGGCTCAATAATGCATTCATGACATTTACTTGACATGTCCTTTCTTTTATTGTGATATCATTCAGTTTTGGTTAAGTACATTTTGTAAATACATGTAACTTTATAATACTGCACTTTTGTAACGTCGCTATTCATTGGATAATCGTGACGTTTATATAGGGTTAACGCACGTTTTTCCGTGTTATAACGTCTGCAGAGTCCCGAGGAACGGTTGGTGCCCGAGCCCGGTAGGGCGAGGGCTCCAACAGTTCCGAGGGACTCTGCAGACAAGTCTTGTGCTTGGACGGTATTTATCCAATTCTATGTTTTACGTATGCGTTTCATTTTTCCGGGGCCAACAACTTGGAAAATTCTTGGAACCGAACAAAATTTTGAATCTTTGGCCTTTGGAGATTCATTATCTCAAGAAAAAAAAACGTTACATTAATCTACCCTCTACCCAAGACAAAACATGACCCTCAGAAATTCTTAGAATGATTTCAGATTGACGGTAGAAAAAAGATCAGTGACATCAGAATCGGTTTTTTTTTTCAAGCAAACAAGTTTATAAAAATATCAGGCACTAAGCATTATTCTCTCAAAGAAATATAAAGAGCATTTATCAACATTAACATAAATGAAAAACATTTTCTCATATTAATTTTGTGTTATCTAGTTTTGTAAGTTAATCGGAGTGTTAAACTGAATGACAGGTAGATTCTACTGTATTTGTTTACATTGACAACTGTCAGTTTCTTAGAAAGGGCGACAACCACGATTAGCACCGATGTTTATACTCCGTTTTTCCGGCAAAGTTACTTGAATATGCGACTGAGGCCCTCGAATCAATGAATTTCAATATAACAAGAGCGCATGACTCAAATGGCAAACAGGCCAAATCGTCATTTTTTGTTTGTTTGTTTACTAGGCCCTGTATGTATTGCGCATAGGTGAAACCGGGCAATAACAAGAGCGCGTGACTATGTTAACACATGGTTTTGGTCCCGTTATAACATGGGCAAAAGAGGGAAAAATAGCCGATTTTATGCTATAATAAAGTTTTATATACATGGCTACTGTCGACTCATGAAGAAATCTAAAAAAATTATGTGTGCGGTATTATAAATTCGTTATAAAGATTGTTACAAACAGCCGTTTATGTAGGGCCATATAACCTGTCAACAATCTTTATAACTAGTAATATACACGGGTATCTGTCTCTATACTGGTAATATAGGTTTGTCATCACAGCTGTAAGAAAGGCAAGGGTTTATGATTGCAATGTTTTATTTTACAGCTCTGGACTTTGTGGTTTTCAAAGATTTTTAGAGCTCCTGTCTACATTTGATTGGAAATCAACACCATTATTGATCAACTTAAACAATGAATTTACAGGTAATTGATTAATTTGGCTACATTTTTAGTAATACTGGTATATATTAGGATTTTTGGAAAAGTAAATCCCAGTCAACTTATTAAATATATATTTCAATTTTTAAGTTTTATGTTGTTTTGACAGGTTCTTCTTATTGTGTGAAATTAATTTCTGATTCAACATTTTGAATATGAAATGTTTTATGAAATTGATTATTTAAGGTGTTATTATTTTGTGCTTGAAATTTCAAAAGTAAAAGTAAGTCATTGTTCAGGTTGCATATCTTGATTTGAAATATTTCAATATTTCAGAATTGATATATTTCAAGTATTTCATATATTTTTCTTTGCAGTTGGAGATTTGGCCGAGGTTCCTGCCAAATTCTCTAAAGATCGATCAACTTTACCACTAATGTTTATTTCGTCACCATTGGACAAGTTTAGTAGTCACTGGACAAAACATGGGCCGTCAGCAAACATTCTGACCCGGCTTGTTCTTCTCGCTACAAAATCTCTGGAAATTATTCGTCAACAGATTTCTTTTAATGACAACCCAGATTTAAAAGTAGGTATTGATTTTACATTGATTCAACACTTTACTGTGAATCACATTATATTTGCGTCATCTTTATTCTGCGAAAACCCCCATTCCCGAATTATTTCTCTTAACTGGTTGAAAAAAGTTCTCTTGTAGTTAACTGCCTGGGTGTATGTTAAAACGTGATAGAAATGATAACTTGTGGCATTCATGGTGGATGTATGTTTAGTTCTACCTCAGTCCATTTGTGACATGGTGTAGAATCGGTACACTGTGTCTATGTTGTGTCATTTTTAATGAAGCAGCAAAATAAAACTGGACATACTGCAATAATGTCAATTCTTAGATATATAGATATAGATATGTATTGCAGCCAGATACTACAGTATAGTGTGGTATTTTGGTGACAGTTTGAAAGTCATTAGTGTTTCGCTTGTAGAAGGCATTCAGAATGCCTGTTTTGTCATGACAGGAACCTATCCAGCTAGATTACAATCATTCATTAATCTGTTTGTCCTAATGTCTTACTTCACTACTAAACCTGGAAGGACACACTATGACCTTATAGAAATCAGTTTGCTATTAAGACTGTAACCAAAATATTACTCGAAGAAAAAATCAGTATTTTATACATATTGTTTTATTTTTAGCAAGTGTTCAGACCATCATTGAGTATTTTCGATGCTGTAATCCATCTACACATGCAACAGTTACCACGGAAATCTGAGGGCCTTGATATTGACAAAACTGTTAAATTTGGCAAAAATGTAGAAGTTGAGAGATTCCCAGTGGTTGAGTTTGATCCTCCTAGACTGCTGTTGAACGAATTGAAAGTGAGGAACTGTGATTGATATTGTAAATTAAATAGCCGTTTGTGACCGTGTAAATTTTTTCTTAGATTTTTATCAGATCTTTGTTAAAAGATATATTCGGTCCATTTCAGGATTTGTGCTCAAATTTTTTATATAAAAAAGAATGGTATTGAAAAGTTATAGATTAACATTTGTGATATACTGTATGCAAGATACGCTTTTATATAACAATAATCAGAGATTTGAAAATCGGTGATCAATGTTGTTTTTTTACCTGCATGTAAATTTTTGTATAGAATGATGAGCATTTTTACAAGATACAGGAATATTGTGTCGACATCACATGACATTTTTATCTATTATATAAATTTATTAGTCCCCTACCGGTTTACCGGAGGGGACTTAAGGTTTACCCTCTGTCCGTCTGTCTGTCCGTCCGTCTGTCTGTCAGTCCGTCAGTCCACAAAACTGGATCCCGCGATAACTTGAAAAATACTGAAAATATTTTTATGAAACTAGGTTTATGGATAGATGGCAGTATGGAGATTATGCACGTCTTTTTCTTTTCTTCCTATGTTGAAAATTCTAAAAATATGGCAAATTTTACACATAAACTGAATCCAGTGATAACTCAAAAAGTACTGGAAATATTTTTATGAAACTTGACATATGGGTAGATAGCAGTGTTGAGATTATGCATGTCTTATCTGTTCTTCCTATTTTGAAAAAATATCAGTTGCCTTGGCAACAAATAGGCTTAAAACATGGCAAATATAACAATATTTGTGATTAGTCAAAAAGAGCTGAAAATTTTTATGAAATTGCATCTTTAATTAAAGAGTTATTTCCTCTTTAAGAATTCTGCTTTTAAAATGTTATATTTTGGTAACAGGGATGTTTCAAATATTAACTTTGGAGTGTCCTTCAGTCCGTCTGTCTGTCTGTTCATAAAAACTGTTTCCTGTGATCACTTTTAAAGAACTTTTCCAACAAGTTTACTTAAAATAGAGAAAAATTAAAACATAAGTGAATGGCCAATGGCCCTTCAGAATGTTGATGGGGTTCTAACCGGTAGGGGACTTATGGATTGCTTGCAATACTATGATAATTGCTTGTTAGTCCCCTACCGGTTTACCGGAGGGGACTTTAGGTTTACCCTCCGTCCGTCTGTCTGTCCACAAAACTGGATCCCGCGATACAGCAAAAAGTACTGAAAATTTTTTAATGAAACTTGACATATGGGTAGATGGCAGTATGGAAATTATGCACATCCTTTTCTTATCTTCCTATGTTGAAAATTCTGGTTGCTATGGCAACAAATAGACTGAATTTCAAGTTTTCTGATTCTAGTTTTTAAGTTTTTTCACTATAAGTTCTTTATTTCTTAAGGTATTTTCTTCAAACTTTAAATAGAAGTTGCTTGTCATCAACCACATCATATGTGACAAGGTTTACAACTCTAGCACAAAATTTATCAGAATTACCTCCCTTGAACTTAAAATTTTCATGAAAAAAACATTGTTTTTTTTAATAACTTCTTTTTCTGAATGTATCTACTTCAAACTTCATATAAATGTTTCTTATTATCACTCAACATTTGTGAGTGTTCAATACTCTAGCAAGACTATTTCCAGAATTATGCCCCTTTTGAACTTTTTTTGAGAAATTGGTAATTTTTACTCCAACTTCTTCAATCATGATAGGATTTTAAAAATGTTATATTTTGATAACAATGATGTTTAAAAAATAACTTTAGAGTGTCCTTCAGTCCGTCTGTCTGTACATAAAAACTGTTTCCTGTGATCACTTTTAAAGAACTTTTTCAACAAATTTACTTAAAATAGGAACATAAGTGAATGGCCAATGGCCCTTCAGAATGTTGCTTGGGCTCTTACCGGTAGGGGACTTATGGATTGCTTGCAATACTATGATAACTGCTTGTTTTTATTATTTTGTAGGCAACATTTGGAGAATTGTGTTTATTTTTCCATGACAAACATGGAGGAACAGTTATAGGGGTGTTGTGGAAGCCATCACAACTTCAAGCAAGAGAATTTAAGGTAATTTTAAAGTGGCTAGGTCTACAATGTTCTCCATTACCATAATTATTTCATATATTGATGAAGCAATAGAATTATAGCATTTTGTCATTCTTTTAAAATATCTATTGAAAAAAAATATTGGTATGTTTCTAAATGGTTGTGTATGGATATTTATATGATGAAGAATACGTCTTTTGTTTAGAACAATTTATTATCTGCTATATATAGATATCTGATCATGTATCTCACATCAACAACACCAATATATGATTATTTTGTGGTTAATTATCACATATGATACTGAATACTATCAACATAATTATTTGTGGAATGACAGTCTCGTTGAATGGACAAGTTCACTTTAATATTGATTAACCTTACTTGAACGTAAGTGATAGGCCTTTGCCACCAGTGTAGAGCCAGGTATGCCTGTACAACCATATAGTCTGGCCAAACTAATGACGTTAATTGACTTGCATTCATATTCAGCATCAGCATTACTGAATTCAAAATTTATAGATCACCGGGGTCTGTACTCTCAGTGCCTGAAACTGATGGAACCTTATTAAGCATAGAACATACACACCCTAACCAGGCTAAAAAATTTCATCTTGATTTGCCTAAAATGATACTAGAGTTATATGAAAAAGAATGGACTAGCCCATTAAGAAATTCAGCATGTTAACCATATTTACCGACTAGGATCAACAAATTACAATTGTGAAAGTTTTTATGTCCTGATTTAACAGTTGGAGCTGTCCATTTGTTTAACCCATACAATGCTGTTTGTGTAATGGATTTGCCCAGTACACTTAATGTTTAATGGTTGACAATTTACTGATTCATTAACAGTGTAGAGCCTGGTCAGACTACATAAAAAAATGCCCAAGATTTGAGAAAACTTCTTGATAATGTTAGACCAGTGGCAAAGGCTTATCAAAGGCTTTTGGGACAAGCAGGTTATGGGATATGATAAGAGGTGATACATGGGTTATTGAGGAGCTTCAGCAATACTAGGGGGTTCTAACATATATAATTACAAGATTATTAAATAAGTTTTATTTGCAAAAATATTGCTTTTTTAGATTCTGAAAATTTACAATGTAGTTAGAAATAAATCAATTGTTCATATTGCCCAGGTTGTCTCACTGGCTGTATTACCAAGTGAAAATTTTCTATAATTTACTACATAAATATCACATGGACAAGTTAAGAAATGCTTCATATAAAACGAACAAGCAAGTCAAAATCAGATTTTGCAAGCCCTGCTTCAAGCATGGACAGATCCAAGGTTTCACGAGAGAAATATACCTTAGAATATATTAATATTTCAACACTGAAAGATATTTATTGGTATATTTTAGGTCTCACATATTAACTACAGTAAACTGAACACAGACAAAACAGAGAGTTCAGGAAATCTCATGCTGATACCAAATCTTGATGCTGTTGTAGAAGATTTTAGGATAATTGGCAAAGGAATTATTAGCAAAATCGAAGTAAAAGAGCAAGAAACATTCAAATGTTGACAATTTTGTAGTCCTTGTTAATCATGATTACTGGTTATATTTGTTCTGCAATTTTGAAAAATAAAATAGATAAAATAGCTGACTGGTTTAGTTTTATGTTGGTTAAACAACTCTGAAGAAGAGTATTATTTAAATTGTCATACCCATAGCATTTACAGTGTCAATAATAACCTTAAAAGTACTCCACTGAGTACCAAAGGCCCCAAACATAAAATTTGAAAACCTTACATAGGTCTACTGGGCCATTTAAAAAGAAAGAAACAAAAAAAAGAGGTGTATGAAATGTATACAAGAAAAGCATTGATGCAAAGCATCAAAGGGCGTCCAAGCAAGAAATGCAGCAAGTGAAGATGAACTAGTACACATATGATGACAAGATATTCTTATAAACTACCAGAAATGTATACCACTTATGAATGAGCGGACGAAAGACATTGTTCATTATGAACTTTGATTAGCATGCTAGAGATTAGAATATTATACAAATATGGACTTTTTAGCTGTTGAATATGATGTGATATGTACTGAAAAAATTAATATTGACCGAGGCGATTGTTATTTCTTTATGATCGTGGTTATTAATAGCAACGGATATACATGTATGCAATCATTTATAATCCATATGTGTAACGCATGATCAACACGTACCACACATTTGTCCCTTATTATGTACATGTTATCGCTATTAGCGAAGACCCCCTTAAGGTATCTGTTCACACTTTAAGTTAGTAAAAATATGACACTGGTTATATTACCATGTTGATCATGTTGAGCATAATTGTTTATTATACAATAATTGTAATATCTATTAATTTTAATTAAAAAAAAATACAAATTTTATGAATATTGTTTTCTTTTATTCTTTTTTGTGTTTTATGTGCTATTTTAATACTGAGTTTTTACTACTCTTTTTTATTAAAATTGTAAAATAAATTTTAAGAATTCAATTGTCATATTGACCGACGATTATAAGTCAAAGCTTAACTGGAAAAAGTCAGTAAATTATGGTTTATCTTTCAATATATAATATTGTTTATTCTTAAACCATGTACATGTACATTGTATTTTTCTTTATCATTTTTTAAATTATCGATCAATTGAATAATTCATAAAATCTAATTTGTAACTTTGAATAATTCCTCGGCATCTTTACTAAACACGGATAACAAATTGAATAATTAAATAAAATGTTTCAAAGTTGATAATGTCATTTTAATACCATAAAAAATGTACCTTTTTCTCAATTATTGTACATATCACGAATTTATATTACATATAAATCCGTGTACATATTTATTGTTTTTATCTCATATAGATAAAATGAAACATGCTATTGTTGTTTTTTTCTAATTGTAACGATATCAAACATCTACTCCAAAACCGGGAGAGACCGGACAATAAACGTGTGGTACTATTCGCCGGTCACTAGTAAATCCTGGTCAAAATAGACCGGGAGAGACCGGCATTTACCGATAGGAGTGATAAAAAGATATATCTATAAATAGGTTTTTGGAATATTTAGGTCATCAACTGATCATTCTAGGATACATGTACAACAATAACATACCATGACATGATAATCGACTGTTGTACTACAAAATGATAAATAAAAAACCCCGAAGAGCGCGATTTATTGACGGAAAAGGTTATTTCATTTGTAAATGTTTGCATTGCGAAAATTCATTGTAACATATCGCGACATTTCATTCTTATTTAATAATCAAGCACCCTCATACCGATCGGAATTTTCGGCTTTTATTATGACCGACTAAAAGGCTCGAGAAGTTGCTGTCGCCCTTTCACAAAATCTGATCTCATTCCATAAGAGCGCCGCGCTTCGGCGCGGACGCCAAATAGAGAAATGTTGAAATCTAAATTGAAAATATTTTGTGCAGTTCTGAGCCCAATTTGAGTAAAAAGCATTTAAACACTTGCATTTTTTTTGTTTTTTTACACAATAAATGAGATCCACTTCAATGAAATAATTCATATGACTTGGGAATAAAAGTGTGACCTTGACCTTAGAGGTAAGGACCCAATTTTTGTGCTCTGCACGTTATCATTATGTCCAACATATTTATGCATAATTCTTAAATCCATCCATCAATGACAAAACTGTTGATGAGACAGAAACATCAGTGTACTTTAATAAAAATTCATATGGCTTCTGACCTACAAGTGTTATCTTGACCTTTGAGGTAGAGACCCCCAATTCTTGCACTCTGCACAACATTATGTCCAACATAGTAATGCATAATAATTCTTAAAGCCATCCATCAATTACAGAATTGTTAATCGGACAAGAACGTCAGTGTACATTAATGAAAATTCGTATCAGGACTTTTGACCTATAAGTGTGACCAGACCTTGACCTTTGAGGTAGGGACCCCATTCTTGTGCTCTGCATAATTATTCTTAAACCAATCAATCAATGACAGAAATGTTGATTGCACAAACATCAGTGCATTTTTATTAAAAATTTCTTTGAAGTCGGTGTGACCTTGACATTCAGACTTAATTGTTACACATGACAATACCCAGATGTGCTACTCATTTATACAAAATTATTTTAAAATCCATCCATATATAGCAGTTTATAGACCGGACACATTTTGGACAAGATATACATACAAAAATTTTGACTTAAAAATTTTTTTTATATTGATTTTATTCAGTTTAACCAATTTTTAACTAAACATAAGACAGTATCATTTAAAACTTTGTATCAAGGAAGGTTTGTCCATTGTTGCAGGTGTTATGCATGAAAGTGACCTTTCTTTTGGTGATCCGTTAAGTTTGTTTCATTTTACGCCTTTTCCAAACAGTATTTTGGTCATATAGGCGGGTAGTTTCCTAACCATCGTTCTTGGAGAGTTACACCACTAGACTACCTTCCTCCCTGCTCAACTACCGGGGATCAAACCCACGCCAGAGGTAAATGGATTACAAGTCATCAATTCTGCCCCCTCAACCACGGAGGCGGTCTGATCTGTTAAGATTTTAAGAAACGTTCCCAACCTTCATGATACTAACCTTGCACAGTTTCAGATGACCAGTCCTTTAAAATTCTAGAGCTCAACAGTAACATTTTAAAGCAGCTGACCTCCAAAGATAATAGAAAAAATATTTCAAAATCCCTCTTCAGAAACATAATATTGTTGAAAGAAATCGAAATGACACTTCATAATGTTTATATTTCAACATCATTGCTCTGAAAAACAATTCGCTTATCTGCCAATGGGAAATACCTTCTTTTATTATACTACGGAATTCTTGCATTCGGGTTTTTTTTTCCTAGTACCACGTGATTGTACACGACAATTTCACCTATGGTCAGTAACACATGGAATCAGGGATTGTATCATATAAAAGGGAAACAAATAACTACTTTTGTTTTGATATTTGTAGTAATTTGTGGCTCTAAAAATTCTTATTAATTATATCATATGTTATATCATATATAAACTTTAGCTTGAAATACGATAGGGGCCTACGCAATCCCAGATTATTGTTGCGACACACGACCATGCTTAAATGAATTATCTTTTTATATTGGCTACTGCATTGGTAACGAAGTTGAAAGGAAAAACACTATAGATTCTTTTTTGAAGTAAGACGTCAGTAATTACGAATTTACCTTTTTTAACCCAACTAGATCAGTATTTACCTTTTACTTGAAATTTTATTTCATTTGACAATCTGGAGGACAGTGGATCCTATATATAGGCAGTTTCAAATTTCAAGCATGCAACAACTGAACATATTTCTAATCACTATGCAAAGGTTATTGTCCATTTATTAATATTAGAACCACTATCCAAGTACATTGTACATGGAAGTTTAGGTGTTTTCAACTGGGTATCGTCAATATATTACGTCTTACTCTCAGAACTTGAGAAGTAGCAGTTTATTATTAATTTTTTTATACTAATTTAATTTTAATCATTTTATAATGTGTATGATCTAAATTTGACCTCATAAGCAGCAGCAGCATTTACATCACAAGTTTTCATATCTAGTTAGGTTTGCAGTATAATGATTATGTACTGGATCCTACTCTAGCATAAAATTCAAAATTGTAGTCACATTGGTCAAATGAAATTCATATATTCAACCTTCTTATTGTGTGACATGTCAACAAATTTTAATTTTTCTATCAACTTAAGTCAGAATGTAGAAATGGCATGTTAAAAATATTCATGTTTTTGTTTCAAGGAAAATCAAGGCATTCTAAAGTTCACTTTGGATTCATGGAATGCAATGACATCTTTTCCATTGAAGGGAAATAAATTTAATGAAGATAATCTGTAATGTCTTCATTACTTGTTAACCTCTGGTTGTAAAATCTCTTCAATGTTCATGCATATTATTCATTTCATGATAACAAAATTCAGGAGCTCAAATAATGGAACTGATATTGATGATCACCAAATTTTCTGTTCAAGACCCAACAAGAATATCCAACACAAATTATACAATTTGATTGAAGCTGATCTATATGTAAAAGCATCCGTTTCTTTAATAATAATCTTCTTCAAAATACTTGTGGGATATTCAATGATGCTTCCAGTTTGATGCAACAAGGTACAATTGTAACAGAAAACAGATTGGATAATTTTTTTTCCAATACTTTTTTTTTTTTTTTGGAAAAAATCAACAACACAAAATATTTATCAGACTTTTTTCTTCGTTTCATTGCCAACATTGGCAAGCAGCACAAATTTTACAAAGCATATTTCAGTTTTAAAGGTGTTTCTATACAATTTCAGCACATTTAAACAGTAGACGAGTGTCATTAAGATACTTCAACATTTTTTTCTTTGTCAATTTCGGTCCATGATTCTGGCTTACGGAAAGTCGGGAAAACAATAAATAGCACTATACGTCATAACATGTTACAATTTATCCAAGAAGTTATCTAGGGCTTGCACTTGTTCTTTAAGTCCCTTGCGTTTTCTGATTTCTGCTACGATACCTCCAGCCTTTGTGCCAGGGTCAAGGGCATTTCCACACTGCATATTATCCCAGTGATCAAACACACATTGTGGGAAAGCTTGACCTCCTGTAGCGGCTCTCAATTCTGTGGTGAAACCTGAAATACAGTTCATACTGTTTAAGACACCTTTCTCTAGTTGATCATAGTGGCTATATACACTCCATGCAATATCTTTAAACGGAGCCTCTTTTATTCATAAACTCCCAACATATACATAATGATTGCTGCAAAGTCTTGTAGTCTCAACTCCAAATCAAATAGTTATATAGAAATAACATTATCACAGTCAGAACAATCAGTAGACATGGGATTACATATCAACAAGAGCTGTCACAGGAGACAGCAAAGCTAGAAGAAATACATACTGGATGCAGTTAAGACACAACTATGAAAGAAAAATCAATTATGAAATAAATATATTTCTTCTTATGACAAGAAGTTATAGTTGTCAACATAAATTCCAAATAACAGGGAATATTTCTGGAAGTCACACTAGAGTAATGGACCTTGTCACACAACAAGAAATATATATTTGAAGTTAGGAGATACCTAGAAAAGTAGTTATAATATTTCTTAAAGAAAATTCAAAGTTCAAAGGTAGATAAATCTGAAAATATTACTTCAAGAGTTATGAACCTTGTCACACAAGATCTGGTTGATGATAAGGAATATGTATTTGAAGTTTGAGGTAGATACCTTTAAAACTAAAGTTAAAGTAAAAAATAACATTTTTCTAGTAAAAAAAATACAAAAGTTAATGGGGAGATAATTCTTAGACTTCCCGAAATACGTCAGTCCGATAAATTTTGATTAGGTCCGACGATTTTTTATTCTGGATCGGTCCGACTGTCCGGCTTTTATCCAAGCCACATGTCTACAAAATGGCGTCACTTAAAGAGCCAAACGTGGGAAAAAACGAAAATCTACGACAGAGGAGCGCGCAGAACAGCAGTAAAAGGATGAAAAGAATAGATTCGAGACAAAATTTAATGAAAAACGGAAACAGGACCTTAAATTGTTGGTATATGACAGGGAGGAGATGAAAATGCGCTGTACGGACTGTGACGATTTTTAAGGCAAAAAAATTAAAACCGAAAAGTGTCTTAGAAATACAAACACAAGTTTTCCTTTGATTTTGATTAATTTTATTCGGTCCGACAGATTTTCATGGTTTGTCAGACTGAATGTCCGACACTTTTTTTTTTAACTTTCTGGAAGTCTGAATTCTTGCTGCAATATTGGTGCTAGAGTTATGAACCTTGTCACATAAGATGTAGTTGATGGTAAGGAACATATATTTGAAGTCAATACTTTAAGAAATGAAAAAGTTATAGAGTAAAATATTTTACTTAACTAAAACTTTAATTTGAAATTTGGACGCGGCCGCCGTGGCGAGTAGGACAGCTCTCCATATACTTCGTAAAGTAGAGTTAAAAAATTCTGTCAAAAAGCATCCACACTTACCAAAAGATTCATTTACAGGCAAGAAAGCCTTAAGTATAGACTGTCCAACAATAAATTCAAAATTTTCCTGCATTTCACCACGTCTCTTGTTCAGGACTGAGAAACAACCTCCTTGGGCTTGAGTTGGTACCTTAAGTAAAAATAAGACATAAATGTTAGTAGCAAGAAAAAAACCCTCAGTTTTTCCTTTTAAGGTAGACCATGGGTAATGGGAACCATAAGGAACTGTACAATTGACAACATAGGACAGTTATATGTTTTCAAGATCACCTGTATGCAAAATTTAAATAAACTTTACCGTGTGGTTTATGAGTTATGGATATATTTCTGAACTAAGACTTTGCCATTAGCAGGGCTTATTTTCAGAAATGAGGAAACTCTAAATAATCTGTAATATCATCATTATAAAAAATGTTTTTCTATTGCCCATTATTAAGAAACAAATAATAACATTCAGGTAACAAATTACACAAGTAAAATGTTTGTTTCTAAACAAATGTTCTTAATATGTATAAAAATGTTACCCTACCCCACCCACTTTAAACACTGATTTCACCATTTCCCTATCTAAAATGCCTTATTCAAAATATTCCTAAAATTTACCATAATGAGGGGCTGTTTTCAAAGTTTGCCTAAATTTTCTTAATTGGTTGATCATGCGAAATATGAAATACTTTTACCGTGTAGTTTTTATTTTATTTAACTTTGAAAATATCTGGTATCATATTTGCTATAAATTTTGGCATTATTTAGCAAATAAATATCTTTAATAATAAAATAATTTAAATCAAACCCATTTTTTCTTCCATAAGGGATCAGAGATACATAAATGTTAAAAAGAAAAAAAAAGAAAGAAAAAAAGTTACCCCTTCTGGGGTTTGAACCCACGCCCCTCAATTTCAATGTTGTTTGCAAGCGATGTTAGCCTATTTGAATACTCTTCAATGTGCATTACCCATGGTCTACCTTAATACAAAACTAGAACTGCCACTGTCATGGCGTGAATACCCCCGCATACCACTTTGTTAGAATCAACAGTAGTCATTAAAAGCTAAAGTACAACCTTCCTGCCAAATCTGAGGGTAGTAAGCCAGTGCATTGCTTAATTATGTATTCTACATGTTTTTTTGTGGCAAAGATCAAAGTGACCTTACCTTTGACCTCAAAACTGAAACTGCCACTGCATGACTTGAATACCCCCATTCATGCAGGTTTGCCTAGGGGTGTTTTATGATAAATATACGAGAACATAATTATATGCTTCAAATGTGAAAATGTCAAAATCAATAACACTTTAGACAGGCATTCTGAAGCATTTCAATGGACAAACTTATTGTAGTAAAAGCCCCCGTGACTTTGACCTTTGACACATTCACCAAAAATCAATAGGAGTCATCTACTAGTCATACCAAATATGAAGACTGCTGACCAAAGCACTGTTACGTTATTGAGCAGACAAGCTTTTTGAGCTTAAGGCTGCTGTGACCTTGACTTTTGACCCAAAGACCTCAAAATCAATAAGGGTCATCTACTGATCATGACTAACCTCGATGCCGAATATGAAGACTGTGGGTCAAAGGAATCTTAAGTTATTGGGCTGACAGGCTTTTTTAGTAAAGGCCCCTGTGACCTTGACCTTTGACCTCAAAATCAATAGGGGTCATCTACTCATCACGACTAGGGTTTCTTAATCGGACAAAAATCATAATCGATCATCGAAAATAATCGAACAACCCTTTTCGATCAATCATCGATTATATAATCGAAACATTAACAATAACAAAGTAAATATGTACAATGTTCATATCATGCTTTAATATTTATAAGAATTCCATTTCCATGCATGTAACCACCACTTTATCAACTGAAATAAATAAGTTTAAAGATATACTATGCTCATCCTTGAGTAAAATATTTTTATCCAAAAAATTCATTAAAATCTATGAAATTATTATGTGTCACTTTTCAAAAAAGCAATGAATAAACTATGTATGGGAACAAGTTAAGTTGGTCCTTTCTTTACAAAACTGCCATTTTTTAATGACACTAAATATTGAAATTGCAACCACCTTAAGTGTGTAGAATTATTTTATAACATATCTTCTTTGTGTGAAGTCAAAACATATTTATTTTATATTTATAAAAAGACTGTGTAGCAATTTCAGATATTTTCTAATGTCAAATTTGAGCATAGTATACCTTTAAACTAACATGCCTCACTGTCAACTATTAACTCCATGGTCACCAGTATACTTTCATATTCAATTGAATGAAAATTATTGTTTCAACCAAAACTGGCTTTAATTAAGTGTTTTTATAATACAGTGAATCACTTTAAGTAACAGCAAGAAAATAAATTACCGATAATCGATTATTAAACTTTGTAATCGATCATCGCTGATCGGTTCTATAAATGATCAATTTTCGATTATACTCGATCATCGTTTAATCCCTAATCACGACTAACACAAAATGCCAAATATTAAGACTGTGGGTCAAAGGAATCTTAAGTTATTGGGTGGACAAGCTTTTTTCAGTAAAGGCTCTGGCCCTGACCTAGTGACCTAAAAAATCAATAGGGGTCATCTACTCATGACAAACCTCTATGCCAAATACGAAGACTGGGTCAAAGGAATCTTAGGTTATTGGGCGGACAAGCTTTTTTTTAGTCAAGGCCCCTGTGACTTTGACCTCAAAATCAATAGGGGTCATCGTCTAATCATGACTAACCTCCATGCCAAATATGAAGCCTGTGGGTTGAAGGAATCTTTAGATATTGGGCGGATATGGAAAAACCAGATGCACAAGCTGATTCCAGTATACCCCCCTTACAACTTTGTTGTGCAGGGATATAACTATTCAGTGTTCCTAGTGTTATCATCACTTTCTTAACTGTTCAAGTAACAATGCAATCAGCTAGAGCAGTACAATGTACAGAAAAAGAAAGCGCTATGTCCAAATGAACACTTGGGCCCCAGGGAACCTTGACCCTGTGACTGGCAGGCAGAGATCATCCAGGTGCATGGACCCTTAAAGGTTGGAGGGCTTAATGTGGAAGGATTTTATGGTCAGTCAGAAATATAAAATATGCCCAAGCAAACTATCAATCCAAGGGATTAGGAAAAACTTACTCTGATTTCTACTAGGTAGACTGGCTCCATGAGAGCTGGTGCAGCTGTCAACATACAGGCATACAATACTCTTCTTGCTGTTGGGATGATCTGTCCACCACCTCTGTGGATAGCATCGGCATGTAGAGTTACATCATGAATATTAAATCTTACTCCACGTACATTTTCATCACACAAGACACCCTGAAATAATACAATATGTCATTCTCTTATTCAATTCAGTGTAAGAAATTAGGATTTGAATCGACTAGGCTTGTCAGACTACCAGATTGGAATATTCACTAGCCCAAAAGACATTTCACTAGCATTTGTTCAAAATAGTTGTTTATATTGCCTCTGAAAATACAGTAGACTACTGCTAATTTCGAACATTGCAAATTATCTATTTCTCTAAAACGTGCAAGTATAAATAATACAATATTTGCACAAGAACATCTTGAAGTAACTTTCATCTATTAAGTTATAACAATTACTTGGCTTGTACCTGAAATACTAAATTTCCTTACAAAGTCGATTTTAAGCAGTTTCTTTTCTTCTTTATAGAAATTCTATAAGACACAAACCTCTTTAGTAGCCCACTGGAAGCCAGCAACAACACTGTCTTTGATTTCATTGAGGTACTGCACTCCCTTTGTAACATCAATCAACAAGTTGGGGCCAGTACCTTCTGGACCAAAACACCAGATCTTTCTTGCTTCTGACACATCAAAGTCATACTTGTCGGCCAAGTATCTAGCTCTCTCTTTCATTTCTTGCCTTGGTGTTACGTCACCCTTCAAGTATACATTTAATAATTTAACTAATTTGACAAGTTTAAAGTACTTGTTGATATTTTTTCTCTTCTTCTTGGTTAGCATTAAGACTTAAGGACAATCTGGTCTCATCCTAATTTTCAAACTTTTCTGGTTATCAACTTATTTTATTTGGAATTTTTTAAGCAAATGGTGACAACTTATAGTTGGCAATTACAGCTGCTACAAACTACCTTACAAAGTGAATGCTTTACAAGGGCAATAAAGGAATAATGTTAGTCTATCAAATTCAGTTTCACATCTAGAACCAAAAGTATAAAACAAGATTGCATTTGTGAACAAGAACTGTCGGAGGACAGTAACGCTCAACTATTTGAAAAGTTGTCAAAAGGGTGTTTCATGGAGTATGATAATGCTTACCTATAATAAATTACTATATATTGTCTCTTATAAGACGGCCACCTGCTCAACGCCGCATAGATCCCTGACCTATCTAATTCTTATTATCAGATTAGTGGTTAAATCTATTGTTATTCAAATACAAGATCAGAGTAGGAATATATCAATGCAGTAAATTTGGTGGTGAAGGTCATATTTCACGCAGCCAAAATTTCATGACTGTACATCAAAGGACAACACAGTAAGACACAATCTAGGTCAGCTGATATTAAAGTGCACCTTACATCTTAATCTGTGCACATGGTTCAAATTTCATAGCTGTACATCAAAGGACAAAAAAGCAGGTCACTGTCTCAGCAGGTCCACCAAACGTTTCTTGTCAATTATCTAAGCTGTTGCTGTCTCCAATTCAGAAAACATTTGTTTTAGTTTCTGTTTTTGAAAATCAATGCCCCCTGGCACCAGGCGAAAAATTTGAAAAACTTGGGTAGAGGACCTATAGATGACATTATATAGCAAACATCAAAGCTCTTTGCCTTATACCATCAGACAAGAAGATTTTTTAATTTTTTACTATATGTACATAGTGAAAATCAATAACCCCGGGGCAGGGCCAATTTTGACCCCAGGGCTATAATTTGAACAATCTTGCTAGAGGTTCACTACACAATGTTTCATGCAAAATATCTAACCTCTAGCATTTGTCAGTTTCTAGAAGATAATTTTTTTTACTATATACATATAAGGAAAACCTATGACCCCCGGGGCGGGGCTAATTTTGACACTAGAGGAAAAATTTGAAAAACTTTGGTAGAGTACCTATAGATGATATCATATACCAAATATCAAACCTCTAAGCCTTGTACCTCTAGACAAGAAGGTATTTTAAGTTTTTACTATATGTACATCAATGAACCCCGGGGTGGGGCCAATTTTGACCCCAGGGCTATAATTTGATCAATCTTGGTAGAGGTCTACCAGACAATGCCTTATGCAAAATATCTAAGCTCTAGGCCTTTTGGGTCCTTTACAAGAATTTTTTTTTAATTTATTCTAATACAGTAGAACTTCTAGGAGTCGAACTTCGATTAGTCGATTTTCTTGATGTGTCGAAGAAAAATGAAAGTCCTGACTTTTTCCCCTATATATTCCTTATAAAAACCTGTTTATGAGTCGAGATTTTATGTGTCGAATTTTTCGATGTGTCGAGGTTTTTTCGTGGTCCGTATAAAGTAAATTTAGTGCAATTTACCACAAATAAGTTGAAGTCGTTCGATTATTTCGACACCTTCCATCTCGAGACATTTTCACACCTTATCTGGCTGCGAAGACGATTTCCAATCACATTGTGTGACAGGTGTTAATTACACAGCCGTGTGTTCAAACCGCCTTTGTTTGCGATAAAATGTGTGATAAAATGCTTTAATCGTTACTATTTTAATTGCCGTAGTGGTATTTGAAAGTAAACAGTAAGAACTACTTTCATTTGAAAACATCCTTGACCCGGTGCCGCGTGAGAATAACACGCGAAATATTTACTATAAGCTGGTTTAGTTATCGCCCTTTCGTATTGTTACGCCTTTTATAACTCTATTGTATACGTCAACGGGTAGTCCAAATAATTAGCATAATAATAATTATTTATCATGCTATATTTATCATTGTAAAATGTAAATAGCAGATTAATGATGGAAAAACATGAAATAGGTTTCGTTATAGATCTTATAATTAGGACTAGTCACAGGTCGAAATTTTGTCATGGAATTGAGAGCGATTCATGAGTCGAAGTCCCGATGTGTCGAAGTTTTTACGCAAGTCCCTTCAACTTCGACTTACCGAAGTTCTACTGTAATTCCTTTTTGGTTGCCATGGCAACCAGCTTTCTGCATGGAATGAAATTTTTGAACAACTTTGGAAGCCCTTCACCCAAGGATCAATCCTGCCAAGTTTGGTTGAAATAGGACAAGTGGTTTTTCACAAGAAGATTTTTTATCTATACAACACACAAACAAATACACAGGTGAATCGCTGTATGCCACCGCATCGCAGATGCTGCGGTGGCATAATGTTGTTCACTGAAAGTGTTACGTTACATTAATAGTTGCAAATCATACGCTTTGCTCCAGTTTCAACAAATATTTACACAAGAATGATAGAAGAAAATACTAACATCATCAATATCTTGTTGTAACTGTGCAACAATAGGTTCAGCCTTCATGAAAAGACGGTTATGTTTGTTTGGTGACTTTGACAGACACATGATTGAAGACGCTTCAGTGACAGTTTCACGGTATGATACAACAGGGTCAGATTTCTTCAATGGAATGCCAGCGTGGTCTTCTTCAAGATCTTTCAAGCAGATTTCTAAATGTAATTCACCTGCACCAGCTATGATGTGTTCTCCAGACTCTTCAATAGTACACTGCAAGAAACATATGCTTCAAAATGAAAACACGTTATCAATAGTCACAAGATTATATGCTGTTAAATAACAATTATGGTAAAAAAGATTCTCATATCTAAGTATAAAAGCAAAGTTGTATTATATACTCTCTTTCTGAGAAGCTTTAACCTTTAGCAATTGTTTAAAGCTGTTGAAAAAAGAATTCCTATGAACCTGGTTTGAAGAACATTCCTCAAGTTTCATTAAACAAGAGGGCCCGCCATGATGGCCCTGAAGTCGCTCACCTGTATATAGGCCCCCCAGAGCTAGGCAAGTTTAAACCCCAGGGCTTTTATTTGAATAAACTTGGTAGACACCCATTAGAAGATGTTTCATGCTAAACATCTAAGGTCTAGCTTGTTGGGTTTTTAAAAAAAAGATTTTCTAAGTTTTTTCTTTACACATATACTAGTATTTAAAAACAATGACACTCCTGGGGCAGGGCAAGTTTTGACCCCAGGGCTTTTATTTGAACAATCTTTGTAGACACTTACTAGAAGATGTTTCATGCTTAATATCTAAACTCTAGCTATTCGGGTTATTTCCAAGAAGATTTTTAAGTTTTGCTATACACATATAAGGAAAATCAATGTCCCCCGGGGCGGGGCCAATTTGACCCCAGGGCTCTTAGTTGAACAAACTTGGTAGACATCCATTAGAACATGTTTCATGCTAAATATCTTAGCTCTAGCTCTTTGGGTTCTTTAAAAGAAATTTTTAAAGTTTTTACTATATACATATAGGGAAAATCAATGACCCCCTGGGGCGGGGCCAATTTTGACCCAAGGGCTTTTATTTGAACAAACTTGGTAGACACTCACTAGAAGATGTTTCATGCAAAATATCTAAGCTCTAGCTCTTTTGGGTTTTTAGAAAATGATATTTAAAGTTTTTTCTTTTGGTTGCCATGGCAACCAGAGTTCTGCATGGAATTAAATTCTTTGAACAATTTTTAAAGGTGACCACCAAAGGATCATTTCTGTAAAGTTTGGTTGCAATTGGCCATGTGGTTTAGGAGGAGATGTTGTTTGAAAAGTTTGACGCCATTTTTTGAAGGACGCACGACGGACGCAGAGTGATGACAAAAGCTCACCCTTGAGCACAAAGTGCTCAGGTGAGCTAAAAAGAGGGCCATGATGGCCCTGAAATCGCTCACCATCGCTTTTATTTGAACAAACTTGGTAGACACCCACTAGAAGATGTATCATGCTTAATATCTAAGCTCTAGCTATTTGGAGTTTTAAAAAGATTTTTTAAGTTTTTACTATATACAAATAAGGAAAATCAATGACCCCCTGGGGTAGGGTCAATTTTGATCCCAGGGCATTTATTTGAACAAACTTGCTGAACACCGACTAGATGATGTTTCATGCCATATATTAAAGTTCTAGCTTTTACGGTTTTCTAAAAGATATTTTAAGTTTTTTCTTTCGGTTGCCATGGCAACCAGAGTTCTGCTTGTAATTAAATTCTTTGAACAATTTTAAAAGTTGACTACAAAAGAAACATTCCTGTGAAGTTTGGATGAAATTGGCTTAATGGTTTATGAGGAGATGTTGTTTAAAGTAAAAGTTTATGGCCGAAAAGCGATCACAAAAGCTCACCATGTCACTTTGTGACAGGCGAGCTAAAAATTTAAAATTAAACATTCCCATGTATGAAGGTTTTAGACAAATGGTTCATTACGAAAATAAGCAGACACTGTTGCCAAGTTGATCATCACTATAACCTTTACCTTAGGATAGACATGAGCAAACTTAAGGTTTTCATGTTGAAGTTCTCAGACAGACAAATGAGTCATATATAAAATATGAAGACAGCAGATCTAGAAGTTATTGACAGGACATTGACCTGGCCAATAGATGACAACTGCAATGTGCTATTGTTTTACTCAAGTTATCTCTGTGTATAAACTTATTATCAGACTTAATTTTTCATACATAATTTAAAGTCAGTATAATTATCAAATTGGTCTATTACAAATTCCCCTACCTGCACCATAGGATCTGATTTGGAGAGACGTTTAAGACCTTCAACAAGCTTTGGCAATTCAGCTGGGTTCTTGCATTCTACAGCAACTCTCACAACTGGACTCACAGAGAATTTCATCACCTGCAAAGCAATGAAATAACATCAGACCTTAATTTCATCAGGCTTTATCTTCCTTGGCATTTCATATTTACTCTTTCAGTTATTATTGAAGTCAATGCTGAAAAAAAAAATACAAGTTTCCTTACCTTCATGTTGTGGGCATCTTTGTATGTGGAGATAGTTCCTCCCTTCACCAAAAACTGATCAACTCCGACCAAACCAGCAATGTTTCCACATGGTACATCTGGAATTGGCTCAATGTAGCGACCCATCATCAATATAGTCCTGATGAAGATAAAAAAGATTGAAGTTTTTTCCTCACTAATTTCAAACAATTCTCCCCACACATACAATTCAAGAAGTTTGATCTAAGAAACAAACCAGTCATCAAATTGAAACAATGTAGCTTCCTATTAGATACTTGTCTGCATCTTCCCTAAATATATTAGAGGCATTCTATTAGGGAGAGAAAATATTGATACTAACTTCTTGTTTTCCCATTGCCTTTTCTATACAAATATTTCAGCAACATTGGAGGCAAACCGACTGTGTAACCCTATCATATACAAATATTTCAGCAACATTGGTGGCAAACCAATTGTGTAACCCCATCATTATATGTCGAAACTCTCATAACCGAAAAAGCCTCTTCGCAGAATTCATGAACACAATTTCAATGGTGTAGGTTTTTTCAAAAATGAATGACAAGTTTGTGTCTTTCAAATAGTTGTAGAAGTCACTAAATAATTAGTTTTTAACTTGCTATATGTATACCTCTGAATACTTTTCTCATACAAGTCTTCTTTCTTGCCTGGTTTGTAGTTGGGGCCCATAATGCGCACCTTCTGGCCAGTGCCAACAGTACCAGAGAACACACGTCCAAAAGCATAGAAACGTCCCTTGTCAGAGGTGGGAACCATTTTAGAGATATACATCATCAACTCTCCTTTTGGATCGCAGTTCTTCACAGCTTAAATGGATTCAAGTCCTTCATTCATTAAACTGATATTTAGATTAAGGATGGTCAAAAAAACACCAAAATTGCCTGCATCAGCTAAACTTCACAGGAAAACTGTCCTATGGGTATTGTTGTTGGGCAACTTAAAATTAGCATACACATCAACTTTATAATCTGTTTTTATTGAGACAATTTGTTTTTATCAAAGCTTCTGAACTCTCCAGTTGATGCTTTAGCCATATCCCATGAGAAAGTTTATGAAAATCAGTTACTGACACATAAGATTACAAGTTTATTTCTTTTAAGTAATCCATTGATCTGCGTATTTTTATGGAACTCGCCAACTTGCAAACCTGTACAAGGTCATTGCAATTTAGAAGGAAATGTTTCTTGACAAGCTATATAAAATCGAGCATCACCTCGTTAGAAGAATGTGTGTCAAAATGGTTAGGAAATGGTTATCACTGAAGGTGATAAATACACCCATACAAAATATAGAGCATGAACTTCCAAAAATTAAAGTTTTCCAAATTTCTAGTAAAATAGTCCTTTATCATAGACATTTTGATATTTGGTAAAGTAATACAATCAGCTTCTCTGACTATAACCTACCAACAGCACAGGGATCATCCATTGGGCCTTCATACAACAATTCAGTTCTGTATTTCTGGGCTGTTACAGGAGAAGGCAAGTGGATAACTATCATCTGCAGCAAAGCATCTCCAGCTGGAAGCCATTTCCTCATCATTGTCTACATAAGAAAAAAAGATTTAATAATTAATTATTCTCTGCCAGTCCTATTCAACAAATTTAATCATTTTCACTTCCATGGGTGCAAGTTTAAAGTGTCAGAAAACCTCCTGAATTTAGTATTATTTCAATTGGTTTAATATAGAACAAGAGCCACGTTCGGGCATGGGCAACACTCAACTTTTTAACTTTTTCTAAAAGCAAACAAAGAATGTTCGAACAAATCTTAAAGTTTCCTTTTTATAATTTTAATACGTTTGTCTATTCACATTAATTTTGTCAAAGTATGAATCCTTTCCATATATATCTGCATGTGTATACTAGAGGTGTAACGATTCATCGATGCATCGATGCATCGCGATCTGTCTTGTCCTCGATGTATGCATCGTAATGAAATTACAAATTCCAATATATTGCGATGCAATACATATTTCACCTCCCGATGTATCGATACAGCGGGAATGTATCGCAATACACTAACAATATCTTCCAGGAATATAAGAACAAACGTATTTTTGAATGACTGAAGAAAGAAAAATAGCTCGGAATGAAAACAATAAACAAGCGTGACTATTATCATACCATCGTTGTCATCTCGTTTCCCGTGTCCGCAATCACGGATTTATATTACAATTGTAATATAAATCCGTGCCGCAATCAATCATTTAACGGTACTAACCAAGTTTTATCATTTCCATGTAAATGGGCTGGTGTTCTTTGAACTTGTTTATAATAAAACATATTTAGAGATCTGTGCGATTTCAAGAAAAAACAACTTACAAAAATGGATTTGTAATTTTATTTTGTAGCACTAATCACAGGTGCTAGTGGCATTGATTTGACCTAAAATGTGTTTGACCTTGTTATTTATACAATAAAATATCAATATATTAAAAAAAAAAAAATTTAAAAAAAATTATTTTTTTCCTGTTATATTATTATAGACAAGGTATGCAACATTCAGGTACGAAAATTATGGGTACGCCGGTTATCTGTGTTAAAATTTTTCACCGGGCGGAAATATCGTCGGATTTTTGCATGGAATCAATGCACAATATATTTTTCTATTACAATTTACTATTTACAGATCCCCAATTAACCACTAGTTAATGTTTTAAAGCCCGAAAGTAAGAAATCACCCAGGTCCGAAAGATGAGACCGTCATGACATGTACATTGTAACCTGGTATTTACGCTTGAAATACATCAACAATGAGATCAAACGGGTCGAACACACATGCAAACAACTGGATTTTACATACTTACAAAAATCCGACGATATTACAGCCCGGTGAAAAATCTTAACACAGATAACCGGCGTACCCATAATTTTCGTACCTGAATGTTGCATACCTTGTCTATAATAATATAACAGTAAAAAAAAATTTTTTTTTATTTTTTTTTTTTTTTTTAATATATTGATATTTTATTGTATAAATAACAAGGTCAAACACATCATAGGTCAAATCAATGCCACTAGCACCTGTGGCACTAATTGTCGGATTAAAATAGTGATGATGACAACATCCCCATGTGATATTCGTCACGTATTTATACTTTCATTTCCGTTGACATCATTTTCCCGTAAAAAAACCAACAAAACAAACAAACAGAAAACATGAAGACTGCAAAATATGTAGAAGGGGAAATTACAGTCAATCCTCCCCGGTCATATAATTCACGGGTTTTGGGAACATTGTAGTTTTTGGGGAACCATCAGACAGTGTTGTATAATGTGGAAGACCGGACGTGGAGTGTTTGCAAAATTTGCAAACTCAAAATAAAATACTCTGGGGTTGAGCACAAATCTTTCGACTGAAACTCATAAACTGTCATTTTCACAGTTGTTGTTCTAATTGTAGATCACTTGTTACTATTTTTTTGACAAGAAAAATCTTTAGTCTGAAATTGTTAAACTGCCATATTTACAGTAGTGGGTTTTAGTGTTAGAATAGCTAGTAGATATCAATTTGCTGTTATGGTATAATTAAAAATACCTTTAATCCTCAAGTAATCAGAAAAGTAAATTGTTGAAAGATCAAAATCGGAAACCAAGTTATAACAACAAGTTAAAGAGTTTATTTTTTTGTTATTGTAATAGTTTTATATTATATTCGTAATTATGCTGTAAACAAATGGCCAAATTTTTATATACTAAGTCTGAAAGTCAGTATCGTGATACGTATCGCATCGCAACATAAGAATCGCAATATGCATCGCATTTCTTCAAAGTATGCAATACATATCGTGAATCGCATCGTTTTGAAAAACAAATATCGTGATATGTATCGTGACAGAAAAAAATGGCAATGCACAGCCCTAGTCTATACAGAAGATAACAAAAGAAAATATATAAATATATATGATATATATATAATAAATTAATTATTCTCTGCCAGTCCTTAATTCAACACTCAATAAATTTAATCATTTGTCTTGTCACATTAGTTTTGTCAAAGTATGAATCCTTTCCATATATATCTGCATGTGTATACAGAAGATAACAAAAGAAAATATATAAATATATATGATATATATATAATAAATTAATTATTCTCTGCCAGTCCTTAATTCAACACTCAATAAATTTAATCATTCTCACTCCCATGGGTGCAAGTTAAAAGTGAAAGTGTCAGAAAACTAGTTTTTGACACCAGGTGACCCATATTCAAACTTGACCTAGAAATCATCAAAACAAACTTTCAGACCAATTTCAAGGATATTTGGGAGAAAACTTAAACAGTAGCCACTTTGAGTTCTATTTCAAGCTACTGTGACCTAGTGTTTCATCCGAGATGACGGAGGCAAAAATGTGACCACTAGAATGTTAAAGAACAAATGTAGACGGACGACAAGACAACGTACGACAGACATTCCACGATTCTAAAAGCTCACCCTGAGCTAATAACCTGGTGAGCGTTTCTCTAACTTTCAGTAAGTTATGTGTATCTTTTAACGTAAATGGACTTTCGCAAAACGTAAATTTACGTTAGTTGTGTTTCACTCAACACAAAGTGCAATTGAACTTACGCCAGCAATAAGAAACTTTATGTTTAAACTTACGCAAATGCGTAGCTTAGAAAGTTTAGTGAAACACAAATAAATACTTAGTTCTGCTTACGCAAAATATTATGGTCAAACTAGAGTTACGATAACTAAGTACGTTAGTGAAACATACCCCTAGACTTCAGGCAGATGACTGAAAACTTGTACCCATGCACTTATATAATGAATTATTCAGAGAACTAACTTGCCTTAATTACCTTCATTTGATACTTCTTTGTACACATACCTGATATGACTTGAATAGCAAACTAGAACTCCGCGAGTCGGATGTGTCGCCTTGTGAACAATGTAGTTTAGGGGAAATGGCCAGGACAAAAATGAAATATGAAAAATAACAAAGGGCAATATCTCAAAAAATAATAAGTGCAGAGCAGCAGTTTCTGTACACTGCACTTCTTATCAATAAGATCTATCATTCTATGATGTTTCAAGTCCATAGCTTTCATACTGGAGGAGAAATGACCAGGACAAAAATAAAGTAAGAAAATCAACAAAGGGCAATAACTCAAAAATAAGAAATGCAGAGTATCAGTTCTTATGCACTGCACTTCTTTTTAATGAGATCTATCATCCTATGAAGTTTCAAGTCCATAACTTTTATGCTTTCGGAGAAATGGCCTGGACAAAAATTAAGTATGAAAATTAACAAAGGGCCATAACTCAAAAATTAAGAAATGCAGAGTACCGATTCTTGTGCACTGCACTTCTTAATAATGAGATCTATCATCCTATGAAGTTTCAAGTCCATAGCTTTTATACTTAAGGAGAAATGGCCCGGACAAAATTAAAGTATGAAAATAAACAAAGGGCAATAACTCAAAAAATAAGAAATGCAGAGTACCAGTTCTTGTGCACTGCACTTCTTCTTAATGAGACCTATCATCCTATGAAGTTTCAAGTCCATGGCTTTTATACATTAGGAGAAATGGCCCGGACAAAAATAAAGTATGAAAATTAACAAAGGGCAATAACTCAAAAATTAGGAAGTGCAGAGTACCGGTTCTTGTGCACTGCACTTCTTAATAATGAGATCTATCATCCTATGAAGTTTTAAGTCCATAGCTTTTTTAGTTGAAGAGAAATGGCCCGGACAAAATTAAAGTATGAAAATTAACAAAGGGCAATAACTCAAAAACTAAGAACTGCAGAGTACCGGTTCTTGTGTACTGCACTTCGAGTTATTGAAAGAAGCATGCATACCAAGTTTGAAGTCAATCAGACTTATAGTGACTGAGTTATGCTCCGGACAAGCTTTAGGGGACACTGACAACGATGCCGACACAGACGCCGCCGCCGACACCGCCGACAAAAGTAACCCCTATATGTCACCTTTTCAAGGCGACACAAAAAATAGCATTTATTTCATTGCTCTCACAAATGCAAAAAGAAAATTCACTAACTTTGAGCAAAAATTTGCCACGAAGATCCTTCTCTTCAGTTGTCAACTTGACACCAAGTTTGCCAGCAAAAGCAATTGCCTTAGAGTTGTCATCCTCAGAGTTCTTGCAGATATCGAACACCTGAAAACATTCATCATTCATTAATAACATGTACTGACACCTCTAGTTTAAAAGACCGGCTCTGCATTAGGTGTATAAGGACAATAAAATGTCTTGTTGTAACCCTCACTAGTTGCAACTTAAAAAGTAAACAACCAATAACAAATCACCAAGACACTAATACTAACTTAATTTTATTAACATACATTTCTGTTAGTGCAAAATACTTAAAACTTCTAGGACAGTGCAAAGATTTTCCTTCTGCATGAGCTTTGGTTTTCAGTTTATAAACATTTTCCTTACCTGGTAAATTGGAACCAAGATGTACTTGTTAAAACCACGGCATTTCAGGGGTGTCATGTCATCAGTGCAAGATTTAGTCCACTTCTTTTCTTTCTCATTGAAGAAATTATCTCCCCATAGTCTTTTCATCATTTTAGGCTCTTCAATCTTGAACTTTGCACAGTACATCTTAGCAAAATCCTTCAAGGTGAAAGCCCATCCATGAAGACCAGATCCAAAACCTACAGTTCCATTTTGAGGATCAACCTAAAACATAATAGTACATCAATGATGGGAGTATTTCATATGATAATGTCTTTTTATATCTAAATGATAGCAAGTTAAGATGCTTTTTTTTTAATTAAACTGGCGGTAAGCTTAACCTGTAATCATTTCTTACTTCATAATGAATTCTATTATTCCAATAGAAGCATTCCTCAGTGTAAGTTTAAGAGCATTTTTTTTTCCAAGACTTATTTACTTACAGCAATGACACCCATAGGGCTGTCACCACTTTCATATGTGGCAATGATGACATTGGTATTCTCAATAGCCCGCTGGAAGATTTGGTACAACTCTTCTTGATCGACCTGAAGAGTAAGAAGAGCAAGGTCCATCTTGTTCATGAACAGGACTGGCTTAATTCTCTCAGCAATGGCCTGTCTCAACACAGTTTCTGTCTGCACAGATACACCTAAAACATAAATACATTGATGTGAAAACTATTCTCGACATCCCACTATTATTAATCTGAATGTACGTTTATGTGCAAAATACGATATGAAAATTTCTCTTAGATAAAGCATAAGTTCCATTACTCCTATTGCATTGCCTAAGGACTGAAACTATAACGACCAACAGGTAAATTTGTGAAATTGATATATTTTGTTTGAATGTTATCAACTTTATCATTGGGACAGTAAAAACACTTTAAGCTACAAACAACCTTAGACAAATATTAAATTCTTGACCTTCCAAAGTGAACTTCAATTTGTAAGTTAAACATATTCTCACTATCATTACACTTACCCGAGACACAGTCAACAACAACGAGAGCTCCATCAGTTACACGGAGGGCAGCTGTCACCTCAGATGAGAAATCAACGTGCCCAGGGGAGTCGATCAAGTTGATCAAGAAATGGTTCTCGTTATCAGGGCTAAGAGGTTGTTTGATAAATTGGAGATCTTCCTTAGCCAGTTCGTAATACAGGGAGATAGCTCTGAAAAGTAGAAGGTATTTTAATTTTCTGGAAATATATTCCTTATACAACTCATAAATATCAGGGCCAAAACACCATTTTTGGGGAAGGGGCCTCGGCCTTTTTCTTGGGGGAAAATATGCGTTATTTTGGCATACTTTTGGAAAAGGGGTTTCAAATTTAACACAAACTTTTAACAAGTTCTTCAAAATAGAAAAGCAAAAGGGACTGGGAAATACTATTAAGGCAGTAAAAGACCTTAATTCAACACCATTTAATTTTGTTTTAAATTCTATGGGCAATTTCAAATGACTGGGGAATTTTGAGGACTAAATTGGGGGGGGGGGGGGGGGGGGGGGGGGGGGGGGGGGGGGGCAAAGAAGGGTTTTTTGGTCCTGAATATATATAGTAAAATCATTATCAATTACGATTATGAAACTTCTTGTACAAATTCCTTTTCTATTTTCACAGAATACATCATAGAATTAAAGAAATAATTTTATATAGAAACTTAAAACTTTTACACAATCACATGATTAAACCAATGTCTGTTCTAGGATTCGAAAAAGGGGGATTTTTATCGAAAATTGAGAATTTATTACATTTGTTGATTGTTTTCCTTTTTCTCAATGTAAACCCCCCCCCCCCTTGCCTCTGAAAAAATTGGGGGGAATTCTCAAAAATATGAGTGTATACCCTCCCATCCCCACTCCTAGCATAGACACTGTTGAACTGATTTTCAAACGACAAAAATCTAGTTTGTATTTTTATATATTTTTTTAAAGACCAATTTTTGAAATTTATTTTTCTTCTCCACTGGCAGAAAATGGTCTTGATGTCTTTGACAATGACTACTAAACAAGGTCTTACGTTGACTTGATGGTAATGCATCTCTCCTGCTCATCTTTCCTTGTGTCAGTAAATCGGGTTTCACCAGCTTTTGCACCAGCAATGATACCAGCCTTACTGACCAAGGAGTCCGTCAGTGTTGACTTTCCATGATCAACGTGGGCAATTACGGACATGTTCCTGATATTGTACTTATTGTCCATAATATTACGAATCTCGTCTACCGTAAAGTTCACCTGAAAATCAAGAGATGTGCTCTATCACAAATGAAAATTAATTTCTTGAATGTTAAGAGTAGATATGTAGAAATTTAAGACAAGACCAGGGCCGACATATATCAGGTCTAGGATTATTTATGGAAAGTCTGTAATTTCATGTAGGGATAGTCTAGAGATTTGATTACTTTTCAATTCATAAATTTACAGATATTCAATGAGAAATTTGCTGTTTATAGTTAAAGTTTTAGATGAATTAAGTTGTTTTACTGATTGCTGTTTATATTAACAAAGGTAATGTCAGACATGGGCTTCATTTTTGAATGTTGACATTGTAATTTTTATAAAAAGTGAAAATAGAAAGTCATCAAATTGATCTGAATCTTACAATACTCATACATTAAATCATATAATCAGTAACCTTATTCCTTTTAAAATCTATAAAAAATGATGATCCATCAATTTAGACTGCATGAATTATGAAATCCAATTCCAAGACAGTTTATGTAATTGATAAATTGATATAAATCATGATTTTGCCATGGCGATTAGGAATACGCTGTATTGATATAGGCCTAAATGCTTAACAGAATTAACGTGCTCAACAGACTAGCTCTAGTATTATCAAAACAATCTTATCAAATGGCCGGCTCACTGAATGTTTTATATGCAAAATATGTTCTTTTTCACAATCTGTCAAATGACAGGAACAAGAGATACCTTCAACAAACATATATTTCAAAACCAAAAGGAAGACAAAGAGACATTATAAAAAAGTCAACTGTCATTACATACTACGCAGGAAAATTCTTTAAGACATTCTAAATTATCTCATATGTTCATTCATTCCACTGCTATTTGAAACCAATTTTTAACAAATAAACGTTTATAAAATAAATAATCCATTATAAAATGTATACAAAGAGATATTTTAATACTAAATATGGAAAAATGATTTAATAAAAACAAGCTTACCATCTTGGATTGTGTCTGATTTTCCTAGACAACTATAAAATAAGTTGTCCTTCTTCTAGGACCCGACGGAAAAGGACCGATATCACGTGATTTGCTTGTGAAATACTGCGACTGGTAAGCGATTTTTCTCGCTGTAAAAGACACATAGCTTCAATAAAACTGAGAACCATATTTGCCACGTAAATTATGATTCAAGTTTCTTTTACAATTCTTTTTAATGTAATTCAATTAAACTACAAACATGGTGTTAAATATGGCCTTTATTTAGTTTTCAAATATATGGTAATAAAATAAAAATGACAAGGACTAAAACTCTTATATATTTCTGCTAATATATCGCTGTCATCCTCATCTGAGAATTTGTTTTGCATTGTTAAATTAGTGTTGACTGGAGGAATTTCAAACTTATTTCTAGTGAAAATATATTCATAATACATTGTTATGTTTATTTGTGACAATTTCCCAAATATTTTAAGGGTAGTGTATGGTGGCTGATTTGTGTCATTCGTGTGTTTTCGCCCCGCGACCCCGCTAAACGAAAAGTCGAAATTTCGCGGGGGGGGCTCAGCAAAAACACGCAAATAAGCGTGGGGCGCGTGGCGAAGTTTAATTAATAAATAAAACGAGATTTAAGAAATTAAAACGGCGGGGTCGCGGGAGGAAAACACGTTAATTAGCTGGGTCGCGGGCGAAGGTAAATAAATAAAACTTTGCCGCGCGCTCCCGCTAATTAGCGTGTTTTCGTCCCGCGACATCGCCAAGCGAAAAGTCGATAATAACATGTTAGAATGGCTGGGGCGCGCAGCGAAAACACGGAGCGAGATTTAAGAAATAAAACGGCGGGGTCGCGGGACGAAAACACGATAATAAGCGGGGTGCGGGCGAAGTTAAATAAATTAAACTTCGCCGCGCGCCCTCGCTAATTAGCGTGTTTTCGTCCCGCGACCCCGCCAAGCGGAAAAACGATTATCATGCAACAAGTAAAAATGGCGGAGAACGCAGCAAAAACACGCTAATTAGCGGGCACTAATTAGTGTGTTTTTGGTCCGCGCCCCCCGCCGTTTTATTTCTTAAATCTCGGGCGCGGGGCGAAGTTTTATTTATTAAATTTCGCCCCGCGCCCGCGCTAATTAGCGTGTTTTCTCTGCGAGCACCCGCCATTTTAACTTGTTAATTATCGACCTTTCGCTTGGCGGGGTCGCGGGGTGAAAACACGAATGGCACAAATCAGCAACCATAGTAGTGAAATATATTTTTAGAAACCAGAGTCTTTCTAATATTTGAAAGACCCGGGAGAAAACAGTCCTGCTAGAAATGAATGATTGATCGGATTTGTTTCAGGCCTTTAATTGTCAATCTATTTATGTATTGGCAGACTGTTAAAAAGTTCGAGTTACTGTTTTGATTTGTGTAATTATCCCATAAATAACAGTATCGTGGATTATCTAGTAATTGATTAGTTTAGTTTTTTTAGTTTAAACATATTTATTCCCGAAAGTATATATAATGTACATACAAATATATAACAAACAAAACATTTTTACACAATGGAAAAGGATGAGAATGAAAGACAAGTCTTATAGTAATTGACTTCAGACCAACTGTTCACCGAACTCCATGATCATCACGCATATTGAATAATTTAAAAACTAAAGAAAAGGAATACATGGTTTGACACAATTCGCAGTTTAAAAAAAAAATCGGTAAAAATACGAATGAGTCTAGCACGGCCGATTCCTGTTGGAATAGGAAGGCACAAAATAGACTCATCATCCACCTGCGTCATCACTTTATTTGTCATCAACAGATGGCCTGGTCAGTTTTGTTGTAAACTCACATTTTATTATTATCAAAACAATATAGTTTTGTATTATATCTCTAGAGAAAAGAAAAATTGCTCGATCTTGATCGAACAAGGTATGCCCTAGCCTCTTTATTCACTGGGGAGAAAGTGTTACACGAGGGATGGAGTTCTTATAATAACTTGTCCAGGAGTTCTTGTGATAACTGTCACGGAATCCGTCGGAAAACTATATTGTATATACTGCTAAAACACTCGTCAAAAATGGTAATTTTCATCTGTAAAAAGTGAGTTGTATGTGCTAAATTAAACTTTAATGATTAAATCTGCCTTACATATTGTATTATGTGTCAAAAACTAATTCCTAGTCCATTTTTCATCGCCTTTTGCTTAAAAATCTGGAAGTTTTGAGTAGAATTTCCAAATTATTTGCCAATTCGCAAGTATTGACCTGTTTATTTCAAGTCTTTATCCTTGCCATACATAATTACCTAATTATAATGCAAAATTGCTAACATAAGGCCCTGGCTAACAAATTTATATCCGATTTTTCAAATGTCCCGGAGTTCTTGTAATAACTCAAAATATGTCCTGGAGTTCTTATGATAACTTTTGTAACTGCCAATGTGTTTCTTGTGCTAAATCACGGCACGTTTTAGCATTTTTTATTATTCAATTCTTCTTTTTACAATTTTAAGGAAAATAAGGCTGAAACTTCACAATTTCAAGAAAATTTGCGCTTTGCCCTTCACAAATCAAAAAGGCCCAGACTCCACAATTTAGGGGAAAAGTCGAATAAAAAGACTGTAAAGCTTTAGTTTTGGTGTGAAAATTATATTTGTCTTTCCACTTTATTTACATATATCAATATAATTATGGTGGTTGTTAAGGGACTGGAAATAGATTCCCGAGTTGATGGCGGTCTAGACCTTTAACTTGTGTTCACACACACTCACTCCGTATTTGTAGAATATATATTATAATTGTTAAAAATGACCTAAAATTGAAAAGCGTGGTGCACAAACCGGGCTAAGAATAGCACAAAAACAACAATTAAAAAAAAGATGTTCAATATATTTCTGAGTATATTAATCTTTCTGCATATCTTTCTTTTTTAAGTGCCCCAAATGTAAGGAATTATATAATTGTTTGTTTTCAGACTTAAGAACCTCGATCCTTTACAGCGAACTCAATGTTTGAAGAAAAAAATAATCTGCCACACGACTCAAATATCAGTTGCTGTACTGATGTAGTCAGAGAACGACCTGTTGCTCAGTTTCTTACAAAGAAATCCAGATACCTCTGGAATTTTCACCCTATCCCAGTGCTGGTTGCTACATCGCTCCGTTATGGCGATTCCTGTCATAATAAGTTATTTGTTTATCAATATAAATATTCTTTATACGTTGTTTTTAAAGTCTATATTTAACATTTCACTCCGGACAAGACCATTCTTCGTTTTTAGGGTAAATTTCAATATATCACAGACTAGATGATGCACGCAACTGCACGGGCAGCGAAGGTGCGATTGAAGGTAGGTATAAGATGGGTCTCTCCTCCTTTTGGCGGGTGTATTGGAGCCTCCCCAGGAAATTTTTGAAAATTGAGCAAAATGGAACACTCAAAAGGTTTTCGTAATAATCTGAAAACACTGATCGCATGGGAAAGAATGTTAAAATGTCACATGGATCACTTAAAATTACAAGTGCTTACCATAACACTTAAAATCTATTATTTCCGATGAGATACAGATCCCTACTTAATTCATTTTGATATGATTGTTGACAGTCACTGGCGTATATATCTAGGTAAGATAAAAGTCATATACATCACTGAAACTGAGTTACAAACTTTTGGTTCCCATTTAATACATTAAAAGATTACGCAAAACCGAAAAAGATTTTCATGACGTAATATATACATTGTAATTTCATACAAAGACTTGACAGTCAAATGGAATATTGCAAGTGCGATATTTTGGGGAGTGCTCAAGTTCATCCTCTGCTCAAGTATGCAAACTTCACGAGAACATCTTTTCAGACTTGGTATTCTTGAACCAGACCACATTTAACTCAACCTTAATCAGTAATGAATATGTGCACTACTTATTCCATAGATCTAGGTAGCATATTGGTCAACAGATTGAGGCTCTATGAAAAATACAGATATATTCTTATTCAATTTTGTTTTTGCAGCTGAACTGACCCTTCCGGCAGTCAATGAGAGTCAATGGAAATATCCTTGCCAAGTCTTAATAACATTGGCACAGTAAGAGGTGTCGAGGAAAATTTGGAAAGACACTTCATGATCAGTTGACTACAGCATTCTGGTACTTGTCATGATTAGCTACAAACATAACACATACAGAGTGAAGTTTATATTTTAATGATTTACATGTACAGTTGTATTTACAATTCAATTCAAATTCATCTTGAGAAATTTTTACAATTCTAAACAATGTTAACAACTTTCATAATTTGATTTATGGATAAATATTGTCAACATACAAGTATAGTTTTTAAATTATCATACAATAATTCCCTACATCGCTCATCTGAGATTCTTCACAAGAACAGGTTATAATTCTTAAATGAAGATCTAGGTCATAGGGACATCAGTGGGGCCAAGCCATACTTGTTTCCAATATTGTGATTCATATAATTTTTGTAGAGGTTCATTAGACAATGCTACACACCAAACATCTGAGATTTTTAGGCCATGTACTTTCACACATGTTTTTCTATATAAGTCAATATAAAGTAAGTGAAGCCAGGTTGTGGCCAATTTTTATACCCTATAGGGTATGATTTATTAACTTTTATAAAAGGTCTGAAGGGTAAACTACATGCCAAATATCTATTATCTGGTCATTGTTGTTTTTGAGGAATAGGAAAACTTTGTTTTAGTCAATGTAACAATGTTACTCATGAACGGGAACATTTTTTACCCTAAGGCCATGAATCACTAATCTTTGCACATAGGTTAAGAGATTTCACCAATTTTAACCATGGGGAAAGGATTTTTACAATTTTTATGATGCATGGTGATGTTACATGCAATTTACCAAAAAGTCTGTTTCCTATATAAGTCAACCTTTCAAAAGTGACTTGTGAAACTATTGTATTGGTTCACTGCTCTGGGCATTGTTCTTTCAGAGAAGATTTCTTATAAGATTTCATTGTTAATGTCCAATTTCAACTTTTCCAAGGTCCATGAGGCAATGTTAAATGCCATTACTGTAAAGTTTTGTCAAAATCGACCATATGGTTAAGGAAAAAAATTGTGGATAATGATGAACACAAAACTACAGACAACTTGCCATCACAACAGCTTTGTGCTCAGGTTAACTAATAACAGTAAATGAGTTGCAATAACACTGAACATTTATGAACACATTTTCGGCAATTGTCATACATACTGGTATACACAATTTGTAATCACTATCATTATCACTATTTTTATTATTCACATTATAACAAAAGTTGTGAGTCATGAGATTCTTAAAATATAACACTCTATTCTTCTCTTCTGAGTTTATCAAAAAGCAATATTTTATCAAAAGTGTACCAATAAGCATAGTATTGAAGTTAAAATTAATGCTGTTATTTTCTCTCTTCATTTAGTCATTCTGTTATTCTAGCATAAAATTTTCTTCTAGAAAACTTTACCAGTTTAATTTAACAAAAGGAAAACTCCATGTATCAGATTTTTGCTACAGCAAAATTCAAAATGAAAACTTCAAACTTTTAATAAGACTTAAAATGAAGTTTTACGGCCTAGATTATTCAATTATCAGGATAATAAGTTAGATTTCTTAATTGTCTTAAGTTAACTTTACTTCACTTACAATAAAAAGTACCAATTTAACATATCTTCATTTAACTTCCATGTCGAGACAAAAATCTCCTGTAAGAAACAATCAAACCAGATTTTTTTCCAGTGTTACATATATTGCATGTGACACCTTCCCCTCCTTCCCTTCAAAGTACCATAATTCCTCCAAAAATGATATAATCACAAAATGCTGCTAATATGCACTATTGTAAATTATTATGTGAACGTTTGAAATCCCTTGAGAAAGGCATAAAAGATTAAAAGATAAATATTGATGTATACAGTGTATTTAAAGTGGCTGAAAAAAGGACTTTTGTATCAGATCACACATTCTACAAATTGTGATTATTTTTTTTTAAATGGAATTAAGGTTCAATTTTACTATTTCTTATATAAAAACATACTGTAAAATCATTATTATTCGTGGGGCACGAATTTTCGTGGTTTTCGTGGGTAGGTCAATCCACGAATTTAAGATCCGACGAACTTTTATCCCAACAAATACTTCTTACCCAGTCTCTGTTCTATATATTACAAACATGCGTCGGCTCTTTTCCGGCCGATATTTCGTGAAATGGATGTAAATACAGACAGATAATCAGGTTAGTGACATATTAAATCCAAAGGCAAAATATTTAAGAAACTTGAAAGAAAACTCGATTATATGTCCTCCATTGACTGTCACAAATGTCGCATATACTTACTTGATCGTTGTAGTCTACTAGGACTTGATTGTGTTAACAAGAATACTTGCATGGTATAATCGAGTAAATATGGGAACCCATGCAGTGCAATAATTATCGCTAATATAAATTGTCAGTTTGCTCTTATCAATTTAAAAAAAGTCTTTGATATTAATGTCGTAAGTACACAAAACTATAAAAAAAATACGATCGCTAAAACAGATTTACTGTACATTCTTTTTGTCGTTTTTAAATGATCCATTTATATGAATTTTAATCTGTATTTGTGCGAATGCGAATGCTATTCCGTAAACATCAAAGACGCCATTGACTTTAACAATATCCACATATACTCGTGTTATTTACCGAGATTAATTTATATGCATGTAAAGTTACACAGTCGCTGTGACGTTGCGTGTAGTTACTGTCAAATATGTTAAGACCAATTCAGGGTGTAAACTTTAAACTCGCCAGGTGTCGTATAGATTATGCGATGTTTACATCGGCGAATTACAGGGGCAGTGTGTCCATTAGAGGTGCATATCATGTCACATAAATGTGTTAATTGCAGTCAATTATCGGCAGTAACTGTGCTATATTAGAGTTATGCCCAGAGGCAAGGATTAAATTTATTGACAAGCGCTGTGTGACAAGTAAAGATATGTACATGTTGTAAGTAAAAATGTTCGGCAGTTAGGTTTAAGATTACTTTGCAATAGGTTACTGACTTTTTTTTTTTAACAAGAAAACGAAAATCCACGAATTTAAGAACCCACGAAAATGCCCGTTTTGATAAAACCACGAACTTTCATGCCCACGAAAATAAGTGAATTCGCAGTATTTCATTTACACATTAACACTATTACAAAAATTCACATTGCATTTTTTTAAGTTATTTGAGAGTAAATACTCAATTTTATTTAAAAACTATAATATCCACATTTCCTTATCTTGGCTTATTACCAAGTCTGTTTTCGAACGACTGGTTTCACGACAGGTGCTGTCGGATGGCACACATACACAGCAGGTCTATTCATTAATCTTTCATCAATACCAAACTGTCTTGGCCTCACTGGCACAGGTTTTGTTACCACTGTTACATTTCCACGGGCATCTCTGGTGGATTCTGTCACATATTTTACTTTCATAAATTTGCCCTGAGCATACCTTGATCTAACCCCCTCAGGAACAGAACCTGCTGGAGGAAAATAAGCTGTTTCCTCATAACCATCATCATCATCTTCAGTATTTCGTAACTCTTGTCTAATAGCAATTGTCTTGCTACCACCATCTTTTTTAACTTGATTTAAACTATCATTTTTATCTCCTATAGTCACCAAACTGGATGGCTCAATTTTAAAACTTTTTCCTTTAGTAGGTTTAATCTTTTTCCTGGAACCCTCATATGGAATATAATCACTATCATCATCAAAATCACTGCTATGTTCTATACTCTCTTTCAAGTAATCAACCTTTTTCCTGGCTCTAAGCTTTCTTTTACCAGATTTTTCAGGCCCATTTCCTTCTATGTTTAGAGAAGATTTATCTACAGTTTTTGTCAACCCTAAACTTAACATTTGTTCCTTTTTCTGAGCTTCCTGTTCATCCTCTGCAGTACTAGTTGTTTGACAGTTATCAGGTTCTTCATTTTCAGTTTTTACTATAGTTGAAACTCTTTGCATCCAATTCTCAAGAGCAGTCTGTGTTGCAGGTTTCAACTTGTCCCTGTATTTTTTTGTAGAAGATACAGCATGACTGGTATCATCTGTGTCTGTGTCGACAGAAAATTCATCATTTGATACACTATTAGGATTAGCATATTTGTAATACACTGTCCCACTTTTTGTCCGATATTCCACCAAGTTATTTTTCTCACAATCATTTGAAACATTGTTGATTGATAATTCCTCTGTGGCAGCTGAAATGTTTTGTTTTTCTGGTACAACACTGATAGACTGGTTTTCAGGCAGACTTTTTCTAGAGCTGGAATCTGAATCACCTTCACAGCTTTGCTCAGACAGATTTCTTATTTTGTCAACAATTTTCTTTTCAAGACAAGCAACTTTTGGTTGTCTACCTTTACGTTTGCTAGTGGTTGGTGTGTTGTCATTTGATTTTTTGGGATACACATACTCAACTATAGCTTTCTTTTGTAATGGTCTTTGAATTTTTTGAGCAGGTAATGCTGGAAGAGGCTTAACGTTATTTACCTTGTTGTATGATGTGCTTGTTTTGAAATTTCCAAAATTCACTTGGCTGTCTAGATTATAATGAATCACTTGCTCACCAGCACCTACCCTTAGACCAGGAATGGTCCCCGCTCCAAGGCTTTGTGTGGAAACAGGAACCAATAATGTGCTCCTGTAGTCAGTTTTCTTTACAGGCTGAGTAAAGCTTTCATTCACAGCCCCCACTCCATCATCCACAGGTTCAGTTTTAATAACAACATTTGGTTCAAGCTCAGTCTGGTCCTCTATAGGAAATGGTTCAGGTAATACGGCCTCTGATGTTGCAACTGAATTTAAAACATTTTGGATTCCTGAAATGAGAACAAGATCAAATTAGTTCAATCCTCAAACACTGAGTAAGACTGACTTCAGAATTTCACTTTGATGGTACTTACAGCGACTAAAATTTCATTTAAAGCTGGACAAAAATTGTCTTTTCAATATCTAATATCTGTACATTGTATTCAGATAGTCCTTAATTGTATTAAAAATTGAAAGTATTTTAACATTCTATTGATGAAAATATTTTATATTTGTAAACTGTTTCTAGGGTTAAACAAATTTATTCTCTTGTGAGTGTTAAATGTAGGAAACATATATTGATCCTGTTACAATATATATAACAATATATATATGTCATGTCCAGGTTTATGTGCTAGTAATTACTCACCGCTTTCCCGTAAATATGTCATACAACCAGTTTGAGCCTCAACAAATCCTAGGTCTACTGCAGCCTTGTATACTTTTTCTACCTGTTAATGTAAAAAAAACATTTTTGTGGGGTTATTTTAAAGGGATACTCAGGCAAATTAATGACAAAAATATCAAAATAATCCTTTGTACTCAAATCACGCTAAAATGACATTTGTGAAAAGCCCAAGCACGAATTTCTGTATAAATTCTATATATTTTGGGATTGAAGCTTAAATATATCTATATATGTTGAACGAAAGTTAGATGCCGACAGAAACACCGAGTTCTTTTAAAATAAGTCATGTGACTTGAACAAACCCTGGAAGTTACAATTACAGATACATGTATTGTGGATATTGTATGATTGAAACAAATGTAAGTCATTCATTTGACATGCACTTAAACGTTTCCAGAGTTCAATGTGACCACTACTTAGAAATCTTAACGCTCTAACCTGACCCACGTGAGTCAAGTTAGGAAACCACCATTTTATTCCTTATAAGTAGAAAAGTTTTGTTACTGTGACTGCCTAGTGCATACATTTTGAAGACATTTACAGATTAATGAATGAAAAATTCAAAATGAAAATTTTGCCTGTGTCTAGAAAATATTCTGGGAATGTTACACTATATTACTTTTCTGAATGGGCCCAAAGTTTTTTGTTCTTCTTTTAATATTTCATAATTTTTTTGCAAAGATTAAAAAAAACAGTTGTAATAAACAGTTGTGAAGAGTTTTCCCAGTGAACAGCAAATAAACAAAAAACAAATTTATGAACTTTTATGATAATGAAATTTCTGAAGCTACAAAAATAATGGCTATGATACTGAACTACACACAGTAATGATTTTAGCATCTAATCATGCCCCAGTCAATTGTTACTTTGACCCCCTCACCCCTTACCCAAGTTTTTTTAGCTATAATCTATCTCCCAGAGCATTAACTTGCTATTCATTATTTTACATAATTACACTATTGTTAATAATATACAGTTATTGTTTTGATGTCAGATGAGGTGAATATCCAAGTTTATGGATCTGGCAAATGTAATATTCACCAATTATAAAGTAAGGCCATAAATGACTGGAGGGTAAAATTTACGCCACTTTTTATGACCTTATTTTGTTTGTTTTGAACAATCCCTGTTTATTGACCGTTTGTTTTGTTTGGTTTAAGGCATATGGCACAGAAACAAGAAAAACTAGAACTGCCACTATCATGGCGTGAATACCCCCGCATACCACTTTGTCAGAATCAACAGTGGCCATTTAGAGCTCAAGGACAACCTCCCTGCCAAATCTGTGGTTACTAAGCCAGTGCATTGCTAAGTTATGTATTCTACATACTTCAAATGTGAAAATGTCAAAATCAATACATTGTGGACTGGACATTCTTCAGCAATTGAGAAGAAAAGCTTTCTTTTGTCAAGGTCCCTGTGACCTTGACCTTTGACCCAGTGACCTCAAAATCAATAGGGGTCACCTTATAGTCATGATCAACATTCATACCAAATATGAAGACTGTGAGTCAAAGGAATCTTAAGTTAATGGGTGGACAAACTTTTTAAAGTCAAAGTCCCTATGACCTTGACCTTTGATCCAGTGACCTCAAAATCAAAAGGGGTCATCCACTAATCATGACTAACCTCAATGCCAAATATGACAACTGTAGGTCAAAGGAATCTTAAGTTATTGGGCGGACAAGCTTTTTGAAGTCAAGGCCCCTGTGACCTTGACCTTTGACCTGGTGACCTCAAAATCAATAGGGGTCATCTACTAATCATGACTAACCTCCATGCCAAATATGAAGACTAAGGGTCAAAGGAATCTTAAGTTATTGGGCGGACAAGCTTTTTGAAGTCAAGGCCCCTGTGACCTTGACCTTTGACCTGGTGACCTCAAAATCAATAGGGGTCATCTACTAATCATGACTAACCTCCATGCCAAATATGAAGACTAAGGGTCAAAGGAATCTTAAGTTATTGGGCGGACAAGCTTTTTGAAGTCAAGGCCCCTGTGACCTTGACCTTTGACCTGGTGACCTCAAAATCAATAGGGGTCATCTACTAATCATGACTAACCTCCATGCCAAATATGAAGACTGTAGGTCAAAGGAATCTTAAGTTATTGGGCGGACAAGCTTTTTGAAGTCAAGGCCCCTGTGACCTTGACCTTTGACCTAGTGACCTCAAAATCAATAGGGGTCATCTACTAATCATGACTAACCTCCATGCCAAATATGAAGACTAAGGGTCAAAGGAATCTTAAGTTATTGGGCGGACAAGCTTTTTGAAGTCAAGGCCCCTGTGACCTTGACCTTTGACCTAGTGACCTCAAAATCAATAGGGGTCATCTACTAATCATGACTAACCTCCATGCCAAATATGAAGACTAAGGGTCAAAGGAATCTTAAGTTATTGGGCGGACAAGAAAAAACCGACGGACGGACGGCCGGACAAGCTGATTCCAGTATACCCCCCTTACAACTTTGTTGTGCGGGGGTATAAAAATATTGGCTAACCTCGGGTGTAACAAACTTTAGCAGTATCAGGTTTCAAATCCACTTCATCTGCTGAAGCTAACAGATGCATAGACTCCAATATTTGAGACCCATTTAGTCGCCCCTTATGATATTTACTGTTCTTTTCAATTTGTAATATAGCACAAGGCATAATTCTGACAAAAGTTAAAAGTAAGTTATGACACATTCTATTTTTTCACTGGTTTTGTTGCTTATAACATATACGTGTACATTGAATACAGAAACTATATCTTATCAGGAACATTTCTAGAGCTAATTAAAACTACACAATATAATTTATATACTTTTGTGGTTTGGTATAGAACCTGACACTTTAATGGGAGTTACCTGGTCCAAAGAACAGCGTAGATTTCCAGTGTAAACTAAACCAATTAGTGCCTCCACAACATGCTCAGTATAACGAGACAAATCCAGGTAAAATCTGTCATCTTCTAACTCTGCTCCTGCCTGAAATAAACAAATATTGGATTATGAGACTTTATGAAGTGTAAGCAAACAGCTTAAGTGCTTGCAAAAGCATAATATTGCATAATATTCTTATTATACTTATATAAAACATTAGCAAATGGCTCAAACACCTACCTTAATAAAGAGTAAGCCAATGGCTAAAACACTTGCCTCAATAAAGTGTAAGCAAATGGCTTTAAAACACTTGTCTTTAAAAAGAGTAAGCTAATGGCTAAAACAATAACCTTTTAAAGTAAACCATATGACTATTAAAATGGTTATCTTTTTGAAGTATTAGCAAATGGCTAAAACACTCGCCTTTAAAAAGTGTTAGCAAATGGCCGAAAAACTTGCCTTTATAAAGAAGGTGTCAATAAGACACTTGTGAACATACAGTCGTTTCCTATTCAGTCTGATCTCTAGGTCACAGTTTCGACCCTCCTTAAATTGTGTGTGAAGCTCTTTGACCAGAGTCTCTCCATGCTGCAATGCCTTGTAGATCTTGGACACTTTGTAAATGTCTGACATCTAGATGCCTTCAAATATATCTGAAAACTACATAAACACTGTTTTCCTAGCTATATGAAAAAATAATGCTGGCATCATTTTTCAGAAGAAATTTTAATTGACTGTGTAAAAACAATTAAGGGAAATAGTAGTCAAATATGGAGATTTTATAAAATAGTTTTCTTACCATAATTATATTCATTATTCACAAAATAAATTAACAAGAGCACCGCTTGGCGGAGCATTATATGCCCGAAAGTGCTTTTTTTTAGTAAGGATGAAGCATTTGTAAGACATTACATAAATTAAATAAAGTATTACCTCCTTCAAATAGCAATCCTCCAATAAAGTTTGAATATTGTGGGCCAAATGGAACTTATGTTAAACTGTTTTTTTTAAGTTACTGTTTTCAGTTTTGAGGTAATAGTGACCTTGAACTTTGAACTTGTGACCCTAAAATCAATAGGGGTCTTCTACCCAATATGGACAATCATCCTATAAAGTTTGAACACTATGGGCCAAATAGAAATTAAGTTGTGTTCTGGAAACTGTTTTCAGTTTTAAAGTAATAGTGCCCTTGACCTTTGACCTTGTGACCCCAAAAACCAATAGGGGTCTTCTACCTATTATGGACAATCATTCTATGAAGTTTGAATATTGTGGGCCAAATGAAACTTAAGTTATGCTCCAGAAACCGTTTCAGTTTTAAGATAATAGTGACCTTGACCTTTGACCTTGTAACCCAAAAATCAATAGGGGTCTTCTACCCAATATGGACAATCATCCTATGAAGTTTTAATATTGTGGGCCATATGGAACTTAAGTTATGCTCCGGACATTGTTTTCAGTTTTAAAGTAATAATGACCTTGACATTTGACCTTGTGACCCCAAAATCAATAGGGGTCTTCTAACCAATATGGACAATCACCCTATGAAGTTTGAACACTGTGGGCCAATTGGAACTTAAGTTATGCTCCGGAAACTGTTTTCAGTTTTAAGGTGATAGTGACCTTGACCTTTGACCTTGTGACCCCAAAATCAATAGGGGTCTTCTACCCAATATGGACAATCATCCTATGAAGTTTGAATATTGTGGGCCAAATGGAACTTAAGTTATGCTCCGGAAACCAAATTGCTAACGGACGGACGGACGTTCTAACAGGAGAGTAATAATGTGGCTACTCTATTGTTCTCTCTATTGTTCTTTTTAGCCACACAAAAGAAAATAGCCACATAAAAGCATTACGGAATGAATGACATCAAAGAGAAAGAACAGTTACCTATTGTCCCTCTAGCCACATAATTACTGTCCTGTGTGAGTGCGGACGGACAGACGGACGGACAGACAGACTGACGGATGCCAGGGGGTATAACATAATATGCCCGGATTTTGTTTCGGGCATATAAAAATGACTGGGAGATGTAATGCGATTTAGTGTGACAGTTTCAAACTAGAAATGTGTCCATAGGACACGGGTGCCCCCACCGCGCCACTGTTCTGTCAATCTTTTTACTAAGTCAAGGGAAATAACTCTACAAATATTTGATAAATCCACAAACGAAACCCCAGGTGCAAATCTAAAATATGCTGAGCAACCTGCCCATAAGGTTTAATGACTATGTCAAATCCAAGTTGAAAATTGCAAAAATTTTCTAAGTGAAGGGCAATAACTCTAAAAATACTAAATAAATCCACACGAAAATACCTGGTGCACAACTGCACATGCTGATCAATATTCCTGTAAAGTTTCATGACTCTAGGTCAAATACTTTTTGAGTTACATGCGACACATGTTGAAAATTGCCAAATTTTACTAAGTCAAGGGCAATAACTCTGAAAATACTAAATATATCCACACGAAAATACCCAGGTGCACAACTACACATGCTGATCAACATTCCTGTAAAGTTTCATGACTCTAGGTCAAATTCTTTTTGAGTTACGTGCGACACAAGTTGAAAATTGCAAAATTTTACTAAGTCAAGGGCAATAACTCTGAAAATACTAAAAATATCCACACGAAAATACCCAGGTGCACAACTACACATGCTGATCAATATTCCTGTAAAGTTTCATGACTGTAGGTCAAAAACTTTTTGAGTTACATGCGACACAAGTTGAAAATTGCAAAATTTTACTAAGTCAAGAGCAATAACTCTGAAATACTAAAAATATCCAGACGAAAATACCCAGGTGCACAACTACACATGCTGATCAACATTCCTGTAAAGTTTCATGACTCTAGGTCAAATACTTTTTGAGTTACATGCGACACAAGTTGAAAATTGCAAAATTTTACTAAGTCAAGGGCAATAACTCTGAAAATACTAATAATATCCAGACGAAAATACCCAGGTGCACAACTACACACGCTGATCAACATTCCTGTAAAGTTTCATGACTCTAGGTCAAATTCTTTTTGAGTTACGTGCGACACAAGATGAAAATTGCAAAATTTTACCAAGTCAAGGGCAATAACTCTGAAAATACTAAAAATATCCACACGAAAATACCCAGGTGCACAACTACACATGCTGATCAACATTCCTGTAAAGTTTCATGACTCTAGGTCAAATACTTTTTGAGTTACATGCGACACAAGTTGAAAATTGCCAAATTTTACTAAGTCAAGGGCAATAACTCTGAAAATACTAAAAATATCCACACGAAAATATCCAGGTGCACAACTACACATGCTGATCAACATTCCTGTAAAGTTTCATGACTCTAGGTCAAATACTTTTTGAGTTACATGCGACACAAGTTGAAAATTGCAAAATTTTACTAAGTCAAGGGCAATAACTCTGAAAATACTAAAAATATCCAGACGAAAATACCCAGGTGCACAACTACACATGCTGATCAACATTCCTGTAAAGTTTCATGACTCTAGATCAAATACTTTTTGAGTTACGTGCGACACAAAAGTGAACGGACGGACGGAAGGACGGACGGACGGACAGACAGACGGAAGGATGGACGGACAAGGGTAAATCTAAATGCCCGCCACTAACGTGGGGGCACAAAAAAGTAGTTGTGTTGCTTTTACTAGCAGTCACAGAAAATGTAAATAGATCAACTGACATATCATAGATATTAATAGAACCCATAGAATCTAGTATACTCGGTTCCTATGATATCACGGGTTCTATGATATCACAGTATTTACATTTTCTGTGGCTGCTAGTAAAAGCAACACACGATGATGCTAATTTTTTTTTAAAACTGGCACACTAGTCATTTTCATCTGCCAATAAATTTTATTTTATGAATAATAAACGTATTCGTGGGAAGAAAACTATTTCATAAAGTCTTCATGTTTAACTACTATTTCCCTTAATTGTTTTACACAGTTTATAATTGATATAATCACATATACAGACATATTGTCTGTTCATATAGTTTGAATATTATAGCAAGTTAACTGTTGGAAGTTTTTCACAACTTAACCCATCTAAACAGTTGTGGAAAAAGTTCCATTATTAAATAGAAGACAAATTTCATTCATGTATGATATTTATATTTGAATATTTTTGTTAAGTACCGTGATATCATAGAACCCCGGGCTACAGACTACATTTTGTAAAATATCTCCAGTATTTAAATGTCTCAGAAGAACTTTTGAACCAACCCTCTTGTTATTCAATATTAGTAAACTAATATAGAAATCAAAATATACTCAGAAAACCTTATATAGACTTATAGTAAAATAATAACAATGCTTTCTCGTCATGATTGTAGACCTATTAACTATTGTTCGATCTGCAACTGAATGCAGAATGGTCTGTAACTGAAGATGGTTTATAAAACTAATGTTAACATGATTATCTCCCTTGATGAATTATTTAACGCCATCTTGGATAAAATTTACCTTTTTCGTAATAAATAATTAAAAGATTCCCGCGAAATATAATTCCAACACTATTCCGCCGCATAACTTAACGATGAAATTTCATATGACAAACTTATAGAAAATTGCTAAAAGGATAAAAACAGTGATAAATACCAATATCGAGACAACTCTTTGTTTCCTCTTGTTTTTTTCCCCCGCAAGAACTGTAACTCTGCACGGGAGATAATTATTAAATTGCTTCCCTTGTTAATTATCAGGGACGGCTCAAGTCGGATTTTATCCTGGCAGTATCATCTTGATACTGGAAAATCGGAGAAAAATGTAATCGGTACAATTAATACTGTAAACATTTTCATAGTAAAAATTGTAAATGAACTATGTTACAAAATTTATTCAAGTTATTGTGAGCGTAATGCTTAATTAATAGTAACTATATATAGCCTATATAATGTTCATGTAGACTAGTGGGTATATTAACGGAAATAAAACGGAGACATTACCACGCTCATTCGCACATGATTAAAAAAACACACACAAAAACAAAAAACACACAACTTTATTCTAGGCTCTTGCTGAGACAAAGATACTGTAAATTTACTTAAGTTACTATATATGTGCAGGGCAAAAGGTCCTCTCAATGGTTAACTCCTAGATATTAAAAGCTAACATAAAATCAAAATACATGACACTATTTATTTTTCACCCCCACATGACAAGGGATACAAGGGTTACACAAGGTAACAGTGGGATACAGTGAATTTCCATCATGTTACAGATATTTTTAAAATTAGATTTTGACTTTTTTGTTATTTATTTCACCTAGAGATATTATTGGAATTAAAAAAAGGAGATCTAATTTTACTTATAATCGATAATCCATTAACATTACCACATCAAAGGGGCTTGTTAGCTGAGTAATTAGTTAGCAATGGCCTTAGTGGATACTAATTATTTATTGAGAAAGATAACAAAAACTTGATATTTTGTGACTAATGTTATAAAATTATTTTTAGACTATGCAGTCAGCATCAATTTAATTTTAATCTGGTGAAACATTGCACTGATTTTTTTCCTATGCGAAAACATACTTCAATAAGGCACAATCATGTAAGCTGTATTACAAAAGATAAAAAACTTTTTCCTCCAATATATCAATGTTTATATTTGAATAATTAAAGTTCAACTTCATATGAACATATTTATTATAATTAGAAAAAAGATCATATTTTATTTGGAAATATATAATGCAGGATTCCCAGATTTTACTAATAATCAAATCACAGATCATTATCATTATATCACCACTTCAAAGGGCCTCGTTAACTTGAGAATTATAGCCTAAGTAACCAATGTAACCCGGCCTTGTATCCATGTATCCCATTCTTAACAGGGGTGAAAAAGGGGTGAAAAAGAATTGTGTTTTTAGGACATATCTACCAAAAGGGAATCATTATATATTCGAATATTTTTGTATTATTTTCACTGGGAAACAGCATATCCATGCATTCAAAGCACGAAATAATAAACTTTTGATTTTTACTAATTAACGAACTACTTAACTACAATCTTGATATATTTCATGGCATCTTACATCAATACGATTTTCCATAGCAACGAATGTTGCATTTCGCGCAAGCGCATTCTGCGTAGGGCAATTTTAAAGCAATTAATAACGATGTCTACAGTTTATTTCATGCTTTCCAGTGTTTTATTGTAATATATCAGATGATTATATTCTGATAAACCACTAGTGAAATTTATAAAATATAATTTTCACTGTAGCCGGACTATATCCGAATGCGGATGAAAAGAAAATCATAACTAAATGGAATAACAGGCAGAAATAAATGCCGTCATTCGTAAATTATGATTCTTTAGGAAAAGAAAGTCGATGTTACCATACATCATGTTAAAAATGTAACAAAATTAGAGAAATTTAACAGAACTATATTTCAAAATTGATGATATGACGTCATGATGTGATGACGTCACAAAGGAGAATGCGCGACGTTACGCGGCAAAATCAGTGGAAAATACTTAAAATCACTCAAAAAGCATGAAATAAAAAGAAAATTTATTTGTTTTACATAGAAGATTGAAATATATTTCATTCGTGAACACCAGCTATTATATTTTCACTCGTGGCTACGCCACTCGTGAAAATATTGCATCTGGTGTACACTCAGTGAAATTATATTTCAATCTTACATGCAAAACAAACAAATATCCTCTATTTATCATTCTTTAAGGCTTTAATAGATGCGATTTCATGTTATGTCACCCAAAAAATATTAATTTTAGGATGACTTAAGGCGGTAAGTACTGAAAACGTGAAATTTTTTTTAACAGATCTACGAAAATGTGCGGGAGTAATAATTCAATGGTCAAAACGGGCACACACATGTCCTTGTTTAAGATATCATTAGAACAGAACAGAACAGAACAGAAAGTTTATTTTGACGTATACAAAGTACATAGTCAATTACATTAATACATTCATTCATACATACATATATACAATCACAAAATCAATGGATAGTCTGCAAATTTCTTGAAGGTGAACAGTTTAATCTATTTTGTTTCCTTCAGTATAGGATTTGACATAATCAGTTTAACATATATTACATAGTTTAATATTGTGTTACGAACATGCGTAAAATTTCCAGTATAATGAAAAACAGTTCCTAAATAGTTAAAATCGTTCACTACCTCTAGTTGTTTCCCATTATATGTCCAATGTTCATTTAACAATAAACCCCCTCTTTTTCTAAATACCATAATTTTAGTTTTTTCAGTATTAACTTCTAATCCCCATTTACTACAATAATCATACAATAGGTTTAAATTTTTCTGCAATTCCTCCTTTGACTTTCCTAAAATTACCATATCATCTGCAAATAATAACAAAATTAATACAATATCATCAATGACTAAACCAGAATCTACATCATCTTGCAAAAAAAGCTCTAAATCTTCTACGAAAAGTGAGAACAAAATCGGTGACATTATCTCCCCTTGTTTCAATCCTACAGCATACTCAAAATATTCCGAATAGTTATTACAATTTCTAACACATGACTTAACCTTTTGATACATGTCCCTCACTATTCTTATCATTAGAAGACTTTTCCATCAGTAATTTAAATTGAAACAGCAGGGTGTTAAAGATAAAATTTAATTACCCCTGTATTACATAATATTACACAATTTGTATTGTACACTTCCTTTGAATAACTGGATTGGTCAGGCGGCAAGTGTCAAACAGATTGGCACGCGAACGTTTGTTCATTCAACCGTAACGTGTAAATACAATACAATACAATACAATACAATAATAGTTTATTCAACATTAAACATTTTACAATGTTTTTAGCATACAGAGTATAATGTACAAAGAGAACATGGTTTACAGAAGAGTACATGATAACATAGATAGATTATCTATGTCTCTGATGATAATCAATTATGATTAATACTTAATTGATAATATTTTACTTTTGATACAAGAAAAAGGACTGATCATTTAAATATAAACTACAAGAAAAAAGACTGGTCATTTAAATATAAATTGATATGAATCAGCTACACAAGGTTTCTGTTTATACCTCCCGCGCGTAAAATGAGATTCTCGTGCGCGTGTAAATACTTAAAATACTTCTATCTAGTAGTAAACCAACTAAATACGGGAAAAAATCGTATTATTTCTAACTTTTAAATATAAGAGAAAAATTGTGAGACGTGCATTATTAAAAAATAACATGTATTACGAAGAAGCGGATAAAATGTGTGTTATATCTTTTCCAAACAACCCATCTTAACTTCTCAAGATTTTGAAAAAAAAAAATTGATTATTTAAAATCTATCTATGTGACTTAAATTTTTCTGTTTGCATCACAGGCAAATCGGATAAAGGATATAATCAGGTATATTGAACACTAAAAATGCATTATCACCTGTTCTGATATTTTTTTCTGAATGATAATTAATCTCGATTTCATGTTATATAATTTCTTTTGTTTTAAATGAACTATTTCAACAGCAAATAAGTTGACTTTTCATTTGCTAATAGATATATTTCTACATCTTCTTTAAAAAAAAATGATCTCAGTGTCAGGTCCGTGATCGTAAATTCTTCACAAGTATCTTTTTATGGCATTCTTCGCCACAAAGCTATAAAGTCATATTTTCTATATTTGTTGAAAGATATTTTATATAATTTTCTACCGTTTCTACCGTTTACCTTGAACTAATTCGGAATTGTCTATGAACTTCTACTATATTTCTATGTAGGGCGAAGCATTTTCTGTCCTACGCAGATTGCGCATGCGAGAAAATTCTAATTCCGGTCGATTTTTCATAGCAACGGACCACGTCGTAAAAAGGTCTATACATGCATGCAATTACTATCTGCTGTCAAACATAACGGATAATAAAGTTTGCTGGGTTTCTTGTCTACAACATTGTTTTAAGCACTTAGGCATTTCTGATGCTGGTTTAACCAATAAGAACTTAGTAAATGTTGTTAAACTCAAGTTAGTGAAAATGTACCAAACCAACTGGTGTTTGAATATCTCAGGTACTGAAGGGAAACTTAGAACAGCAAAGGTTTTGTAGAGAAGTGTACTTTAGACATATTAAGGACAAAGATATAAGAACTTTCTTCACCAAGTTTAGAGTAAGTGCACACAGACTGAATATAGAAACAGGCAGATATAAAAAGATCCCAGTAAATCAAAGGTATTGTAACTGTTGCTCTTCCAATCTTGTAGAAGATGCATGAAATTCATTTTTCCATGTGTTGTACAAAATTTGATAGTAATAGAGAACTTCTATTTAGACAAATTGAAATATCAAATAAGAACTTTTGTATGTTGAATAATAAGCAGAAATTTGTTTGGTTAATGCCTACTCGAAATTTATAATAAAAGAAATCTTATGTTAGGTAGTACTAGTAATAAAAATTTGTCAGACCTTTGAATGTATATTATTGTACTTGAATATCGAATGAGTAATGAGTAATTAGTGTTTTTTTTTTTTTTTTATACTGTTTTATTTATTTACTTCTTATTTTGACATTACTATGCCTGTGTTATTTGTTTTTCCAATAATACGAATTAAGCTTTAGTTACTTTATTGTCTTCATTTCTACCATACAATACACAATTTGTTGGTTGATATATTTTGTTACATGCCATATGTTTTATGCTTGTGATTATATATGTCATATAGTATGACCCTTGATTGGTGAAATAAAATTATTCCATTCTATTTTGCATGTACATTGACATTGATCGACAAGTATGTAATATATTTCTGACTAGCTTGGTACGTATATTGTACAGTCGTGCACTCATCAGTGTCATTTCTGTTAAATGGCATCAGATTCTGGCCACCAGGTTTAACAAAGGAGAATTTCAATTTTATTAATGTATTAATAGTTAAGAGAGTGATCAAGCCCCATATATATAATTCAGCCATTTTTATGACAAAATCTAAATTATTTAAACACTCTTGGTAAATGGACATCTAAAAATTACGGGTCATCCGTAAAGTTCGTGGACAACCTTACATTGATGCGAGGGGCTTAAAAAATTGTCATAACAATAACGAACTGAGTCAATTTTTAGTGTTACACATAGTCAACGGAATATTTTGAAAGAATACCAATTTGTAGTAGTGGTATACGCGAAAGTATACAGAATTTGAACGTTGCAACAAATGTATTCATGATTTCACAGTCAATAAAGAAAAAGGATTATTGAAGACGAGCAGCAGAACATACGGAACAGTGCGCTAACATCAACATTAAAGTTCGTTTCAAGTGTTGACAGTTTTCTAAGGTTATTAATATTTATATACAGTTTTTGGTGACGGCAAATATTCTACTGGTGATGACAGCATCCAACAGAAAAATAGTAAAAGAGAAATCAATGAGCCATTTTTGACATTTTTCAACATTGGCCAAGTGGCATAAAAGAAATTGATTAAAGCAGGATCTTTTAAGTAAAAAATTCTATTTAGAATACCCTTTTCAAATGAAAATTTGGTACGAGTTTAAAATAAGGATGAGTGAAAACAGACATGTACATAATTAAGTTCATATTTTTTATTTATTTCTATACACCAAAACAATAACTTTACAACAAAAACAATGGTGACACAAATTCTTTCAGGAACTGATTTATGTTTAATAATGTCAAAATATACATGTAACTCATAAATTAACATATAAAAACAATACTACATTAGTAATAAAACTGCTGACTAGAATAAATGAGATGTATTTTTACAACATATTGTCACTGACAACAAAAAAAACATGAGATTTTAAAAATACAAAACTAGTATTAGTGCATTTTTTGTTTGTAAACCAAGTTTAGTTCCAATATAAACAGAATTTTAGTATCATTTCCTAACACAGTTTCATAATAATCACTATTCAATAAAGAAGTACATACTTTGCCAAATTATTCAAGTTTCAAAACAATACCTTTAAAGGGCACAGGAAAAAAGTGAGGTGGCTCAATGATAGGATACATTAGCAAAGCAGACACATTTATGCTCAATACTTCAATTTCCCTTGTCATTAAACAACAGGAAATGCAGACAGAAGCAATTAATTGTTTATAAAATGTCCACAGTAGGCCCAGAAATATGCATCCATCTAATAGCAAGAGATTTTTTTGAAAAAACCTGGTTAAAAAATTAAATACAAAAATATTGCAATTCTAATGAGATAGACTTTGTTATAACATGAATATAAAATTTCCCATAAAAATATGAATTATACAATATTGAACCTTAAAGTTTACCTGATAAATTGTACTCAACACAACATTCAAATCATAATTTCTTTACAAATATTTACTAACCATAGATTCAATCAACAGAAATATTAATTTGACTATATCATAATACATGTAAATGAAAATTCTTTCTTCACTGATTGTTTTTTTTATTGTTTTTAATCTGTGATAACAGTTAAAAGAATTGTAGTCATAAACACTTCCAATACTGTGATGTTTTTACACAAAGTCGAGTACATAGTGTTCATGTAGTGTTCTACCAACTGCAATAGAACCAGTATAACATATATATTCAACAATGCCCCCTTTATTTTACACCATCAATTCTAAGGGGAAAAAAACACATACATTAAATTAAAGAAAACACACAAGTATTTTTGTAAAATCAAACAAAAGCTGTCTGTAAGACATCATGATCAACTTTTTTCAGTGCTTGATAGTAAAACAAGAGCCTTGCTTGATGGTACAAGAGCCTATAAAATATAGAATTTTCTATGTTCAAAAAGGGCAATAACTCAAACACCATGTTACAGTTATGGGCCTCGAAAAGTGAACTCATTTTATGCTCTCAAATAAGAGTTTGAAGTTTCTACCTATTCCCTTCAGTAGTTTTGGAGATAGCAACTTGCACCAAAAACTCAACTAAAGTGTGATGCCAACGCCTGGGTGAGTGCAATAGCTCTCCCTATTCTTCGAGTACTCGAGCTAAAAATACTACTGACAACACTACTACACTGCTAAATTGATAATGTTGTGTACAGAAAGCATAATACTGTTTAAAACAAAGGTGTAAGCTTCTATCACATAAAGTTACAAAGGGTGCCTCTGTTGCTAAGTGGTTCAGGTCACCGACTTTAAATCATTTGCCCCAAATTGCTGTGGGTTCAAATTCAATTAGGGACTTTGGATACTTTCATGTGAGGAAGCTATCCAGCTAGCTTACCCAGTCAGTGGTTATACTCTGATGGCCCCTTGTGCAAGAAGGGTGTACCAGAGGACTTTCTCCACTAGTAAAGCTGGAAACTTGCCTCATTACCTTAACAGTGTCGAAATGACTAAAACAAACAAACAAAACAGACATAAAGCAGATTGAAAACTACAATATAGAATTTATATAAACTCTGCATGATTTAAAATTTGCATGACCTAGGAATATTATAATAATAACATTTCCTGCCCTTAAATTTGTTTCTTTGTTATTTCAGATCATTTTATATCTCTGAAATCACTTTAAGTTTTAAATTCTATTATACAGTTTTCATCCCGCCTATAGTTTGATATGTAACTCTTAACATGTTTGTAAGCTGAAAACACCTGCTTTGGAAAAATGTAACTTTCATTTACTTTACAATTTTTAATTTAATTTTTGTTACAGAGTGTTATCAGTGTAACGACAGTGCTACAACAACATTTTTGTTGATTATGTTGGTGCAAGATAACTGACATTATACAAATATGAAAGCATCTTTACACAAGATGTTGCATCGTGCAAGTGACGTAGTCGTAATACTTTATTATTCTTAACCGGGTCAACTGTTTTCAATACCAGCTTCACGCCAACGAATGACAGTTGTTTTTCTTCCTGAATGATTTGTGCGTTTTTCTAGACCAGCTTTTTCGGATATATTTTTCATGAACACTCCTAAAGAATGCACGCCTAAGGCACAGTCCCTATACCAAGTGTTTGGTTTCATTTGTTTTTGTGGTAACATACTTAAATAGAATGGCGAATCTGGCTGAAGCATTGATATTGGACGTTTACGAGTATACGCAATTAGGATGTTGACTGGACATCTTTCTGGGGTTTCTGGAGTTGCATAAAGTCTTGTAGTGAATAGCCTTTCTTCTAACTTTGTATTGGTATCTCTTTTAGTATATTCAAGATACTGTTGTCCATCAGCATCTGTCTCTATTGAAATATCTCCCCAACTCATGTCTCTGTGCTCCTGTCTACCTTTGATGCCAAAGAAGTTGTTGCGCCACCAGACTGCGTTCAGTAGACTGACAGGATTATGTGCACCAAGCTGACCACAGCTCCACAAAAGCTGCAATAAATGAAGCAGAATGCTTTCAAATTACTAATATGTTGCATTGTGTGATCACAACATTATACTTACAAGTTACATGCAATCAAGAATCTGTATAACTATTAACACTAGACAAGAATATGCTCAAAATTATACAAGTGGACCAATGACCATAAATTACTGACCTAAGGACAAAATAGTATAGGTGTAAAATGCTGTAGGCTATTATAAAGAACACCTAGGTCCTGTAAATTTTCAAAGTAAACAGGACTTTCTGTCCAGTGATTAAAATTCACAATGTTTACTTATGCAAATAAAACATGTGAAGCTAGATTTTTTTTTACAGTTTTCCCTACATAAGTATATTTAACATAAACTGCCAAAGTGACCCTGTGTTTAAAATCTACAAGGGTCATGTGTAAGTAATGACCAACCTCCACACCAAAACTTGGGACTGTAGGCCAAAGTGTGCAAACAAGCTTTCACCATAACCTCTGACTGACCGAGCTAATAATAAATAGTGGTGATCTATTATTCATTATCAACATCCTTAACAAATCTTAGGACTGTAAACCCCAGGTATTTAAGAGGAGACATTTTAAGATTTTACGATATACCCAGTATATATAGGGTAAACAGACAGGACAAGACCAATTTCGACAAAAAGGCCGTAATTTTGACAACTTTGGTAGACATCCACTTGACTATTTACCATACCAAATATCTTAACTCTACCCTATGTAGTTTCAGAGATAATTTAAGATTCTTTAACCATGTACCTGTATGGAAAACCCATGACCTCTTAGGTGGTCTACTTTCTACAACAAGGGTGCCATAGTCACAAAATACACCCGTTTACGAAAGCTTTAGATGGAGATGGGGGCATTATGGATAAGTGTTATCTAGCAAGCAAGTTTTTATTCTTGGCACTGTGTTGTTAAATGAACCTTAAAACAAATCAGTAGGGAAGATATGCACAGGATGTGTGACCTTGACCTTGGTCGCAGGGACCTGAATTTAATGCACAGCACTCAGCCTCACAATGATGAACATTTGTGCCAAATTATATTGAAATCCCTCTATGCATGTAGAAGTTTTGCTCCAGACAAGCGTTTTTCTATGAGCTCTAACTGTGACCTTCACCTTTGACCTAGAGACTGGTGGTGAACAATTCTATAAAGTAACATTAAAATTCCTCCATGCATGTAGAAAATATGCTCCGGACAACATCTGGATATTTAATCATCTCCAGTGACCTTGACCTTGCAAATATTAACCTAAATTAAATGTGTCACACCTGTAGTCATGATAGTTACCATTTGTGCTACAATCCATCAATAAATGATGACTAAATGGTCCCTATACACATCTTCAAATTTTTATCTGAACTTTGACCTCTATGTGTAACCTTGACTTTGGTCGCAGGGATCTGAATTTTGCGTGCGACACTCAGCCTCACAATGGTGAACATTTGTGCCAAGTTATATTGAAATCCCCCTATGAATGTAAGAGTTTTGCTCCGGACAAGCGTTTTTCAATGAGCTCTAAGTGTGACCTTGACCTTTGACCTGGATCATGCATGGAGCAATACATATCATGGTGTGTGAACATTTCCATAAAGTATTATAAAAATTCTTCCATACATGTAGGAGATATGCTCCAGACAAAATCTGGATATTTCACCATCTTTAGTGACCTTGACCTTGCATATATTGACCTAAAGTACATGTGTCACAGCCGTAGTCATGATAATGACCATTTGTGTTTCAATCCCTCAATAAATGATGATTAAATCGTCCCTATACACATCTTCATATTTTTATCTAAACTTTGACCTCTATGTGTGACCTTGACCTTGGCTGCAGAGACCTGAATTTTGTGCGCGACACTCCGCCTCACAATGGTGAACATTTGTGCCAAGTTATATTGAAATCCCTCCATGCATGTGGAAGTTTTGCTCCGGACAAGCGTTTTTCAATGAGCTCTAAGTGTGACCTTAACCTTTGACCTAGAGACCTAGTTCATGTGCGTGACATGGCTTCTCATAATGGTGAACATTTCTATGAAATTTCATTAAAATCCCTCCATGCGTGTAGGAGATATGCTCCAGACAAAATCTGGATATTTCATCATCTTTAGTGACCTTGACCTTGTATATATTGACCTAAATTATATGTATCACAGCCATAGTCTTGATAATGACCATTTGTGTTACAATCCCTCAATAAATGATGACTAAATGGCCCATATACACATCTTCATATTTTTATCTGAACTTTGACCTCTATGTGTGACCTTGACCTTGGCCGCAAGGACCTGAATCTTGGGTGCAACACTCCGCCTCACAATGGTGAACATTTGTGCCAAGTAATATTGAAATCCCTCTATACATGTGGAAGTTTTGCTCCGGACAAGCATTTTTCAATGAGCTCTAAGTGTGACCTTGACCTTTGACCTAGAGACCCGGTTCATGTTCGCGACAATGCTCCTCATAGTGGTGAACATTTCTATGAAGTTTCATTAAAATCCCTCCATACATGTAGGAGATATGCTCCGGACAAAATTGGACGCCGCCCGCCCGCCAGGGGCGTTCCCATAATACGTCCCGTTTTTCAAACGGGCGTATAAAAAGGCCATAATTTGAAAAACCTTGAAAGAGGTGCAGAACACATAATAATCACATTGTTTCATACCAAACATCTAAGCTCTAGCTTTTGCGATTTCAAAGAAGAATTTTTCCAGAAGTTTTCCAACATATAGGGAAAACACATGACACCAAAGGCAGGGGCTGGGCCATACTTTTGTGTAATTAAATATTTGAGCTCAAACCCTTTGGGGTTTCTGAGAAGATTTTTTTAAAGATTTTACTATACATCGTATGAGTAAAACCCATGACCCCAAGGGTGGGGCCAATACTGACCCAAGAGGCATAATATGCACAGCTTAGATTGAGGATGTTACATACAAATCATCTAAGCTCTGGGCCATGTAGATTTAGACAAGGAGATGTTTGATAATTGGTTTTTTGAAACCCCCTTTTCAATCTACTTAATATGCAACCAACTAGAACCATTTTATCACCTTTGGTAGGGAAAGTTTGGTTAAAGTATAGTCATTGGATTCAGAGAAGACATTGTTTAAAGAAACTGTTGGTGACATATATCTCAGATGTCAAACAGAAGGTGATCACAAAAGCTCACCATGAGCATGTTGTGCTCAGGTGAGCTAAATTTCAGCAAGAAATCCACCTCTTCTTCCTCATCCAAAATAGGCTTTGCACAATTCTTCTTCCGTCCTAGACCTTCCTTCTGTCTTAATTGTTTCCTCTTGGCTTTCAAAACTTCCCTCGAACCTGAAAAAATTTGCATTTTACATGAATCAAAACATACTTTTGTAAATCAATTACATTTCCATTCTAAATATTTTAAATTTTTAACTGAAACAAAATTGAGAAGAACAGTATGCAAGTACTTGCCTAGTCAGCATTTTGCAAATTAAAATTTTCTTGGTGAACATGTGTTACATCACTGACAGTGTTATAATTAAATGCAATCCAACTAATGGTCAAAGAAAACCACAGAAAGTTTAAAACATTAACTTTTGTTTAAGATTGTTAGACAGACAGACAGACAAAACAAAAGCATACATTTTAGCCTTTACCGACTGTATGTTACTATGTGCAGGGCTGAGGGTTTATCAGTGGGGTCATAATCCAGTTATTCTAATGATTTTCTACACTGCAGGCCATATTTAAGCCCCTCTTTAAAATTTCTGATGGATTACCATCTATGAGATCTAATTCCTTTTTTTTCCATTTAAAAATTATAATAAGTTGAGGAGCTTACCTTTAAATTCAATGCCTTTCAAAATACTTGTACAGTAGTTCTTCTCTATAAGGTATCGGTCAAGAGAGTTTTGGATGGCCTTTATACTATCTGGCTCGTAGGAAGTGTTGTCATTTTTTCGGACTGTGATGAAAAATGTTGTAAGAATTTGGTTCAGTTGGTCGGGTTCAATTTCTTCTATGTTTCGTGTTTCTGATGGAAGATTTTCGTTACGCCACCGATTAAATATTCTTAAGTCACTGTCTGTTTTTCTAAGAGTGTTTTTTGAAGTATTTTGGCTGAAAAAAAAATAATGAGGTGATAATTTATTGTTGAATACAATACTAATTTGATGAGTTTACATCAGAAAAAAACCTGCAATGCACAATGACCTCTTTATTTCACACAACATATTAAATACTGTTTTTGACTGCTAAAATTGCCTATTTCATCATCATTTAAAGCTGCACGCCTCCAGATGAGCCAAAATATTTCAACAAAATCAAAATTATGAAAAAGTACTGAAATTTTAAGAAAAGTAAAAAGATTCATGTTAAAAGTAATAATTTCCATGTTATGTGCGATTTATTGCCGATTTTGAAGTATTTTTAACCATATTTTTACTGTGTCACAAACACAGTAAGGACTTGCTGCATATTTTGACATCTTTTTGGTAATTTACATGGGTTGAAAGTGCTGTTGGAGGCATGATGCTTTAAACATTTTTTCAGATTTTAAACTTTTTTTTCAGAACTCTGTTTTAAAACATTAAAAAACATTTGTTGCAATCAATATTCTAATTCTGTTGCTTGATGATATAGAAATTTAACTTGCTGAATTTCTTAAATGGACTGGTCAAGCTTCAACTTTTAGGATCTGTTCATTAACAAATTTGGAGAAATCAAGATGAAGATTTACAGTTAGTCAGCCAACAGTTATAGAGCATAGTCAGACTGCAAGGATTAGCTATACATTTTTTTGGACTTGTAAAATAAAAACAACGCTATATTGAAAAGATAAGATCCAATAATGCCTTATATTGAAAGATCCCATGGCACACATACAAAGCAGGCCAATCAATAATCTCTCATTAATGCCAAACTGTCTTGACCTAACCAGTACTGATTTTGTCATCTCCATAATATCTACATAAGCATCTTTGTTGGGTTTTGTTTTATTTTCATAAATTTACCCTAAGCATACCTTGATCTTATCCCGTCAGGAATAGAACCTGCTGCAGGGAAATAAGCTGTTTCCCCACAACCATCATCATTGCCATCATCATCATCATCAGTATTTCGTAACTCTTGTCTTGCAATTTTTATACTGCCACCGTCTTGACTTAACCTATTATTTTTATTTCCTATAGTTACCAAACTTGATGACAGAATTTTTAAACTGTTTCCTTTAGGTTTAATCCTTTTCTTGGGAATCTCATGAGGACTATAATCACTATCATCATCAAAATCACTACTATGTTCTATATAATCCTTATCAACCTTTTTCCAAGTTCTAAGCTTTCTTTTACCAGGTTTTTCAGACCCATTTCCTTCTACATTCTGAAAAGTTTTATCAACTGTTTTTGTCAGTCCTAAACTCAGCATTCGTGCTTTCCTCTGAGCTTCTTGTTCATCCTCTGCAGTACTAGTTGCATGACTGTTATCAGGTGCTTCACGATCAGTTTTTATTACATTTGAAACTCTTTTTATGCAATTCTCAAGAACAGCATGTTTTACAGGTTTTGATTTTTTGCTGTCTTTTCTTATGAGAGTTACACCTACACTGGTTTCTTCTGAGTCTGTGTCGGCAGAAAATTCGTCATTTGATACAGTGTTAGGATCAACATATTTGTAATACACTGTGCCACTTTTTGTCCGATATTCATTAAGGTTATGTTTCTCATTATCCTCTGAAACTAATGATTCCTCTGTAGCAGATGAGATGTTTTGTTCATCATCAACAGGTTCAGTTTTAATAACAACATTAGGTTCAGGCTCTAGCTGATGCTCTATAGGAAATGGTTCAGGTAATATGGCCTCTGTTGTTGCTACATTTTGGATTCCTGAAATGAGAGAGAGAGAAAAAAATTAGTTCAATACTCAAAAGAAGTTCTCTAGTCTATAAAGCTAACAGTTAATGTTCAGATTGTTTTTTGTTTTTTTTGTCTGTTATGCTTATTTCAACACATTTTTGGTCATACATCACCAGATTTTCTGGATAACTTGCCGTACTATTTAAAAGGGTCTGATTAACTTTTACTTTATAAGCTTAATCAAAATTTACTAGTATGTTGACAGCAAATTATTCAAACAGCTTCTTTCTGCTGATTATTTATACCATAAATGCCCCTAGTTCATACAAAATTTCAGGTTTCAGCAGGCTTCTAAATACAAGCAGTAAGCTGAATTGTCTTAACTTACCGCTGAATATGTTAAGTTAAACAAATGTAAGTTAGTGAAATGGGCAGTAGAACATATGAGTAGTAGTGAGAAAGAAATTTATCGACACTACCAGATCTTTATAAACACAGCTAAATTACTCACCGCTTTCTCTTAAATATGTCATACAACCAGTCTGAGCCTCCACAAATCCTAGGTCTACTGCAGCCTTGTATACATTTTCTACCTGGTTAGGAAATAAAAAAATGTAAAAAAATCCAAGTTTTTTGTTGTTGTTGGTTTTTTTCCAGGAAAATATTTCAAGAATGTTACAATAGGAAAATATTTCAGGAATGTTACAATATATCATTTTTAAATAAGCTTTGTAAGGATGTTTTTGGGAGTTTTCATATAGACAATTATAGGCAAAATTAAAACTGTTCAATAGAATTTCTTTAAACTTGGCATGTTGTTAGAATATGATAACAGAAACATTTTAAGCGAAAAAAATTTGGGGTCACCGTTTTCGTTTTTGTGTTATCTGCCCCTGAATCAGAATTTTCTACTTATTTGAGGTCAATTCAAGGGCAGATAACTTATACATACTTAAATGAATTCTTGTTTTTACTTCTGAATTATATTTTTCTTTTTACTGTTGAGTATGATACATAATAACATACAATTCCTTATATCATTTCTGTTAATTTTTTTCAATGAAAATAGAGATACTTTAAAAAAGGCCATTTTTAAGAAAAATATGGACAGGTTTAAAGAAGAAGTGGAAGAAAAATTATCCACTTTAAATTCCTTCTTCAAATTTTGCATATCGACTAAAATGAAGGTAAGCTTCATGAAAATAAGAAAAAAAATGTATTGTTTTTTTTTCATTGCAAATTATCTGCCCTTGAATTTAACGAAAAAGTCCAATTCAAGGGCAGATAACTCGAATATAAGAACTGTGACCCCAATTTTTTTTCGCTTATGTTTCTGTTATCATATTCTAACAACATGCCAATTTTTAAGAAATTCTATTGAACAGTTTTAATTGTGCCTATATGTCTATATGAAAACTCCCGAAAACGTCCTTAAGTCTTTTAAAATATTATTTATCTCTTTATGCTCATAACGTAATAAAAGTGATGCTACATGCTAAATATCTAAACTCTAGGCATGGTAGTTTCAGAGAAGATATTTTCAAGATTTAATTTTAAAGTCTATTCTTAGCTCCTGCTAATGCATGTACTTATGCATCAGACTGGAACCATCTATATAACTTTTGTAGATAACCACCTAAGGATCATTCTTGATCAGATGTATCATATGTCCAAATATATTTATATCAATGGAGTTAAAAAAATTTGACCTACTGACCCCAAGGCGTGGCCAATTTGACATTGGAGGTCATGCTTTGACAACCTTGGTTAAGATCCACCAAGAAAAGCTTTATGCAAAATACCTAAGTTTCAGTCCATGTGGTTCCATAAAAATTTATTTTTAGTTTTTACTATTATACCACTGAAGGTGTAGGTAACTTGTTACCTGGTCCAAAGAACAGCATAGATCTCCAGTGTAAACCAAATCAAGAAGTGTCTCTGCAACATCTGTAGAATAACATGACAAATCCAGGTAAAATCTGTCTTCATCTAACTCTGCTCCTGCCTGAAATAAACAAATAGTCATGTTTTCACGTTAAAGTGTTTATTCAAACAACTATATTCATAAAGTGTGCAAATCATCATAATTATCTACAATTTTACTGAAAATCATGACAGCTACTATCAAGTATTAAAAGTTTTAAAGTAAGGTTTAATGGTATAGTAAAACAGAGTGGGAGATTCAACTTAGTCTTAAAAACAGAATTATCATATGTCCTCTGGTCTGGAATGGTAACATATATATATTCAAAGTTTCATAGCAATACTTTAAAGGGTACAGGAAATAAGTGGGTGTAACCTAATGACCTTAGACAATGTCCCTACCAAGTTATATAAACCATGGCTTATTTTTTCTAAAAAGTTATTGATCTGGCAGAATAACAGGATTTACATTAAGACAGAATTGGAAGGACCACTCAGTTACAGTATGCTCCTAACTCTTTATCTGGACTGTGGGGGCATAAAAAATATTGTCTGTAATATGCAGAAAAGGTATATAGGGCAAATAGCTAAAACATATGCCTAAATAAAGTGTCAGCAAATGGCTAAAACATTTACCATAGGCAAATAGCTAAAGACATATGCCTTTTTAAATGTAAATGAATGGTTAAAATACTTGCCTTTTTAAATTGTAAGCAAAAGCTCAAGCACTGGCCTTTTTTAAAAATGTAAGCAAATGGCTAAAATACTCACCTTTTAAAGTCACATAGTGTAAGCAAATGGCTAAAACATTTATCTTCTTAAAGTGAAATAAATGACTAAACACTTGCCTTTACAAAGAAGGCGTCAATGAGACACTTGTGTACATACAGCTGCTTCCTACTCAGTCTGATTTCTAGGTCGCAGTTACGACCCTGCTTAAATTGAGTGTGAAGTAATTTGACAATTGTCTCTCCATGTTGCAATGCTCTGTAGATCTTAGACATCTAGATCATATACCTGAAAATAAAATAAACACATTTTTTCCTAAACTTGATCTTAATTTAAAACAAAAATTTGTTGACTTTATTTTTTTATCCCAAATTGCCTAAAATTTTACTTTAATTCTTAATTTTCTTGACCATATGATTGTTCTGCTTTGCATCAGTGCTTTTCTAATGCACTTTGCAGCTTTTAGGACCAGTGTGAGATTTTTGTTTTAAATAACAGACTGCATAACTAGTCTTAAACTCAGGCAATGTAAAAATACCTAGGTCATGAAGGGGACTAATACTCAGAAAATCATTAAATCTAATTACAGACCAGAATTACAGCATGTTTGAATTCCAAGTGAATACCATCAACAAGTGAAGTCAGTGTTTTTTTTCCACCAAAATATTCGACGAAATTTGGCCCCATTCCCCGCTCAAAATAGTATGTTTTCCCCCCCTCAAAGCCGAAATTTCCCCCTATAATATAGCAGCCCAAATTTGCCTGAAATGAATGTAATTTTTTTGCAACTAACTGCCGAAAAATGCTTTATTTTATGCCTGTAACACTTGCTGTTAAGCAAGGTTGTTTACAAATCGTTTTCATGTAGGTGAGGGGAGCTACTCCCAGTGTCCCAACAAGTTTAACATGTGAAGGATCAATATTTTAGATCCGTATAAAAATCCCCCTCCTATTGCATTTTTCCCCTTCCAAAGGGCACCGACCCCCTTCCCCCAAAAGTGAAAAAAAACACTGGAAGTACATGTAACCTGCATGGCAGTTAACATAATGCAAGGATATAATTCTAAAAGCATTGTCAAAATTTAAATTTTAGAACCAATGTGTGGATTTCTGAAGGGGAATATTTAGAGAGATAAATCAGATATAGGGGAAAATCTGTACACTGAGAATGCAAGGTTGTCACGCATTTAACCCTTTACCTCATATATACGCGAAACAACGCACTTTCGACCCCGCCCCCTTTTTAGGCCTGAAATAGTGAAAAAATGTCCTATTTGGGCCCCAAACACATGTTTTCGTTTGAGAAATGTTGCTAAAAAAAGTGAGCACTTTTTCGGCGCCGCCCCCCATCCAAAAGATACATCAGGGGGTTGCCAGAAGGGGGATGTGCCCCCTTCTGTTTTGGGGGTTTAAAGGGGGCGGAGTCCCCCTCATTGCCAAGAAAATTTTGGACTTGTGAGAGGCTTAAAATGACGCCAGGTCGATCATAAGGTAACGTGTAACCAACGCTTAAAAGCCTTTGACTCTATCTCAATCCCTTGAGAAGTTGCAGCACTTTGAAATAAATTTTGATGGAAAAAATCAAGGCAAAATAGTGATTTTTGGCAATTTTGAGATGTCCCCTTGTTTTAGACTGAGCATGTCGTTACAAAGGCAATGGTCCAGTCAACATGTGTGCCAAGTTTGATTAGTATTGAAGCATTTTTCATAGCAGTTTGAACTTGTAAGAGGAGGCTTTAAAGGGAAAGGGTTAAAGAAATTTTCAGCTGAATTGTCAGTCAACATGCAATATTGCTAAATAGAGGCATATCTATAGTGACTGAGCTTTCTTTCAGTCCATAAAATCTTTAATTATTTTTTTTCAGTTTTTAGAAGGTGTCACTTCCTGTTTTCTTTTTCTTAGTGTTCTGTTACTTTCATCATCACACCAATTAAATATAGAGACTGGAAGAGCCATGTTGGAAGAGCTGAAAGGAAATGTAACTTTTGTGTAACAAATGATAATATAGAAGATGAATACCATTTTGTTATGATATGTCCTCACTCCTGTATATAATTAAGAATACAGTATATTCCTAAATATTATTATACACGCCCATGTATAGCAAAATCTATAGAACTTTTAAAATGTGGTAGCTCTGTAAAATTAAATAGACTTGCAATTTTCTGCAATTTTTTTCCCTTTTAAGCAAAGGCAGGATAACCTTAATTATTTATATTAGTAAACGTTCATTTTATGTGCAAATATCTATATTATATAAGAATACGTTTAAGTGAATGATTATACAGCTAAATATGTATGCTGATATTCCCTGTTTTTGGTACTGCATTTGTATACATATATATATGATATTTAAAGTAAATAATTGATAATATTATATTCACTCTCGCTATATTACATACATGTACTTGTATATGTGAATTACAATGAACTGATGTGTTCAAGTCAATTTTGATGAATAAACTTCTGTTCTGTTCTGATAAGTAGATTCAATATAATCAATAAATTAGCAGTTTTATCAGGGATCTTCAACATGTGTTGATTCTATTAAAGCTACATTAAATAAAATATGTTAACTTATATTTCCGTCAGCTAGTTGTAAATACCGGTCATATAGGTTGTATGCCACTATGTAAATTAAAAAAAAATATGTTTGCTGATCAATGCCCAACCTCCAAATGAAAAGTGTCCCAGAAATGAGTCTAAAAATTATGTCATGTATGTATAATAATCTTGTGTATGCGCTATGTCACAATGGTAAATCAATTGTAACCATGTGGATCACAGCAAATAGGAGATATTCTTGTGCAAATAAACTTTTACCGCTTAAGTTTCACGGTGCATTAGCCCTATCATCTACAAAAAAAGTAATAATCTCATATTAAGATTGAATTTGTGTGCTAACACAAGTGATATAATGCGGAAATATACCATTAAATTCGGACTGCTACTTAAAAATGTGTGTTGATTTTCTATTGATGTAATCATGTACAGATGACCCAAAGGCGGAGTTTCTCATGCAAATAAAATTGTACTTCCTATTTCGCAACAATGAGCTTGTAGAATTATGGCTTATAAAACTCATTTTGGTTGTCTGGACACCTAAATTAGAACAGCAGTCGATATGAAACATATTTAATTAATGAAATCTAGCTATTTCTTTTTTTTATGAAATTTATTTAATGTAGCTTTAAACATGTTATCCTGTGCAGTTAATAATATACTTGAATTTAAATACATATGTAAACAAGAGCTGTCCGTAAGACAGCGCGCTCGACTTTTTTATTGCTTGCCAATAAAAAAAGTTTTTGCAGTAAAAGGCAATACAAGAATCTCTGTATTTTTAAAGTGAACAATGGCCATGAGCATTAAGATATTTAGTGAAGAATTATTTTATTATGACATAATTTATGGTAAAGTGAACAAGTGGATAGGAATGAATTTTTTTAGATTTTTTAAGTTTTTTAGTGCTTGCCTATAATACAAAACATTGACAGTTAAGGGCCATAATTCAAATAAAATCTTTGACAGAATTACCTTCTCCTGGACATGTTTGGGAATCATGATTGTAAACAAGTATTCCAACTTTCAAATTAATATCTCAAACAGTTCAGTCAAAAAGTGGACTGGTACTAAAAACTTAACCAAGATTCTAAGTCGATAAAAGGCCTTAATTTTTAAAACAAATCCTTGACAGAGTTACCTTCTCTTGCGTACAGATGGGGGTAATGATGTGAAATAGCATTAAAAGTTTCAAAGCAATATCTCAAAGGGTTAAGGCAATAAGTGGATTTTACCCATATTCAATGTATTTTCTAAGTCAAAAAGGGGCATAATTCTGTCAAAAACCTTGACAGAGTTATGTCCTCTTGTCTGTTGATGAAGGTCGTGATGGTAAACAAGTATGGTCAGTTTCAAAGCAATACCTCCAATGGTTTTGAAATAAAGTGAGGTGGTACAAAAAACTTAACCAAGCTCAATACACTTTCTAAGTCAAAAAAGGGCCATAATTCTGTCAAAAACCTTGACAGAGTTATGTACTCTTGTCTGTAGATGGAGGTTATGATGGTGAACAAGTATGGTAAGTTTCAAAGCCATACTTGTAATACTTCTGAAATAAAGTGGGGTGGTACGAAAAACTTAACCAAGGTGTGACGCCAACGCCGACGCCGGGGCGAGTAGGATAGCTCCCCTTTTCATAGAAAAGTCGAGCTAAAAAACAACATTTTCTTTAACAAAACAAGAGCCAAAGGCAGGGCAATATAATACGCCCAAATGTAGATTTTGGTAATCAAAAGTAATCTTTCAATTAGGGAAGACACACAAGAAACTTGTCAGCAATATTTTCTATTGTATCTAATCTATTGTCTTCATGATACTAGATGAATTAATATCTCAATGGCAATTGAAAGATACATGTATATCTATTGTGCTATATGCAGTTTAAATATAGATACGAAAATATGTTTTGTTTTAAAAAGCATGCCAGAGCCGAATGCTGTCTGATGAATTATCATTATGTCAAACCCATTGCAGGAAAGTCCAGCTTATGACTTGTCAAAGAGACATCAAGATAATTTTGGACAGGCAATGGTAATGGTTTCACAGTATGAAAAAAATAGTCTGTAACTAAGATGTGTCAAACCGTTCATACTAATAACTAAGGAAGTGGCTAGCCGTACGGGCCCGTACGGCTAGCCAAAAGTTCTAGCCGTACGTGAGTCACGTACGACTAGCTAGGACACACTGTATTGGCTAGCCGTACGGCACTTTTCAAAAATTATATGGAAGTCGAAAATGCATATGTTATTTTGTGTCTTTAAACGACGATTTTAATCAAATCTCCGCATTTGTCCTAGTGTGTTCACTTTAATAAAGATGCTCCGCAATTTTGCAAAAAAAAAAAAAAAATGAATATGAGTAAGCGTTGTATAATCTATCCTAATAAAATTAAGTGTCAAAGTTGCATGTTATATAACGTCCTTAATTTTCATGCTTATGATTTGTATGAAAGATAAATTGTTAAACCTGTAAATTAAACACATGGATCGAATAAATAATGATCGGAGGGGAATAAATGAATAAATAAAAAGAATATTTAAAAAAAACGGTGAAAAGGAAAAATGATTTAATAATGCAAACTTTCCTTAATGATTGACGATGAACAAACTTCTATACCGTCGGTATTTGACCCAATTATCAGAGCCCGACAACAATTATTTTCGGTGGGTTTTTTGTTTTTTTTTTGTTTGTTTTTTGTTTTGTTTTGTTTGTTTTTTTCAATTTAAAAATTAAACTTAATGAAACAAAAAATGATTATTATCAAAATTTTGTAAACTATTTCAATTGATGTTATTTAACTGCAACCAAACGCTATTTTTTCTCGACGTCTTGTGATGACAAAGTACGTACATTCTTTACTGTAGCCAACACGTCGATTAATCTCTAAAAAGTAAACATTCTTGACTAAAATCCTCGCTTAAAGTCATAATTAACATATGCACTTTCGCCTTCCATATATTTTTGAAAAGTGCCGTACGGCTAGCCAATACAGTGTGTCCTGGCTAGTCGTACGTGACTCACGTACGGCTAGAACTTTTGGCTAGCCGTACGGGCCCGTACGGCTAGCCACTTCCAAAGATTATATCACCAATTCAGTTGAGTTAGCTGATATTACATTCTTTTTGATACGTAACAAATGAATAACAAATATATTTAATATTAAAATAAATGGGCACCTCGTTAACTAATGGGCACCTCGTTAACAAAGTTCGAGTTGGGGCGAATTGTTTGTGGGGCGAATCGTATCAGGTTACACATAGCCATATAGAATGTAAAAAATTCTGTGTTTTTAAATTAAAATTTTATCTAACAGATATCTGTTACATCGCTAAAATACATCAAAAACAATGAAAAGTAACGATACCAGTTTTAAGGCAACTCTTTGTTTCTTTCTGCAAGAACTGTAACTCGTCACGTACATTCGGAACTCGACAATTATTCCTCAAGAATGACGAGAAGGGCCGAGACAGGACCGAAAAGTTGCGTAATGACCTGGGACGGCTCAAGTCGAATTTTTTTAGCCTTTAGGGTTGTAATTATTAAAATGTCCGTTTTACTGACCAAACATACAGTGAAATCGGTAAATAACAAAATGGGTCTTATCTGCGGATGTTTATAAATTCAAAATTTCACAATTTTTGTGTTTAAATGTTGAATTCTGCTTAAGCCGGTGCTAGGGGGCGTGGACGGTAGTTTGCACTTGATAGTACCACAGATCTTATATTTAGCTCCATGACAGTACCGTCCATGAACAGGCTCAATCAAACAGAGCCTGCAACATTTTCAATTTTGCCGTGTTGGGCTTTCTTTAAGTTTAGGGATTCTGTTCTTCTCTATTTAACTCGGGGACCCTATAACAATTGTAAATTTCTTGTTTTTGATATTTTTAATCAAAAATATAAATTACAAAATGTTTTTATAGTTGGTTTATTTTATTGAAGCATTGTCTTTCTTATAGAATTTTTTTATTCGAAAGACCCTTATTGAAGAATAGAAAGCAAGAAATTTCTTATTTTAAAATACATTTATTTATTTATTTATTATTGGATGTTAAAGTCACACCGACACAGTTATGTTGGAGGAAGACCCCTGAGTTACATATATGTGTACGTAGCAATGTATATTGCTAATTCAACCACGGATCTTAATTACAATTTGTAATGTAAATCCGTGATTCAACACAACTTGACAGTGAAGAAATGAGCACAATATCAACTATTTATAAGTGAAAAGGATTCTAGATTCAAGTAATAATTTACATGTTATATGTGCGATTAATGACTGATTTTGCAGTACTTAGACATCATCATATTTCTACAGCGTGACTAACACATTAACCTGGCTATTTTTGCATATTTTGGTCTGTTTTGGGTAATGAAATGCATTGTAAGTGCCGGTTGCTACCTTCACAATATTTTACTTTAACATACATTTTCAAAAATTTTTCATGAAAATGAGCATAAATTTTGAAGACAATGATTTTACGTGATCAACTATGTCATGGTACTAAAACGTCCCGGTTGAATGATATTGTAAACTAGATGAAAAAAAAAACAAAAACAAAAAACACCAAAACAAAACAAAAAACAAAACAAAAAAAAACAACAACAACAAAAAAACAACCAAACACCCCCCGCCCCCCCAAAAAACAAAAAACAACAAAAAACAACAAAACAGTCACATGCCAATCTGACTCTTTACCTCCTTGGCGTAAATACATATTGTGCAATATAATGTATTACAGCGGTAATAAAAAATTATTTTAACACCCTGCAATTTCAATTTAAATAACTGATGAAAAAGTCGTCTTATGATACCCTAAACAGAGGACTTTAATTTGTATGCGCTTTTTATAGTCCTGCATATTTTCCTATATCCATGATATCTGTTATACATAAATATCAATACACGTTTTAAGTACTTTCTACTTGTCATCCCAAAATATTTGTTTTATGGGTAACGTAACTTGAAGTCACGTGTATTCATTGTAGTATTTCGTTAAATTGCATTTTTGCCCTACGTAGAATTGCAATGCAACGTCCGTTACTATGAATACTGTACGTAGTTGTGTTTCAAGTCACATGGTCATATGGTTACATTCCAGCTTAATTTGTGAGGTAAGACCATAGGAAATCCCTTAGTGCAATTTTATTCCCGGTCTTTCACTACCTACATAATATATAAAAGAAGCTTAATTATTTCTCTGATGGGATTCGGACGCATTACGGTGAAGGACAACTGATTTAAAGCAACAAAACCCTGTTTAAATTTCGCGATACTGAACTTCTGCATATCCATAAAACTAAACCGTTGCAGGACTGTTTGCAATGTACCCGGTCGTTGATCACAAATTTTTGTTCAGTGAATGCAGATTATTTGATTGACAAGAACACGGGAGAGGAACTGTTACACGAAGGATGGACTTCTTATGATAACTTTTCAAGGAGTTCTTGTGATAACTGTCACGGAGTTTTTTCTGAAAACCTTGTACATATTACAAAAACACTCATCAAAAATGGTAAATTTCATCTTTAAAAAGTGAATTTTAGGTGCTAAATTAAACTTTAACTGGAACGATCACTAAATGTGATTAACACCCGGGCAGTACTGCTCTGGAAATGATTAAGTTACAAGAAACAGAATACCTTGCAAAATAATTGAAATAGAGTTATGGTTGTGGGCAATTAAAGATATTTGTGGTTCTTGTATGTTGCATTTCCTTTCAATGTGGTTGACCATTGATGAAGTTTTATTGAATTATTACTCTGCAATAAGTCCAGAAAGAGTGTTATGCTTCTTGGGCACTGCACTTCCTCTCATTGCGCTTGACCATTGTTGGCGTCCGCGCCGAAGCGCGGCGCTCTTATGGAATGAGATCAGATTTTGTGAAAGGGCGACAGCAACTTCTCGAGCCTTTTAGTCGGTCATAATAAAAGCCGAAAATTCCGATCGGTATGAGGGTGCTTGATTATTAAATAAGAATGAAATGTCGCGATATGTTACAATGAATTTTCGCAATGCAATCATTTACAAATGAAATAACCTTTTCCGTCAATAAATCGCGCTCTTCGGGGTTTTTTATTTATCATTTTGTAGTATACAGTCGGTTATCATGTCATGGTATGTTATTGTTGTACATGTATCCTAGAATGATCAGTTGATGACCTAAATATTCCCAAAACCTATTTATAGATATATCCTTTTATCACTCCTATCGGTAAATGCCGGTCACTCCCGGTCTATTTTGACCAGGATTTACTAGTGACCGGCGAATAGTACCACACGTTTATTGTCCGGTCTCTCCCGATTTTGGAGTAGATGTTTGATATCGTTACAATTAGAAAAAAAACAACAATAGCATGTTTCATTTTATCTATATGAGATAAAACAATAAATATGTACACGGATTTATATGTAATATAAATCCGTGATATGTACAATAATTGAGAAAAAGGTACATTTTTTATGGTATTAAAATGACATTATCAACTTTGAAACATTTTATTTAATTATTCAATTTGTTATCCGTGTTTAGTAAAGATGCCGAGGAATTATTCAAAGTTACAAATTAGATTTTATGAATTATTCAATTGATCGATAATTTAAAAATGATAAAGAAAAATACAATGTACATGTACATGGTTTAAGAATAAACAATATTATATATTGAAAGATAAACCATAATTTACTGACTTTTTCCAGTTAAGCTTTTACTTATAATCGTCGGTCAATATGACAATTGAATTCTTAAAATTTATTTTACAATTTTAATAAAAAAGAGTAGTAAAAGCTCAGTATTAAAATAGCACATAAAACACAAAAAAGAATAAAAGAAAACAATATTCATAAAATTTGTATTTTTTTAAATTAAAATTAATAGATATTACAATTATTGTATAATAAACAATTATGCTCAACATGATCAACATGGTAATATAACCAGTGTCATATTTTTACTAACTTAAAGTGTGAACAGATACCTTAAGGGGGTCTTCGCTAATAGCGATAACATGTACATAATAAGGGACAAATGTGTGGTACGTGTTGATCATGCGTTACACATATGGATTATAAATGATTGCATACATGTATATCCGTTGCTATTAATAACCACGATCATAAAGAAATAACAAGTAATATTCTAATCTCTAGCATGCCAATCAAAGTTCATAATGAACAATGTCTTTCGTCCGCTCATTCATAAGTGGTATACATTTCTGGTAGTTTATAAGAATATCTTGTCATCATATGTGTACTAGTTCATCTTCACTTGCTGCATTTCTTGCTTGGACGCCCTTTGATGCTTTGCATCAATGCTTTTCTTGTATGAAGTTGTATTGAATTCAACTACTAGTTTTCAAGTTATGCACTGGACAAAAAAGTAACAAAGGGCAATAACTGTAATTAGTCAAAATAGAGTTATGGTTCTTGAGCACTGCACTTCATCTCACTGCCCTTGACCAATTGAATTCCAACCATTAATTTTCAAGTTATGCACAGTGGAGAATAAAAAGTAACAAAGGGCAAAAACTCTTAAATGAGTCAAGAAAGTGTTATGGTTTCTGTGCACTGCGCTTCCTCTCAATATACTTGACCATTGTATGAAATTGTATTGAATTCCAACAATAAGTTTTCAAGTTATGCTCTGGACAAGAAAAAAGCAATGGAAAAGTAACAAAGGACAATAACTCAATAATTACTCTGGATAGAGTTATGGTTCCTGTGCACAGCACTTCCTCTCAATGTGCTTTACCATTGTATGAAGTTGTTTTAAATTCCAACCAGTACTTTCCAAGTTATGCTCCAGACAAGGAAGAGTATCAAAGGGCAACAACTCTGTTATTTGTCAAAATGGAGTTATATGGTTCTTGTGCATGCACTTCCTCTTAATCACGGTGCATATCCATATTGGTACTCTCTTTGCGAAATCTGCTCAAACGGTACCCTCTCTGAACATGCACAGGTCATTCTCTGCTAAAAACAAACCAGCGATGGATACCAATCCAGTAAAATTTCATTGTAATAAGGAAAGGAGGGATGTCACGTAGAAAAGATGTATACCACGGAACACTAGGATGTTTTATTTATGTGCTGATTTGTCATGTGCCTGATTTTCATGTACTGCAACTTCACAATAAGCTACAAAAAATCGACATGTCTTGCTTCGCCCATCACCTCGACATATTTTTCGGGCTGAAATGAACCTGTGGCTTGATTATATATGCATCATACATATTTAATATGTTCATATACATATCATCTTCGGACAAATGGCAGTATATTGTCAAAAATAAATGTAAAATTCATAAAAACACCCTACTTTCGGTTTTGCAGCGGCACGGGCTACCTCTCATCATTTGAATTTTTATATTCAAAAGAGGGTACCGATATGGATATTCACCGTGTTAATGTGCTTGAAAATTGTATGAAGTTGTATTAAATTCCAACTAATAGTTTTAAGTTATGCTCCGGACAAGGAAAAGTAACAAAGGGCAATAACTCTTTAATTAGTCAAGATGGAGTTATGGTTCTTATGCACTGCACTTCCTCTCAATGTGCTTGATCATTATATGAAGTTGTATGGAATTCCAACCATTAGTCTTTCAGTTATGCTCCGGACAAAAAAAGCAATGGAAAAGTAACAAAGGGCAATAACTCTGTAATTACTTTAGATAGAGTCATGGTTCTTGTGCACTGCACTTCCTCTTATTGTGCTTGACCATGGTAAGAAGTTGTTTTGAAATCAAACCAGGACTTTTCAAGATATGCTCCGGAAAAGGAAAAGTAACTAAGGACAATAACTCTATAATGAGTCAAGATGGAGTTATGGTTCTTGTGCACTGCTCTTCCTTTCAATGTGCTTGACCATTGTATGAAGTTATATTGAATTCCAACCATTAGTCTTCAAGTTATGGTCCGAACAAAAGAAAGCAATGGAAAAGTAACAAAGGGTAATAACTCAGTAATCACTTTAGATAGAGTTATGATTCTTGTGCACTGCACTTCCCTTTATTGTGCTTGACCATTGTATGAAGTTGCTTTGAATTCCAACCGGTAGATTTCAAGTTATGCTCCGGACAAGGAAAGGTAACAAAGGGCAATAACTCTGTCATAAGTGAAGATAGAGTTATGGTTCTTTAGCACTGCACTTACTCTCAATGTGCTTGACCATTGTATGAAGTTGTATTGAATTCCAACTATTAGTCTTCAAGTTATGCTCCGGACAAGGAAAATGCAACAGACAGCTGGACCGACCGACCGACCAACCGACCGACCGACCCAGCAAACATGCATATATGGGACCCATATGGGCTATATCTAGGCAAGCCCATATGGGTATGCCCATATTGGACCTATATGGGACCAATATGGGCAAGTCCATTTGGGTACGCCCATATTGGACCCATATGGGTCCCATATTACAGCACTATAAGGAAAAACGATTTTTCGTTTATTTATTTCTTTAGAACTTGTTTACTTTGAGCTATAGTGTGACCACCTTGGCATAAATTGCTATTATCTTTTATAAAAATCGTAGCATTAACATTTATACAAGCCATGAGGGACCCATATGGGTCCTATTTGGGCAACCCAATAAATATTAGCATGCCTGAGCAGGTGCGAGAAATTAATTTGTTTAGTTTTTATATTGGTTTTAATTTTTATAATCTAAATATTAAAATGTGTTTTTAGACTATTTTAATTCAGAAATAATTTATAAAAATCAGCATTTGATGAAAAATTTATTTCGAGCATGCGCAGACGTGATTTCCGCTGCCGCTTAAAATCAAATTGTGTATTGAAACGTTAAATTGTAAAATTGTACACGAAAACAATATTTCATTTCAATTCGGAACATTTAACGACAATTTCGTATAACGACCTTTCATATTATATCCTTACAGATTTATTGTGTGTGTAGGTAAGTGTAAACGTCATTTATTTTTTGTTTTTGCCTTTGCCATGTAATTTCGCGATAGTTTTTGTCAGTTTAATTTGCGAAATTTTCTAGAATTTACGCCCACTATTAGGCACTTTAGCTGACCTTATGGATGTGTATAGTTGTTATTGTTGAATAACTTAACTGTGACGGAGTCGACACTAACATTTTAATAATATTGTTTCTATCTAGACTAAATTTTAAGAGATCCTTTTTTAAAGGGACACCATCATTTGAAATCCAGTGACCCCTCCTAGCCTTAGAAGTCCCTTCCATTTTGTACCAATATTTCATTCATAAGCATTTTAAAATATTAAATGCAAATACTTATTATTACAAATTCAAGTATTTTTTCCAAGTACCAACCAAGCCCTATGTTGCACATGCACGAGTACCGGACCTGGGAAGAAAAAATATGACTCGATAGATAATTAAACCTGTGTTCATCTTTAAAAAGTCAAAAACCGAAAAAAATTGTAAATTATACCCCCCTTTAAAAACATACTTTAAGTTAAGAGAAGGCCAGAAACTCCAGATTCGAGACTGCAAGCAAGGGATTCACTTCCCGGGCCGTTGTGAAAACAATTGTCCAGACAATTAAAAAAAGTGAAAACAATTGTCCAGACAATTAAAAAAATCTTTTATCACTTTCACGTTTGTATTAAGCTTCCAAATGGGACCGACCCCAAGTCTTTAGCCCTTCCCGTTCATGAAATATCTATCGGGGAAACAAACGCATTCGTGCTAAAAATCCTTGGTAGACAAAATTGCGGCACAACAATTCGGTACGTAAAAATAGACTAGTACATGTTTGCCAGCCGATTACGAGTCATAATCTTATTGTCACTTGGCGCAATAACTCACTTAATGTCTATGTATTTTATAATTACTAATTTACTTATTAATGTATTTTCATTTTATTGTAAATAGGCCATCAAAAAGGCTGTATGAATCGTATAGTGGCACTGATGAGAATGAGACAGACACAGAGAGTAGGCAGGCCACCACAAGTTATTGACCAAGCAACAACGCCCAAAGAGTCACAAAGCCTACTTTCATCTCCGCCTCGCTTATCTGCACAGGCATTGCGAGAGGCCAGCAGTGATGTGCAAAGTGCTTCTCCAATACAAGGTGCTTCTGATATACCCTTCCGTGGGCAGATTATTGGGCCCAGTAAGTATAAACTTCGGAGCTATAAATATATTTATTATTACAGTACATACTTATTAAATGTTATATTCTCAAAACAAGTCAATAAATGTTATAACTAGCTGGATTGAGTGACACAGCCAAAAATGGAAAGTTTCACCTTGTGACGCCCCTAGTTAAAAAAATATTCAAAAGAAATTGATGATTACTTGTGTTAGTCTTTATCATGATGTGAATTTGTGCGCATATTCTTGCCTGACCCCACTACTGTTATCCAAAGTTACGGTCCCTGGAAGAGTCAAGAATGTTTATTTTCACCAAATGACATGCCTAGGCTCAAAAATATGTTAAGTTTAATTCATGATTTCTTATCATTTTCACATTTTGTGACCTTGCACACTCAACAATCCTTTTGAGATTTTAGCCTTAATTACTGTTAAAGCCAAGGAAAAATTTAAAATACTGGATTTTTTTCATTTGAGCCGGGTCATGACAAAACCAACATAATGGGTTTGCGACCAGCATGGATCCAGACCAGCCTGCGCATCTGCGCAGTCTGATCAGGATCCATGCTGTTCGCTATCAGTTTCTCTACTTGTTATAGGGTTTGTAAGCGAACAGCATGGATCCTGATCAGACTGCATGGATGCGCAGGCTGGTCTGGATCCATGCTGATCGCAAACGCATTATGTTGGTTTTGTCGTGACATGGCTCATTTGTCATTCACATAGCTCTAAAAGTATATGGCCTAGAATTATGAATCTTTTTTTTCAGCTGCTGTTACACAGATTCTCCGAGTCTTGGAGACAATGCGAGAGAAGAATCGTGAAATTAAGAGGATGGTGCAGCGAATGCTGTTAAGGTCAGCAGCAGATGACCAACCGCTGCAACTTCCGAAAGATATCTCATTCCCTATTCGTTATCCTGAGCAGATGGAAGCATTCAATGAGCTTCTGGGAGATCAGACTATGCTCTCATCTGTGGTAAGCATAGTGTTAGTCATGTATGTTGCTCCATTAGTAACTGAAAAAAGTATACCCCATATCCACTGGCCTAAAAGCGAAATAACATAATGGTCTGTGGTGAGCACTTGATGATAATGTATAATCATTCTGCTATATTTATGTTGGAAAATATTGCACAGTGGACAAACACTTTGCTGCATTAATTTCAGAATTAAAAACTGGCATGTTTTAATTTTTTGATTCATATTGACACAGTTATGTTATCTATATATGCTATAATAGCCATGAGCACAAGACATGGGCAGTTGGCCTCGTTTTCAACATTAATTATTAATTAGGACAAGACAGTTAATTCATTAATCAAAATGCTGGCAGCTTTCAAAATACCAGGAAAATCACTAGTACCCACAAAATCCAGGAATTGAGCTGTTATTATATTATCAAAAATTATTCTGTTGATATTGAATAAACTCTTGTATAAAAAAAACAATGATAAAAAAACAATGATAATGTGCCCCATAACACTCGGTGAAGGGGACAAACATAAAGGCACAAGTCACTAAGGTGTTGTCCTAGGCTGTAAATATATGAGGAAAGATCTTTTAATTTGTCAATCCAAACAGTTTTCTTGGCAGATCATGTTTTTGAGGTCCAGTTGACAATTATTTGTCATTTGGTGACTTGCAGCCCATCACTTAGTAGTGTTAAAATTAACATTAAAAAAAGTTTATGTTCTGCTTTATTTAAGGTGCGGTTCCTCTCAATGTTTGGTATGGCAGATGTACGGGAAACTGTTGACCGCTTGATGAAAGAAACCATGTCAAATGAACTGGCAAGAATGTACAATATGAAGTGGCTGAAGGGGAAGAAAAAGTTTGTGGGCCTCTAGATACTGATAGTATTGTATAGTAAGTGATTTTTTACAAATTTGCAAAGTGGTGTCTTCAAAATAGATATATTATCCAAGATCTTGTTATTGTGTCTTCGGGTATTGCTTTAATGAAGGAAAATGCTTGGCTAGCTTTTATGGAAATTAATAAGAGAGAATATTTTACATGCTGTGTGGTTTTGATCCCATGCATTGTGTTGTGATGCATAATATAAACAGAAATCACCTTCCTGTAAAGCAAGTTATTTGCTTACCTTAACATTCTTTACTGATACACCGATAAGATGATCTCAGCTTACAACTGACTGCAGCGATATCACAGAAATATTGTTAAAAGCTATGTAAAACCAGGAAACAAACATCTATATTTGGTAAAACATACCAGAATTAGTTTATATTCCAATTTATACTGCTCAAAATGCTACAAGGTGGCTTATGACCTTTGAATGGTTTCAATACCTTCATTTCACTTCATTTCATTCTTTAAGGATAAGAATGCTTGTTTTGTAGAATGTGTCCAAAGGAACTTGCCGACAAAGGCTGCAACGAGGAAGGATGTTGAAATAGAGGTTTCAAAGTGGCTGGCTAGGGCCCGGGACCGCGATGGGGGAAGGAAAGCAAGAAACAAGGTGTCAGAGACCTTACCTGAAGAAAATGAAGGAAGTGACTAGACATGTTTTTAATTTAAAAATGCAAATTTATAGAGGATATTTGTTTGTTTGTGTGTAAGATGAAATTTTGTATCATCAAGAGAGCTTTAAAAACAGTATTCTCATGAGTGGCTATGCGCTCGTGAGAACACTGTTTTTTAAAGTTCCTTCAATGATATAAAATTACATCTTACACAACAAACAATAAAGTGTCTTTTTATTTTATGCTAATGAAATTTCCTCAATATTAACGTTAATATTAATTCTGTTTTCACCACTGTCAACATCAATTTTAGTTGAATTTAAGTCCAATTTCTCATAAATACAGGAAGTCTTGGGCTGAAAAATAAGTTTGACAATCAACGTTGAATAGCCATGATATTATTTATTGAATTCAAAAAATTTGAATGATGATAAAATCTTTAAAAAGTAAGTCTCGTCATAGAAAAGTTTGAAATTTTAATCATTTCACTGTGAAATTATCAAAAATATTTTTCACGGATACATCAGTAATACACTCAAAAGCATAAAATAAATGACTTTTATTTTAAATTTTCAAACCTTTACTTCATCTGCATATAAGTTATTCCACTGATTGAAAGTCAATATGTATCAAGGTATTTTTAAAATGTGATAAGGGTCAGAACTACAGTAAGCGGCTCATTTGTTTATCTTGTTATACTTTTTGTTGCTAATTTTAATGTTTGAGGTCATCAGCATAGCATGTCTTTCTTGTAAATGCAAAATTCTTGTCTAGTCAAATTTTGCCTTCTAGTCAGTATATTCTGCTGCTATGTTATGTTTGTTGTTGACATTATATGCTGTTTTTCTGTTGTCTATATGCTGTTTCTGTTTTTTTTAATTAAACATTGTTACTGCACGGAGGAAGGTAGTCTAGTACTGGTGTAACTCTCCAGAAACGATGGTTAGGAAACTACCCGCCTATATGACGTAAAAGGCGTAAAATGAAACAAACAAACAAAAAACATTGTTACTATTTAAATCAAGACATTAAATGCTTGGGAATGTTTTTGATACTGATCAATACAATTATAACATCTTGTCAAAACTTGACACTAACAGGGAACACATGTATTGATATGGTATTAACCTTTAAAATAAAGTTGAAATACTTTACAATGATGATTCTTGTAATCTTTATTGTTGTTATTGTTGAAACTTTGAAAATATCGGAGAAATTACTGAAACCAACTATTTTTACTGACAATTTTTTTAATGAATTTCTTCACAACAAATTTGATCTTTGTGTAATATCACATTTTAATTATTATTGATTTTTACAAACTTGTACAAACTATTTTTTACTTTTCATCAGCTGCATATTTTGTTTACATGTCTATAAACAGTATTTCAATGTGCCAAGATTTTGTGTATTATATTTGTTACTTTTCATTAGCTGCATATTTTGTTTACATGTCTATTAACAGAATTACAACCGTGCCAACCTTTTGTGTATCATATTTGTTACTTTAGCTGCATATTTTGTTAACACGTCTATATAAACAGTATTACAACCGTGCCAACCTTTTTTATATTACTTTTTGTTACTTTTCATTAGCTGCATATTTTGTTGACAATTACAACAGTGCCAACCTTTTGTGTATTATATTTGTTACTTTTCATTAGCTGCATATTTTGTCCACACGTCTATAAACAGTATTACAACCGTGCCAAGGTTTTGTTAATTATATTAATTTTTTTTCATCAGCTGCATAATATTTTGTTTACACATCTATGAACAGTATTACAACTGTGCCAAGGTTTTGTTTTATTATATTTGTTACTTTTCACGAGCTGCATAACATTTTTTTCTTCAGCACTACCATACCAAAGTGTAATACATGGTTGTAATGAACAACTTTTTATATTAATTGATGTAGATCTATATCATTTGAAAATGAAAGTAATTGGTAGATAGAAATTATTAATGAATTACAGTAAATGTATAATACTTTTTCTATGAATTATGTAGAAAGTTAAAAAGACATTTGGGGTCATACTGTTGATTCACTGAAATTTAAACATTATACACATATATTTCTTGGAGTTCCAAAGACCTTCTGTAAAGTTTTACCAGTGTCTAGCATAAGTTTCATTTTTCCTTATAGTGATCTGTAAGGTATCTAATGTTATAAAACTGCATTTTTAATTATTTTGTTCGTACATTATAAACAGTTTTCCATTACATGTTGCTTATTTTATAGTGTACCAAAGTAATATTTACTACATAGGACTTTTTGAATAATAATTAATATTTCTGTATTTTTGAATTAAAAACTATGTAGTCAAAATGAAATTCTGTGGATTTACAAATATGTACAGTTTACTCGGATTTTTATATTGTACACTTTTCTAAGTTTATTTACATAAGTAAAGGTTTCTTTGTTGACATCAGGCGTCCACAGAATGTATTGAGAATCTGTATATATATGATATACACTTACCATAAGTGAGATTACTAAATAAAGTTACATTGTTAAAGCATATACATTGTGTATTGTTTTCTTGCATGATCATATAGGCTTTGTGCCATAATCTGTCTGTTCCAGGAAACAGAATGAGTTAAAACATCACTTGAGTATTTAATGCAAGTACAAGAATCATGCTCTGTAGCAAGCGGTTGCTATCTTAACGTCCAGCAAACTTATAATTGAAGTAATTGAAAATAGATCTACCCCGGAATTCAAAATCTACCCATAATGGAAGTATCTGGGCTGCCCATTTGAAACCCATATTTAGTACAAGGGCTGCCCATATGGGGCCCATGTGGGGCCCATATTGTGTACATGGGCTGCCCAGATGGGGCCCATGTGAATCCCATATTGAGTATAAGGGCTGCCCAGATGGGACCCATTTGGAACCCGGTTGCACTTCCTATATGGGGCCCATATGGGCAGCCCAAATGGGACCCATATAGGTGCCCATATGGGTCCCATATAGAATGCTATCTGGGGACCACCGGGTGACTCCTATAATATACCCCCCAAACTTCGTTTCGGGGGTATAATGATTAAGCTTGAATTATATCTAATATGTCAAAAACTGTTTCAAAGAGTTTTTATGATAACTTTTGTTACTGCCATTTATGTGTTTCTTGCGCTAAATATCACGGCACGTTTTAGCGTTTTTATTATTCAATAAGGTTGACGGAAATTATTTTTTCCTTTAAGCCAATATAAAATTTATCGTTTTACGCCGAAAAAAATGTTTGAAAAATGGAAAGAAAATTGTCAATTTTGTGTAAAATTGGACGTTCAGTTTAGCCGCATTTTTCGGCTTTAAAGCGGTTTATCAAAAAATTCCGGAAATAAATTTTCTTTCCACTTTTCAAATCGGCATAAAACGATAAATTTTATATCAGCTTAAAGGAAAAAATAATTTCCGTCAAATGTTGTAGAATTTAAGATATTTGACCGTCTATGGCGTTGTGATACCCGTAACAGTTGCCAAGGATACACAACGACGTCATGTTCAAACACAACTTTGACGTCGTGTGTACAAAAATGGCTGAAACTATTGGAATCTAAACGGAAATATGGTCAACATTTTGCATGCCAATTTTCAAGACGCTTCTCAAAAGTTCGCAAAGTGTCGCGTTCTCGTTTAATCATTAAAGTTTAATTCATGTTTAAAAGTTTAAAAGATGCGCGAAAACATGACTATTAAGAAATTATTGGTGTAGAAATATTCGCGCTGAACATGAATTCGCGGATCGAATGTCACCGCGAAGATCGCGAAAATTTGAAGCCCGCGAATATTTCTACACATACAGTAATAAAGATGTTTAAACTGAGGCTAGACTGGAGAGTTAGAGGAAGGCTATTCCAAAGGGCATTTACTCCTAGGAAAGAAGTTTGATGGTTTTGTGCGTAGTTCACATAAACTCAACGTATTTATTACAATCTAGCACTTTTAAGGCATGAACAATTATCACTTTGTATGGTTAGAATGATTTACAAAAATTATCTCAGATATATTTAAAAATGTATTTAATGTACATGTAGCATTGTCGAGCTTGAAATCTAGTCATTTTTTTACGTCATATGACAACTTTCTTATAGATAAAGGGCAGATGCTCCAAAGTGAATAATCTTAGTCACGTAAGTACGGTTACCCTTAAAATATATGTTGACTATTACAATTTATTGAAGGGCATTAAATGCAATGATTACATTAGTGTTCATCAAATATAACACTTGATAGAGAAGTAAGTATTCATAAACATTTTAAAATGCACAAAGAAATCAACTCAACACTCAACCGGTTAATATTTGAAAGCTGTAACCATAAAGGATAGGATATTGTAAAACTTTATTCACTAGCAAGAAATCAATAGCAACACATTTATTATGTTCGGGAGTTACATTTTTAAAACTAGAAGTATCACTGAATGTGATTAATACCCCGCAAGACTGCTTCAGAAATGAGGAAGTTACAATTAAGTAACAGAATACCTTGTTAAAGAATTGAAATAGAGTTACGGTTGTGGGCAATTAAAGATAGTTGTGGCTTTTGTATGTTGCATTTCCTTACAATATGGTTGACCATTGATTAAGTTTTATTGAATTACTCTGTAATACATCCAGAAAGAGTTACGCTTCTTGAGCACTGCACTTCCTCTCATTGCGCTTGACCATTGTATGAAGTTGTATTGAATTCCAACTACTAGTTTTCAAGTTATGCAAAAAAGTAACAAAGGGCAATAAAAAAAGGTGGGGGGGGGGAGAAGATGTGTAAGCGGCCGGATAGCTCAGTCGATAGAGCCGCGGTACGGTATTCCGAGGGTCCCGTGTTCGAGTCCCGGTCAGGCTGCACATTTTTCTCACCCTGTGACATTTTGGCGCCCAACGGGGGACCGTGACTGAATACAGCTCAGAGTTTAATTCACATTACTCTGTAACTCTGTGAAATTCGAGGACGAATTTCAATATAGCAGGGGAGTATGTCACGGTTCAAAACTGTTCACTATGTGTAAGCGGCCGGATAGCTCAGTCGGTAGAGCCGCGGTACGGTACTCCGAGGGTCCCGGGTTCGAGTCCCGGTAAGGCTGCACATTTTTCTCACCCTGTGACACTGTAATGAGTCAAAATAGAGTTATGCTTCTTCTGCACTGCACTTCATCTCACTGCCCTTGACCATTGTATGAAGTTTCATTGAATTCCAAACATTAATTTTCAAGTTATGCACTGGACATTTAAAAGTAACAAAGGGCAAAAACTCTTAAATGAGTCAAGAAAGATTTATGGTTTCTGTGCACTGCGCTTCCTCTCAATATACTTGACCATTGTATGAAATTGTATTGAATTCCAAATAGTACGTTTCAAGTTATGCTCTGGACAAGAAAAAACAATGGAAAAGTAACAAAGGGCAGTAACTTAATAATTGCTCTAGACAGAGTTATGGTTCTTGTGCACTGCACTTCCTCTTCATGTGCTCGATGATTGTATGAAGTTGTATTGAATTCCAACTAGTAGTTTTTAAGTTATGCTCCGGACAAGGAAAAGTAACAAAGGGCAATAACTCTGCAATTAGTCAAGATGGAGTTATGGTTCTTGTGCACTGCACTTCCTCTCAATGGCTTGATCATTGTCTTAAGTTGTACTGAATTCAAACCATTAGTCTTCCAGTTATGCTCCGGACAAAAATAAGCAATGACAAAGTAACAAAGGGCAATAACTCTGTACTTACTTTAGACATAGTTATGGTTCTTGTGTTCTGCACTGCCACTTCTTGTGCTTGACCATTGTATGAAGTTGTTTTGAATTCCAACCAGTAGTTTTCAAGTTATGCCCCGGACAAGGAAAAGTAACAAAGGGCAATAACTCTATAATAAGTCATGATGGAGTTATGGTTCTTATGTACTGCACTTCCTCTCAATGTGTTTGACCATTGTATGAAGTTATATTGAATTCCAACCATTAGTCTTCAAGTTATGGTCCGGACAAAAGAAAGCAATGGAAAAGTAACAAAGGGCAAGAACTCTAAAATTTCTTTAGATAGAGTTATGATTCTTGTGCACTGCACTTCCTCTTATTGTGCTTGACAATTGTATGAAGTTGTTTTGAATTCTAACCAGTATTTTTCAAGTTATGCTCCGGACAAGGAAAAGTAACAAAGGCCAATAACTCTGTAATTAGTGAAGATAGAGTTATGGTTCTTGTGCACTGCACTTCCTCTCAATGTACTTGACCATTGTATGAAGTTGTATTGAATTCCAACCATTAGTCTTCAAGTTATGCTCCGGACAAGGAAAATGCAACGGACGTCTGGACCGACCGACCGACCAACCGACCGACCACCGGGTGACTCCTATATACCCCCCAACTTCATTTTTGGGGGTATAACAATAAAAGAAAATTCGCTGTTAAAAGAAAACATTCATTCTATGAACGAAGCTATGTGGACGCAGGTTTATACAAGTCATAGAGTTAATACACTGGTGTTTGTATATGCTGTATAAAACACACTCGTTTCCAAATAAGGTAACAGTAACACGATGTGCTCGTGCATAATAAATAAATCAAAGTGACAAATGTAGACGTTTTAATATCAACTTCATAATTTAGTACATCATGCAACATGAGCATTTTACACCAGTTATTCGCATCATACATAAGAAACATAAGAGATATACATATAAAAGCAAAAAACATGAAATATCAACCATATATATTATTTTATTTGTTCATACATTAATAATAAAACGCCACAATTCCAAGCTGGATGACTAACAGAACAAGAAATATCAAAGTGGACATTCCTCAGATTTACATGTATATAGGTTTTATCTCCTGATACATACATACATGTTTCAATGTATATTCATTTGTTTGACAGCTTCTTTAATATGGAGTAAATACCGACATGACCGTTTCATTTAATTCTACATACATACAGTTTGACGTAAAAATCTGTGAAAAATGATATCCTTTGTTCTGATGAACGTTGAAGCGTTTAATATGGTGATGTCGTATTTTCGCTCCGCGAGGCACAAGGCGAAGACACGGTCACCAACTTCCTATATATGTTATCGTGTTTTCGACTTGCACTCCGCGGAACGAAAGTAGTCATTGAGGTGACACTGTCGTAATAATTATCGTGTTTTTGCCTTTGCGGACGAAAGTACGACTGAATTTTGGCTGTTGTATTTTCGCCTCGTGGGGCGACAGTACGACAAAATGTTAACTTTGTTGTCATATTTTCATCCGGCGCCCATGGAGCGCCAATACGACATGACACGAAATAGTCACCATAGTTTTATTTGTTTTTTTTTTACTTTCAACTATTTATGTTTGTTTTAGATATGCACGGCATAAAACGTTATAAAATAAACTTTGAAGCTCGGATATTTCATTCATCTACACATTAATGTATTCTGATACACATGTACATGTACGAATCATTCGATAACGTACCATAACGTTATCATATTTGTAGAAAGCGGAATTATAATTAAAACCTAATAAGTTAACAATATCATACAACCTCTTTAGAACAGACCCCTCTACAGCAATGACCTCTATATCAACAATATATATTCTCCCCCAATGAATTTAACCGCTACGGAACAACACCTCTTAACAACGCCCAAAGTCTTTGTCTACCAAAGGATGTGATCTGCAGAGGTTGTACTGTACGTATTGCTAACTAATTCTTAAATTGCAGTCTGTTTCACAGACAAGTCTTTTGGTTGTATAACAACTTTATTCAAACTCATGTTTTCTACTACAGCATTTGTGGTTATTAATCTGTAGAAAGTTCATTGCGCAATAATTTCGAAGATTCATAACATAAATACGAAACGGCGGAGTAGTGCTGATTATTTTAAACTTAGACTATGTAAATCATTTAAAAATAGCGGAAACATCAAGACGGAAACATCAAGACGTTGAGATCAATACACTTTGAATAAAATAAAAAATTAATTTTAAATATGGAGATTAATACTGCCCTCACACATACCTCGCGACCTTACTGCGTCGTTACTGCGACCTTGCTACGACCCAGGACGCAGCACAGTCGCCATGGACGCAGCAGGGACGCAGCGAGGTCGAAGCGAGGAACCCAAGGACGCACAAGGTCGCAGACCGTCGGCGACTATTTTGAACATGCACAAAACAGTCGCAGAAACTCTGCGTTCTTGCTGAGTCCTGGTAAGGTCGCAAGAACGTAGTAGGGTCGTCGTACAGTCGCAGGACAGTCGCCGGACAAACGCAATAGTCGTCGTAGAGTCGCCGTAAGGACGCAGAGAACATAGCACAGTCGCACATGGGTCGCCGATGATCGCCGTGGGGTCGCCTTGGGGACGCAATACAGTCGCAGTGGAAACGCCATGGACGTAGAAGGGTCGTATTGAGGACATAGAGAAAACGTACTGAACACAAGACGGCAGAGCCCCGGACCGTCTGCGAGAGAAATTTGGAAAATTGAAAGAAAACCAACGATTTTCGAAAGAAAAATGCTATTTTACTAGTTTTCAGGTCGCAGTAAGGTCGTGGTTTATGTGTGAGGGCAGCATAAAGTCGCCATTAAAAAGTGATTCCCATAGGCGCATCTAAAGTATACCTTTTAAAAAGAACATGTCAAAAGAGATAATTATAATTCTAAATATATAACTCTTTATGACTGGTTTCAATATGAAATTATGCAAATATGTACATATTTAAACATTTAAGAAATAACAAAATAAAAGAGACTGGCTTTCTACTGGCAAGTACACAAATCTTGTGGGCAGTTATTCTGTGCACAATTCGAGACACACCATTGGTCCATTGATGATCCTTTATTCCTATCGACAGCCATGCAATTACCGCCTGCCCCCGAGGACGAGCCAGACCACGATCCACCATTCGGACACGAACAAGAACACATATCTGCTGGACATTGACCTAAATTACAAACATTATTGCAGAATGAATCAAAATCGGAACCCGGTGGTGAATTTTTAGCCACGCATTCGTATTCGCCATCAGGGCACGTTGGAGGCATTGCTCCTCCGCCATAACTTTGGGGAGAGGAATGCTTTTGTGTTTCATGCAAATGCAGAGAAATTTCATTGAGTGCGTTGTTATTATTTCCAGCACCATTTCCGAAAGAGTTTTTAAGTTGTCGCATAGCATCGTTATATCCCTGCAAATAACTTGATTGTCCAGAGTTGCTAGAGCCCGAGTTTGATCCAGAAGGGCCTTCCCCTGGTTCCGGATATTCTCCTGGTTCATATCCTGGATAGTTTGAAGCAGGGGCCTCAGTTACATGCTGATTGGAACCAGAATTTCCCCAATCATTAGTCTGCCACGCGTACGGCTGTGGAGTAGACGGAGTTTGCCATTGCTGTGTTGTTGGGGACTGCCATTGTTGTTGCGTAGTTGGTAAAGGTGACGGTCTCCTCCATGGTTTTTCTGTGACTGGAGCTTGTGGGGCCGTGGGAGGTTGTTTCCATGTCGGTTTAACAGTTTGAACTGGTTGTTGATGTGATAAAAGAGTTTGAGCAAGTTGCTTCACTATTTCTTTAACCAATGCCATGTTAGGACCATTGTTATTTGTCCCACCTCCGTTATTGGCTCCAGAATTGTAGGTATTATATGGAGGTCCGGATGCAGCTGGAGCTGCGGCTGGAGCCCTGTCACTGGCAGCCTGGGCTGGTTCTGGCACAGGTTGCTGCTGGGGTGCACTATCTCCTGGCAATGCAGGAAGAGGAGATACGACTTTGTTACCAATAGCTATATCTGCACAGTTGATAAAATTCTCTTGATTTCCACAACCAAGACATTCCCCTCCATAACCGTCCGGTCCCATACTTTGACCTAAAACATAATCATGAAAAGTTCATGATTTTATCTCTCATATATCTTTAACTATTTTTCAAAATATGTGAACAATTAACTGTTGGTTTACGGCGCAACAACACACTATAGTTCATATGGCGCCGAAACAGGAAAAATGCTTTGACTAACCTAGGGTGTTACAAACTTTAAGCAGCATCAGGGGTCGAAACCACCTCACCTGCTGGACCTATGAGATGCATAGACCCCAGTTGTTCGAACCCATTTAGTCGCCTTTTACGACTAAGCAGGATAAATGGTAGCTGTAATTCTTATGCCTCAACCCCTTAAGGCAACCCCTCAGCCACAAGGTGTGAACAATCTACTGGTATTTGAAAACAAAATGTTTAAGTTTCAGTTTTCAAAACTCATTATTTTTAAATGGATGGATTTTGTGTGCGAGTGTGCAAAAAAGCTGTTTTCTTCATTAAACACATAAGAGAAGTTGTTCTTTGAACAAAAATTGTAATATCAGCATATTTAATTAAGACACAATTCGTTAGTACGTTTAAGATTTGTATACTCGATAGTAAGAACATGAACCTGTTCCAATCACTGGTCGAATTCTGACATTAACCATTAACCAGCTAGCGGTATCTGATTCTACCCATAGGACAAGTGCAGACTGTGATCAGGCGGTTCATCCGTGCCAACTTAACTGATGTTGATCTGCACTGATTATTCAGTCAGTATTTACAATGTATTGTATTTTCCCAAGAAATTACGTGTTTTTTTTTTTGTTTTTTTTTAGAAATGGACAAAGCCATTTAAGAAATTTAGCTACTTCCGGAGCAAAGAATGATTTAATGCATAAGGACAACTTATTACCTTGTTGAGGGAAATGCAAATCAAAGATTGTTACCAATTTATTTAAGATATCTGTACTTGTCACTTTAGACAGATTATTTTCATATTTTATTTCATCTTCTATTTCCTCTTTCAACTATTCCGTTCATTACTTAATTGATCAAATTAATGGCCCGTTTATGCATATTACATTACTATTTGGAACAAGATACTTTGACATTCAGACGTATTCAAAGAACAACGACATGTTGCAATTACTTGTATTAAAAGCTTTTAAATATCACGACTCCAAAAAGCGATGTAGATTTATGCACCATTCCTTTGGAAGAGTAAGATCAGCAAAGCCCTGATAGAGGAAGTCAATACCATTACCCACAAAAGAATATCCAAGGCTATGGAGTTACTTTATCAAAACATATAGAAAATATCACCTGCGACCCATTTCCACTGCAGAACGCACTGTGAGCACTCTAATTTTGGCGGCAACATGACGGCCATCTCTATGTAAACAGAAGCTCCTTGTCGCGTGATAAAATACCTCGTCCCGTGACCCACAATATTCAGCAAGTGTCTATTTAGACAGGCTTGTGTTGCTCTTTTACGTGGATTGTTCACTGGACATAGGCGGAACTCGAAGTAACCTTGATGATTACTTGTAAGCTCTACAGTGACGTTGATGAAAGCGCCTTTATGATACTGACGTGCGACAACTCCACGTGCGTATTTTCCGCCAGCCTCGTTTTCGCGTGGCCCTTCCCATGGATCACCACACGCACCACATTTACCGCCATGACGTTCAAACTGATTCTGTAAAAGAAATTAAGTGTTATTCATATGTCAAGATTTCATAGAGATATGTACTGATAAAAGTGAAAGGGCGCTTACATCTGAAAGGTATGATGGCTGATTTGTGCCATTCGTGTTTTCGTCCCGCAACACCGTCAAGCGGAAAGTCGAGAAGTAATAAGTTAAAATGCTATATACTTTATAATATTATAAGAGTTGCCAATCATTATCACCATATAAAAGGCGTTCTCTTTTCTGTATTATATTTCATAACATTACACAATCATTTAACAATTTCTGTACAAACGTTGATTTGAAAATAGTAAAACCTCCATTAAAAACAAATGTTATATTACTGAACAATCTGCCATTAAAGAACTTCATGTAGTTTTTAATTGTAGGCTAACCCTCTTCAACTCTTTATCTTGACATCTCCAAAATTGATAATGATCATTTTCAAACAATTGCAACTGGACATGTTCATTCAAGAAATACAGTAGGTTAAGGTAAACGTGACAAGTTAAACAAATCTCAACACGAGGTATCAGAACTCATGCGACCAGTGTAGACTCACTCGGCACAATCAGGCCAACTGATCTCGGTCTGCACTGCACTGGTCGCTATACAGTCAATACATATTTTGATTTTCCCTCTAACATTGATGAATTGTTTTGTACAGATTGAAAGATGGACAAGTTCATTTAATATATTTAACGTGGCAACGGTTAAAATTGAGTCACAATTCAGTTTAGTCATTTAACTTATTTTAACAACTTTAAAAGGTTTTGCATCAAAATAAATATGCTTCGATGACATTTACGACACTACCGTGACATCATTTACATAATTAAATTAGCAATATTTTTCAAAACAATAGTAACATGTTGAAATATTTATCAAAAAGCTCGGTAATAAATGTCGGCAGTTACAAACATGTGGATATACATGGAGAACATTTTGTTTAATCCGAGCGAATTAAGTTTTTGTCTCAACAGCTTCAATGGTTTTGTTGTCGTGAGTGGTGACTTAGATGATATTTATGAATAAGAACAAAAATAAATGATGATGCTGATGATGATTATTATTATTTTTATCACTGTTATTATTATTATTATTTTGCATTTTTCTGAATGCAGTCGAATCATTTTAATTACATGTACACATAATATTATGTAAGTTTGCATATTATATACTCGTATATATCCAGCTAAATTTAAGAGTTGAATGAAGCGGCAAATTTGATATTTTGAAATATTCAATAAGCTTTTAAACTCACAGCATGTGCGTGTATTGTGTTTTTCTTCTTCAGAATTTTCCATTAGTTACACAAAGGCTATTCACTTAAATGTAATATTCCAATCATTTTTTCTATATCGTAAGCTTGCAACAAGAAACCAAGGCTATTCACTTAAATGTAATATTTCAATCATTTTTTATATCTTTAGCTTGCAACAAGAAGCCAAGGCTATTCAATTAAATGTAATATTTCAATCATTTTTAGCTCACCTGTCACAGAGTGACATGGTTAGCTTTTGTGATCGCTTTCGTCCGGCGTCCGTCCGGCGTCCGTCCGTGAACTTTTACTTTAATTAAACGACATCTCCTCATAAACCGCTATGCCAATTTCATCCAAACTTTACAGGAATGTTTCTTTGGTAGTCAACTTTAAATATTGTTCAAAGAATTAAATTCCAAGCAGAACTCTGGTTGCCATGGCAACCGAAAGAAAAAACTTAAAATATCTTCTTTTAGAAACCGAAAGAACTAGGGCTTAAATATTTGGCATGAAACATTATCTAGTCAGTGTCTATCAAGTTTGTTCAAATATATGCCCTTGGTCAAAATTGGCCCACCCCGGGGGTCATTGATTTTTCTTATTTGTATATAGTGAAAACTTTAAAAAAAATCTTCTTTAAAAAAAAAATAGCTAGAGCTTAGATATTAAGCATGAAATTTTCTAGTGGGTATCTACCAAGTTTGTTCAAATATAAAAGCCCTGAGGTAAAAATTGGCACCGCCCCAGGGGGTCATTGATTTTTCCTTATTTGTATATAGTATTAAAACTTAATAAATCTTCTTTAGAAAAACAAAATAGCTAGAGCTTAGATATAAAGCATGAAACATCTTCTAGTGGGTATCTACCAACTTTGTTCAAAGAAAAGCCCTGAGGGAAAAATTGGCCCCGCCCCAGGGATCAGAGTTTTCCCATTATGTATATAGTAAAAACTTTAAAAATCTTCTTTTAAAAACCCCAAAGAGCTAGAGCTAACATATTTATCATGAAACATCTTCTAATGGGTGTCTACCAAGTTTGTTCAAATAAGGGCCCTTGGGTTAAAATTGGTTCCGCCCCAGGGGTCATTCATTTTCCTTATATAGTAAAAACTTAAAAAAATCTTCTTATAAAACACCCAAAGAGCTAGAGTTTAGATACTAAGATTGAAACATCTTCTAGTGAGTGTCTACCAAGTTTGTTAAAAAAAAGCCCTGGGGGCAAAATTGGCCCCTCCCAGGGGAGAGGGGGTGGTATTGTTTTTCCCTAATGTTTATAGTAAAAACTTAAAAAATCTTCTTTTAAAAACCCCAAAGAGCTAGAGCTAATATATTTATCATGAAACATCTTCTAATGGGTGTCTACCAAGTTTGTTCAAATAAGGGCCCTTGGGTTAAAATTGGTTCCGCCCCAGGGGTCATTCGTTTTCCTTATATAGTAAAAACTTTAAAAAAATCTTCTTATAAAACACCCAAAGAGCTAGAGTTTAGATACTAAGCTTGAAACATCTTCTAGTGAGTGTCTACCAAGTTTGTTCAAAAAAGAACCCTGGGGTCAAAATTGGCCCCTCCCAGGGGGGAGGGGGTGGTATTGTTTTTCCCTAATGTTTATAGTAAAAACTTAAAAAATCTTCTTATAAAAACCCCAAAGTGCTAGAGCTTAGATATTTATCATGAAACATCTTCTAATGGGTGTCTACCAAGTTTGTTCAAATAAAAGCCCCTGGTTAAAAATTGGTCTTGGCCCAGGGGCCTATATACAGGTGAGCGATTTCAGGGCCATTATGGCCCTCTTGTTTTATATCTTTAGCTTGTAACTGGAACAAAATGGGCATATTTGTATCCTTGTGGACCAGGGGATGATATAAAAAATCTTTGTCAATTCGATGCTTTATATATACTTATATATCAATATTAACCACGAAAAGAAAAGTTAGGTCCAGCAAACACAAGTTTTCGGCTTACTCTGCCAATGTTCGGATAATTACTATGACAATCGCAACTTTTTGACCCATTTAGGACCTCGAGCACAGTAATATGAATACAAAGTACGGTCCATCAATTATCCTTATCCGAAGTTTGACGGAAAGGACCGAAATAAATAAATTCTTAAAAAGTATTGCTGTTTGCATTAAAATATATCAATCATAACGAAGCTTCTAAACTTGTCAGTAAGATATATGCATATTATTTCTTGTATGTATTTTGTATGTTTTCGTTTATACACAATTAACAAAAACATATAACGACATGTCACAAATTGTCAGAAGGAAGCATCATTAATCTGTGATGTAAATAGTAACAATCTTTTCCGTGCATTTTACACATTATTTTTCTAGGTGAATTCTTTTTGTATGTATTTAAATTTAAAAATATATAATTCAGATAACATTTTGCAACTGTGTGACTTCTTTCTTAATTCTCTCTATATATACATGTATATATTGCATATTTATATATAATTTTGAAAGTTTCCTGGTCCGAAATGCAATTAAAAAATGTATATGTTAAACAACGATTATTGATAATCCTTATCGGGAGATTTACGAAAGAGCCTAAACGTTGCGATTGCGCAAAAACCTCGAACACAACAGTAAGAATACACAGAACCGGTCTAATTAAACTAGAAACTAAACATGTAAACAAATAATTATAGTAATTAAATGCTATTGTTGACTAAGTTTATTCCAATATATCGAGTAAAAGTCTTCGTACCTAAATAAAGTAAATCTATAGATATAAATTACTTTTTTATATATGTAGAAAATATACATAATGTCTACCCGTTGACAATAATTCGGATTCATCAGCGAGAATTCTAAAATTGATTATGATTGTCAGACATATTTTCAATTAATATGATTTAAATACCGAAATAGACTTTATTTTCACTTGTATGTCAAATAGATTAGTTGTAAATTATACAAAGATAACACAAATTGTATTTGGTTTTTTTTTGTTGCTTCTAAAAACCACGTGGTGGAACAATTTATTTTGAGGTGTTCAGATTTGATTGCGCTACCAGCAACCCGTACTTCCCCATACCCCGCTACCAGTAACCCGTACTTTTCCATACCCCGCTACCAGTAACCCGTACTTCCCCATACCCCGCTACCAGTAACCCGTACTTCCCCATACCCCGCTACCAGCAACCCGTATTTCCCCATACCCCGCTACCAGCAACCCGTACTAGTGAATTTGAATCAGCTTCCGGTAAAATCACGTGAAAAATAACCTTTTCGATGGAAGCATGTCCTTAAATTTTAAAGAATGACTTTGCTATTGGCACTGGCATTTATATGATTATATAAAAAGGTCATAAAACCTTTCTTTTTCAGAAAAAAAAACAACAACTTTTAGGAAAAAAACCGTTAAAGGTATACTTATAGTGTTTTAATAAGCAGCGCTACCGGATGTAGCTGAACGAAAAGGAAATATAAAGATGCTTTTAACATGCAATATATGAATACGTTTCCCCCTAATGAAAAGGGAAATATCCTTCTAAATTCACTTTAACGTCATTTACATACTCTCTTAAAACAGACATTAGATCATTTTATCCTACTGTTATTCGGATGTAAAATGTAATTGTCAACCAACGTAATTAAAAGCCTTTGAAACTTAAAGACCAAGCTGCAATTTAAACAACGCTCATTTAGGATACATGAACTATTTAAAAGAAATCTTTCTATCAGCACGATTATATATTGACGTGTTTTTATTATTATTTCGACACGTAAGTCGTGGTATTGTTTCCAATACCACTGCTCATATTCTGATGTTCCAGACGCGAAAATGTTCGTTTATCTTACAATAAGTATTAATTACATCGAAAGGTAATACATGAATGAATACTGTCAAACCATATTTCGAAAATGCGCCATCAATTTCCGTATCTACTATAGTTTGTTGACGAGGTACTTTATAGTTCCCAATCCTATACATGTTTATTTGATTTCTACAAAATACGCAAAGAGACGAAATATTCCGAAAAGTCCTGCGCGAAGTCATTATAATATAAGATCTACATAACCCCTTGGACTGATTCAACGATCTGTTTTCGGTTTTTTCTAACCAACAATTCAACTTCTTTTTTTTTCATTTCAAAATGTACCACCGACGTACAATAAATATATCGGCCGGGTGTTCATCAAACTTTAATGTGCCAGCGAGTGAACCTTCTGTATCCAGCATCTTCGCATATATGAAAAAAAAAAATCCGAATGACCTTTATTAATGATCCCATCACAAAGAACACGAGCATACATTGAAGTTTGAAAGAAAACTTTCAGGTCAACGAACCAAACTCTGGTACCACAGGTATCGTATTAGTAAGACTTTTTACGACACTTATTCGAATTACAAATTCGAATGATAATTAAGATCGAAACATATAAAATTATAAATATATATAAATGGTATCAGTTGCGTCTGTTTCATGCAAACAATTTTAGAAAATCAAACCCAAAATTAAAAAAAATGAAATAAAAAAAAAATAAGGGAAAAAGAGAGGAAAAAAGATGAGCTGTTGGTTATAGGCCCATTAAATATTTTAACGTAGAATGACACGAATGGTTAGTCATCATAAATTATATGTCCAGCATGAATTTGTTTGACCTAGAAATATACATTCACCGAATGATTTGTATGCAAATTATATGGTTGAGAATGACAGGTCAAACCGTCTAATATGTTACACGAAAATCGATTGTGATATAAACAATAAATAAACACTTACAACGACACCAAATTGTCAGAAAGACCATACATCAAATCATCGCTTTATGACAATTTATATACATTTTATTTTTACTCATTCTTATACATCGGAGAAAAAATAATGAGTCATTCCCATTGAAATATGAAATAACAAAAAGTGATTGTAATCAACGAAGTGTTTACAAACAAGTTCATTTTCTATTTAAGGCCCTCTTAAATATTTCCATTCGAAGAATGAAATTACTGTTTGAGACATTACTGGCCGTTTAATAGGCATACACTGGGTTCGGCCTAGAAATGAAAGGTGGGAGCCTTTATGGAAAAACTGAACACCCATTAAGCAACTATAACCTATTTTGTGTTCTGAATGAAGGTTTCGTCTTCATTAGAAATGGTCCCAGCAAGAAAATTTCTCCATTTTTTAAAACTTCTCAGTTCATATTCATTTTTCATTCATTTGTTCCTTAGTAATTTGACGATCTGTTACTTTACATGTCATCCTGTGAGGTCTCTACAAGCAAAACGTAATAAAACATGTCCTATATTCATGAAATTGTAGTCTACACTTATCCCAATCAAGATTTGTTTTAAATCATTTTATTGGTGTTGTACAGCTAAATCCTACCAACTTTCGAGGCCTTTTATAAATATTTGACTTCTTTTTGATGAAATCTTTGAACTGTTCAGAGCGTTAAGTTGTCAATTATTAGGATCTTCTTGCTGATTAATTAAATCGTTACTTTCGGACATTTCCGTTTTCCGCTAGATGTTCCGAATGTAACATTCTTTTGCACAATTTTCGAGTTTTCAACATGGCTTTTTTTATGATAAACACACTTGTGTACATGCCATCGCGCTCATTAATTTGACAAAAATGTCTTATAACTGGTCCACCCAAATAGATGCATTTAATGTGTACATCGTTCTTTACTTTAATGTGTTTTTAAACTTAATTTAAGGCAACCGTTCTATTATAGACCTATATTTCATTGAATGATTGTGTTACAACATATAAATCAAACTACATTTTAATATAAGCCTCACTGGACAGTTTACAGTTTAAAACGATTAAAGTGATTTCCAAAGCAGGTTATGTCTATAGTTGTACAAGTATGACAATTAATTGTACATATCCTGTATCAGTTGAGTTATTGTAGCTACATCTGGCTACATTATTTTTATTTTGTTTCATTCCTTTAAGTGCATTTGAATATATTTAAGTTAACAATTTTATGTATGATGTGACTGGGCAGCCAAATAAATAAAAATAAATGTTATAAAAAGTGTAACAAACGATTGTTTACCGTGAATCCACCGCAATTTAGTCCCATGTCATTATAATTCCTGGGATTCTTATAGTTAAATCTCCACATACTATTTCTGGAAGCGGGTTCGATCAATCGACCATGCCCCGTTACTGAATCCATGAATATGAAACATAGTAAAGCAAATACCGCAGTCTTAAAAATCAATAGTTTTGAAGTCATTCTTTAAAACACAGTTTCCTTTAAGAAGAAAGTAAAAAAATGTCTGCTATATATAATTATGTTAGACAAGAACTTTGGTACAGAAAACACTAGCAAGTTTTAATTCGTAAAATCCAGATAATATTTAATAGCCTGTATTAATTGGCATGAAACAGTCTTAACTGACAAACTTGCCGAAACAGTTATGCATCGTACGAAACCTGTCAAGATTGTATTTATAACTGCGAAATTATGAGGCCCAAATGACAGGTAAATCCTTGACAATCGGGCAAATTTCCGGACATCTACATTATAGTGTTACTAGTATATCATTTCAGTCGCTTCGTGTTCACTTAAAACAAGGAAACATTTCAAAGAGTGATCCACTGCAATCAAAGTATTTTCTAATTTTCGTTTATCAAAGTGACATTTTAGAAGCACATGAATTATAAAAACATGGCAGTTATTAATAACGTACAAAAAATATTAAAATGTCATTGAAAGGACACGACATGTTAATGTATCTGGTATGAATGAAAGAAACATAATGCTATTATTGTAATTTTTGTTAATCTTCGCTATTTCATAGATCTTAGATGGTGAGTATATGTCTTTCATCATATAAGCACATTTACAATTTAATTTCAAATTACATTTCTTTAAAGTTATACTATGCTCAAATATTAGAAAATGCTTGATAATAGAAAATATTGATAATTGCTACACAGTCTCTTTGTAAATATGAAATAAACATGTTTTTAATTAACACAAAGTAGATATTTTATGTTTCAAATTCTACAAACATTAGTTGGTAACAATATGAATATAAAATGTCATTAAAAAAAACTGGCAGTTTTTAAAAGAAAGGACCTATTTTACTTGACCTGTAATAGGTAACGCAGCTTCCCATACACAAGTAAATTCATTCCTTTATTCAAATTAGACATAGTCAGTAATAATGTCATATAGACTTCAATAAATTTCTATGATTAAAATATTTTACTCAAGGACGAGCATCTTTAAAAATTGAAATAAAAAAGTACCAATTCACAACGTTAATACAAACCGGTGCTAGGGAGCGGGAGAACTATGATAGCTTTTAGTATCTCTCATTAGCAAACTCTATGACAGTTAGAGTGCTATTTTCACTGTCTTATTTGTGTCATAACTCATGTCCAGAATTATCACGTTTTCAAGTTCTGTTTAATGTAAACAGTATCTGATTTTGTCCACACATTACAGACTACATGTATTGCATAAATCGACATTTTTTATTCAGATAAGTGTCGATTTTTTCACATAAGATGTTTCAAACAGAACCCAAGTTGTGTCATTGAGGATATTCAAGTGTGCCAGTAAATTCTGAAATTTCGCTAAGATCTACTTCACATAGTGACATATTCATTTTCAAATACAGCACAAGTTATGGTAAAAATAAAAACAACAGCAGTAACAACAAAAACAAAAGAAAAAAACAAAAAGATTCTGATATAATGTTTTAAAGATTTGGAAATCAAGAATTTTCAAGATTTTATTCAAAATCAAGGCATATAATATGCATGAGGTTATAATAGATTAAAAATATAATGAACAGTTATTCAAAAGTGATTAACAAAACATATATACATATAATTATATAATAACGAAAACAATTTGAATAACACATATAACACATATAGGTATTTGACTTTACTCTTTTTGAAATTTTAAAATAATTATCTTGCAGAATAATGCAAGTTTTAATAAAGTTGAATGGTAAGAGCTATTCATTTAAGATTCTAATTTATAAATATTACTAATTTAGAATGATTTGAGAATTTTGAATCAATAAACTTTTTACGAAGAGAATTAAAAAAGTTACATTCAAATAAGTAATGAAATTCATCCCCAAGAGATTGGATTGGACATAAATGACATATTCTAATACGTTAATGTCTAACTTTTTCTATATTGCTGCTAAAAAATTATCCGCTCCGTTTTATAATTTAGACACGACCAGTCACAAGAGAGTGACTGAATAGCTTTCACACGTTTTAGAATCCAGTCACAGGCGGGAAAAGAACCACTCTTTTAAGAGGCTAAACATGCTGAACACACTGAAAGAACATATGAGCCGCGTAACGACAAAGCCAACATTGTGAGTTTGCGACCAGCATGGATCCAGACCAGCCTGCGCATCCGCGTAGTCTGATCAGGATCCATGCTGTTCGTTATCAGTTTCTCTACTTGTTGTAGGGTTTGTAAGTGAACAGCATGGATCCTGATCAGACTGTGCGGATGCGCAGGCTGGTCTGGATCCATGCTGGTCGCAAACACACTATGTTGGTTTTGTCATGACACGGCTCATTTGTCTCCCCTTTTTCATAGCTTTTATTTTGTCTCTCCCTTCTTTTCCCTACAAGTGAGAGTCACAATTGTCTCAATGCAGTTGTTGCACCAGATAGGGGTCAGTCTCCTAAAGTAAATAGGTGGAGAGGAATTCTCAGGAACAACAACCTGAGTTAAATGTTCATGTTTATAGAGTGTGGTCTCTCTAAAGCAATCAATGAAACTTTATGAAAATATAGGTTATTAAATAAACACAGGAATCAGTGTATTGTATACTTATCATGAAGTACATACATTATTTTCCATTTATTATTTTCTTCTTTTTGATACTTTAAATAATTGTATATAAATGTTGTACATGGAAACCAAACTTCGTCTACAGTGAAGAAGTCGTTGAAAAAAATTTTAATACGAAAATATGCATGTATAATTGTGTGTCGTCTGCGTGACTCAAAGAAGTTAACAGAACTAATGCACATATTAAAGAGAAAGTTGAGAAACGAAATTAATATTTCGAAATAAATCATGAGTATTCGATAACTAATGCATGTAATGAATAATCTTTTGTCCGCATCGAATAACCTCTCGACTGACAGCCTTGCTTTGTTCAGTTTCCAATGATCTTAATATCTATACTCGACACATTAATGAATCATTTAATTGTTTCAACAACACGCTGGTTTAGCAAAATGTTCGCGAAGATATAACGTTGTGGTTTATTCATTGACAATTATTGTAGCTTTAAAACTAGCAGTACAATCATTTGTGTCGGAAAGGAAAAAAGTGTTCTGATAAATGACAGGTTATTACAAAAATGATATGTTACTTGAAGAAAGCATGTATCATGATGTACTGAGCTTATTCAGTTCTTATTTAGAATTTTCTTCATAATCACGATATCATATTCATCCTATTCGTGACAATTAGTGCCCGGCGGAATGTTTTGTATATTATACAAACTGAGTGTTATTGTAAATAAAATTGAAATTGAAATGCTACCTTTTTACAGAAATTTCATATATGACCCTGCTATGAATTAGACGGGCAACCTTCCACACATCTGGCTAAGATCACCGTTGTTGTATAACACAAACAAATAAATAGATAAAAGACGCCATTTGCTCAAATAATTCTTCCGTTTTTAAATATACATGTACAAGTTTGTACGAGAGAGTGGTGCAACACATATCATTACAATAGAAGAACTATTTATAATTGTGCTATATTTGAAAGCACAGCGAGAAAAACTGTTTTGATTTCCTGTCTCACAGGTCTAGAAGTATTTCGTAAGGCAATAAATACACATGTTACGTAACCTCTTTTTGTTCATTTTGACATTGACAAATTTGTCTTAAAGCAGTTGAATATATAATTACATTCACTGTTAACAGGTCGCTTTTGTATTCTTAAAATATTATTTCGTCAAAAAAAAGAAGATTTAAAAAAAAAAATTGATAATGTTTTCCAATTGATTTACAGAGTTTCATGGCCATATTATAATTAACGACATAATTGGCCATTGATATAATTATTCAAATGTAAAGCACAACGCAAACTTATGGGCGTCCACTGCTATATCTATTCAAACACTAATAAGTTATATATCATATAACTCCATGAGACAACTGACTTAGATGTTGACTTATAACATAGACAACTTTAAACGTTATCAAAAATGCATTAATAAAAACAAATTTTGGAGCATGTTTTTTTTATCAGAATTCATTAGTGTGTTCTTAATGATTAAGATACCTTGCATGCGAGTTCATGCATTGTTTTCACCTTACTACGCCTAAAAGTGTGCTATATATAGTTAGAGGGACCAAATTCGTCTGGTATTATGGAGAAGTTCCAATACTCCAATTAATATACATGTTGCATCGCTACCTTCTGCTCTATTGACTGATAAAAGTCAGATTAAGACTGGCTTGGCATCGATCTATAACCAGCTACCAATTATAGTACTGGTCGACTAGCGCTACTGCGGTAATAAGAAAACAACCTCCCAAACAAAAACAAACAAAAAATATTTGAATGAATAGGTGCAATAAATGAAAAACAAATCTCATGATTGAAATGACATGCAAATAGGCTAATCAATGGCATAATCCATAGGTCCAAAATCAGGGTAATCAATCGGTCCAAAATCAGTATATTCGCAATAAATCGGTCCAAAATCAGTATATTCGCAATAAATCGGTCCAAAATCAGTATAATCAACCGGTCCAAAATCAGTATAATCAATCGGCCCAAAATCAGTATATTCCAAATAAATCGGTCCAAAATCAGTATAATCAACCGGTCCAAAATCAGTATAATCAACCGGTCCAAAATCAGTATAATCAATCGGTCCAAAATCAGTATAATCAATCGGTCCAAAATCAGTATATTCGCAATAAATCGGTCCAAAATCAGTATATTCGCAATAAATCGATAAACAACCGGTCCAAAATCAGTATATTCGCAATAAATCGACCAAAAATCAGTATAATTAACCGGTCCAAAATCAGTATATTCGCAATAAATAGGTCCAAAATCCGTATATTCGCAATAAATCGGTCCAAAATCAGTATAATTAACCGGTCCAAAATCAGTATACCAGTAATAAATCGACCCAAAATCAGTATAATCAACCGGTCCAAAATCAGTATAATCAATCGGTCCAAAATCAGTATATTCGCAATAAATCGGTCCAAAATCAGTACATTCGCAATAAGTCGATAATCAACCGGTCCAAAATCCGTATATTCGCAATAATCGACCCAAAATCAGTATAATCAACCGGTTCAAAATCAGTACACCAGTAATAAACCGGTTCAAAATCAGTATACCAGTAATATAAACCGGTTCAAAATCAGTATACCAGTAATAAACCGGTTCAAAATCAGTATACCAGTAATAAAC